TGCTTTTTTAACAGTAACTAAATTGAAGTAAAGATTATAAATTTGATGGTCAACAATTAGTTGAAATTCCTTACAACTTTTATCTTTAAACAAATAGAGTTGTGTTCAATCAAAGACATATTGGTTTGATGAACACTAAATATGGAAGAATATAAAAACTTTTCTTTCATTCTTCTGTTTTGTTTTTTATTTTTATTTTAAAAATTTAGTGTTTTGATATTAATTTTAGATTTGATCATTTTATTAGCAGATAGAAGCCTTTTTTTATTTTTATTCTTTTATTTAAATATATAATATTTTTTAATAAATGACACTGTGGCAATATGACTATAAATATGATCATATTATATATTTGTATAATATATAATATGATCCCAAACTAAATAATTATGTTTTTTGGTATAAAATTGAATAAACTGAAAACCGATGGTATATAAACCAAATCAAACTGAAGTACATATAGATTTAGAATAGTAGTTATATTTTAATAATCGAAATACCAAAAAATCGGACAAAAATTGAGCCGAACCGAAACTCGATATCCGGATTGAACACCTATAATCCGAATGAAACCGAACTATTGTTTCATTTTTCAAAACATAATAAAAATAATAGTTTCATCCCGCGCAAGGCGCGGATCTTATCCTAGTAAATTATTAAAAGATGAAGATAAGCAAAATAACCTAAAATCATGGAGAAGTTGACAACTAAGCAAATTTACTTCTCAAATAATGTTATAGATATGTTGTTCAAAAAAAAAAAAAAAAAACACATGATAAACACCAACGGAGAGAGAATATGGGGATCAAACTTTAATATATATCAAGATATTATTTTGTAACTCCGGATTTGATGTAAAAGAAAACAAGAAATATTTTTTTTTAACAATAGAGCAGTCAATCTAAAAAAGCAGCGACTCCTAAAACACAAACAAAACCCTATAATGGAGAACAAGGAGAAGCTTCCATGGGAGTTGGTGGAAGAGATCCTCTCTCGTGTCCCTCCTAAACCACTTGTCCGCTTCAGAACCGTTTGCAAACGATGGAACACTCTCTTCGACGACGATACTTTCATCAACAACCACAAGATGACGTTTCGCTTCATTCTAATGACTAAATCCAAGGCTTATTCGGTAAGCCTTAACCCCGAGATAGAGGTGCGTGAGTTAATCTTAGATATCCCCGCTTTAAAAAATCAGAAACCTAATGACATGGTCGATTGCAATGGGTTCTTGCTGTGTGGCATGAAAGGAGCGGTGGTTTGTAACCCGTGGTTAGGGCAAAATAGATGCATCAAGGCCGAGGTTAACCAACCTCGTTTACAATTTCACGGCGTAGGTTATGATGATAATAGTATAGGTCAGAAAATTGTTTATAAAACCCTTGCGCGTTCTCTAAATGATGGAAGCTCTACCGCTTCATCGAGAATCCATGACATTGCCACCGGTACGTGGAAAGACGTGTTGGACGAAGCAAGAGATGAAACACTACCGCCTAAAACTTGGTGCCGTTTTCACTCGACAAGATGTGTAGCGTTGAATGGAACTTTGTATTGGGTTGCTTATTACACGAGTAATCCCTCGTTGTTCTTAGTATCAAGCTTCAATTTTTCTAGAGAAAAATTCTTCATATTTTGTGGTCTACCGTGTGAGAAGAACGATCATAACGATGCTCTTGTCCTTAGGATTTTTAAGGGAGATCGGTTTTCGTTGTTAAAGCAGTGCCATGTAACAAAGAAGATTCAGATTTGGGTGGCCAAGGATAAGATTAATTGGTATACTACTACAGATGTGAAATGGATGAGTTTCATGGAAGTGTCAATCCCTAACTTGCCGTGTTTAGTACAGACACAATCATACACTCAGCAGCCGAGTTACTTCATTGAGGATAAAAGGGATGGTAAAAGGCTGGTCGTGTGTTCTTGCGATGTAGATGGCCGGGCTTGGATCTATGTTGTTGGGGAAAGCAAGTTAATCAGTAAAACCCTATTGGATTCTGTAGTGGATCCTTGGCCTTTGCATTGTTCCTTTGTTCCCAGTTTGGTCATGGTTCCTGGATGTCAAAGAGAAGATAAAAAGAAGAAAAAGCAGACTTACGTGTTCATATTTCTTTTGTTATGTTTGTGTTCATATTTCTTTCGTTATGTTTTTTGTTTGGTTTTTTAGCAAAATAAATTAGTTTTAATTGTTTATAACAGACTAGATTGAATGTTAATTGGTCTCAGTCTGTTTGAGTCTAGGGTTCTGAGTTTTATTCGGGAATTTGATACCTTTCACTTGTTGTTGGACGCTTAAATGGTTTTGATATGGTTTTATTTAGGTCTTGCAACAAAAGAGGAACTCTGTTGTCTCCATGTATATAGATTATCAAAAAGTATTCTAAGATAACATGCAGCATCTTCTCAAATGTTAACGTTTGTATTAAACCTATTAAAAGAGGGCCTTTTTCTTTACAAGAAACAAGCAAATAAATTCGTCAAAAGAAAAAAAAATGCAAATAAAGCAGCAGTAGCTTAAATAAACTAGCTAATTGAAGCCGAATGCACACAATACCAGATCAAATTTAGCTTTTTAGTCTTTTCCTTTTCCCGTCATTGGCATATGTTTCCCATTACACAAAGAACAAATCATATAACAAAATATATAAATGAACTTTGTTTGTATTATTTTTCTAAAAGGGACATGCATAAAGCATACGAATATGGAGCTTACCGGAACCAATGACACAAAATACAAATAACAACAAATATTTCTCATGCAACTATGCAAGTAAAGATCAGAGACTCCCTTGTTCAAGAAAAAAAAATAAAAAAATCAGAGTGTAATCTTTATTGGGCTTATCTTGGGCTAGGCTGCAGTCTATTTATTTCTTATGCAAGAAACTGCTAGCCATGATGTAAGAAAAAGACAAACCTATTTCATCGTACTTTTTTTTTTCTTTTTGTAAGATGTTAAGTTGTTAACTATCTCATCGCAACTTCTCGTACCAAACTGCAATAACTCATAACTTAAACCGAAAAGAGTATGTGACAACTTTCAATTCTTCTCACCTACATTCTCATGCTCTACTCTGTTTTTATACCTCCCTCTTCTTCTCCTCCACTTCCCACACTCATTCTAAATCCTCCATAGCTACAAAGCTCAGTGAAAAAAAAAAACACAGAAAAACAAAAAAAAAACAACGAGTGTGCTTAAAAAATGTCTCTCCTTTCATTTTCTCTCACTTCCTTAAACACCTCTCCTCCAATCTTCTTCACTATCATAACAATTCTCTTATCAGTTTTCGTTTTATTTCTCCTCACGCGCCACAGTTCCAAATCAAAGCGCGTGAACCTCCCTCCAGGTCCTCCCGGTTGGCCCGTCGTCGGAAATCTCTTCCAATTCTCGCGCTCCAAGAAGCAATTCTACGAGTACGCCGATGATCTAAGGGAGAAGTACGGTCCCATTTACACGTTGAGGATGGGTAGCCGAACCATGATCATAATCTCCGACGCGACTCTGGCCCACGACGTTCTGATTCAACGTGGGCCCATGTTCGCGACCAGGCCCAAAGAAAACCCAACAAGGACCATTTTCAGCTCCAACACTTTCACAGTCAACGCTTCAGTGTACGGACCCGTGTGGCGCTCACTGAGACGTAACATGGTTCAGAACATGCTGAGCTCGACCCGGTTCAAAGAGTTCGGGTCGTTGAGACAATCCGCGATGGATAAGTTAGCCGAGAGGATCAAATCAGAGGCTAACGGAAATAACGGACTTGTCTGGGTCCTACGAAACGCGAGATTCGCTGCGTTTTGTATTCTGTTAGAGATGTGTTTCGGAATCGAGATGGACGAGGACTCGATTTTGAAAATGGATACGATGATGAAGAAAGTGTTGATCACGATCGATCCTAGACTCGACGATTACCTCCCGATCCTCGCTCCGTTCTACTCCAAGGAGAGGAGACGAGCTCTCGAGGTTCGCCGCGAACAGGTCGAGCTCGTCGTCGGGTTCATCGAGAGGCGACGGAGAGCGATTCAGAATCCTGGAACGGATGAAACGGCGACGTCTTTCTCTTATTTAGATACACTCTTCGACTTAAAAATCGAAGGGCGTAAAACGACGCCGTCTAACGAAGAGCTCGTGACGTTATGTTCGGAGTTTCTCAACGGTGGGACGGATACGACAGGGACCGCGATCGAGTGGGGTATCGCGCAGGTGATCGCGAATCCTGAGATTCAATCTCGTCTCTACGATGAGATTAGATCAACGGTGGGAGATCGTGCGGTTGAGGAAAAAGACGTGGATAAAATGGTCTTTTTACAAGCCTTTGTTAAGGAGATTTTACGGAAACATCCACCTACGTATTTTACGTTGACTCACACGGTGACGGAGCCGACGACGGTCGCTGGATTCGATGTTCCGGCGGGAATCAACGTCGAGTTCTATCTCCCGGGGATAAACGAGGATCCGAAGATTTGGTCTAACCCGAAGAAATTCGATCCGGACCGGTTTGTTTCGGGTAAAGAGGATGCGGATATAACCGGCGTAACCGGAGTGAAGATGATGCCGTTCGGTGTAGGCCGTAGGATCTGTCCCGGTTTATCAATGGCGACCGTACACGTGCACTTGATGCTTGCGAAGATGGTTCAGGAGTTTGAGTGGAGCGCGTATCCCGCGGGAAGCGAGATTGATTTCGCGGGAAAATTGGAGTTCACGGTGGTTATGATGAGACCGTTACGAGCAATGGTTAAACCAAGGGTTTAAAATTATTATTATGAAAACACTGTGTGCTTATATTTAGAGGAACCTATACTTTAAAAAATTGTGGGGGTGTTTTGTGAATTCTAGTAAAATATTACATTTGTTATCAAACATATCAATAAATGATTTCCTTCTTTTGGAAAGTTTGAGATATCGTGTTGAATGTCACATTCAAATGGTTAAGAGCTGTAGTCGACAATTTAGATAGCCAGCAAAGTAGATGTGAAGACATATTCATGTGGGACGTTGTTGATCGAACGTTTAAGAGCTACCAAAATTTAGTTCAGATTTTGATCGTGACTGACTCATGTGGTTCATTAATATACAGAGTTGGCGCTTGGCCCAAGCGGATGAAGCCCATGCTTCCGATCATTTCTAAATAACTAAAATATCTACCAAAAAATTATCAAATGTTCTCCTAGTCTAGTGGTTCATTTATGAGGAAACAAATATTAGGTGGACAATCTGAGGTTCAAATCCTATGTCCACCAGCCACATATTTTAATTTTACTTCTAGTCTCTGTTATGCTAGGTCTGCCTCTGTCAATATAGCAAGAGATTCACACAGTTTGAAACACTAATCAGAGAGACATAGAATCGTTTGATCAATCAGAGTATCTACTCTCAGCTAGAAAGTCTAATCTATTGAAACATAAAACTTTTTGAAACTTTTATTGATCGAAACCTAATCCCCAAATTGATTGAAAACACGAAACGAACCCTAATCGATGCGGAGAACAACATCCAACCTAATCTATAAGCAAAAATAACCAGGAGAAGAGTCGATTTACCTTGAACGCCTTGACTTTTTGAGAGACCAAAGTCGCCTTCAATATCGCCTCAATTTTTCTTTTGGCTTTTCCGTCGAGAAATGAATTTTTTTCCCAACCAAACCGAAACGCAAACCGACTACGATCCATTCAACTTCTACCACGTGGTAAGGATTAAGTCCTTCCAGGCACTTAATAACGTTACGATCCTTGGTAAACCTCGACATTTTTATTCGATCCACCCTAGGTTTTGCGATTAAGGATTTGCAAAACTTACTGTTACATGTGCTCTAACGATGTTACGATCCTTGGTAAACCTAGGCACTTTTAATTCTTTTATTCGATGCACCCTTAGATTTTGCAGCTAAGGATTTGCAAAACTCACCGTTGCATGTGCTCTTATATCCTCAGCTACACTGTGCATACCAAGAATGCAGATAATGTTTTATTTGTTTATGAAATAGATCTTATGTGTGATGGAGAAGCCCATTAACTTGGCCCAATAGAAAATTTAAGAATTATCTGCTAGCTTCTCCTTCTTTGTCATCTCCTTCCTCCTCGAAGAACATAATCAAATCCCCTCGCTTTGGTTTCATTTTGCAGATTTTTCTCCGTGTGAATCAAAACTTTGTATGATCTTCCTCCAACAGTTGTGACATGGAGGCAACTAGTGATACTTGGGGAGAAATTGAACGTTCTGAGAGGTAATCTTCCGTAAATCGATGGATCCTTTTTTTTTTTTTTCCTCAGTAACTTTCCTTGAAAGTAATAACCCATCTGATTTTGATTCAGTTATACTTATAAACTGGAGAAATAAAAACTAATTTTATTATAATTGTCTATGATGACTCAAATTCATTTCATACCTGTAAAGAATTTTCGTTTTATGTGTTTTTTTTTGCAAGTTGTATTAATAGATTTGATTGCTAATTGTGTTTTTTGTTGTTAGCTACCTAGTCTGCTCTATGTATGGAGAAGCAGAGTCATTATCTTCCTCCATACTGAAGAGAATCTTTGGTAAAGTTGATGGTTTATCAGAGGAAGCTCATGGTGATTATCAGTTTCATGACATGTTGGAATCTGCTGGGATGGTTCTAGTCCAATCCTTGCATGGTCTCGGCAGGTGTATTTCAGATTGATGTGTGTGTGTGTGTGGGAAGAAACTTTAGAGTATAGTACTCTTTGGCTCTGTGGTATTAGCTGACAACTAATGCTCTTTTTTTTTTTAATGCAGGGCTGGTGAGATTGTAAATGAGCTAAGACAAGTGTTTGGTGAGGTTGTGGCTATTCCTGTTCAAGTTCTTCTCACTGGGTAACTTTCTTGTTCTGTTATTTTTGACATTATTACAGCTTAAGATGCTTGAAAAGGAGTAAGTTTCAGAAATAGGAATAATATGACATTTCAATCACCTATTAGGCGAGTGAGAAAAGAGTCTTAACTAACTACTTGAGAGAGGTCGTGATATTTGCTAACATTTACTTACTTGCAGTCTGCATACTTTAGCATAGACAAAAATCACAGAACGATGTTATAGATATCTATTTAATCGATCTTTATCTTCTTTTTCCCCATTTAGAATATGTCTTCAAATATCAAACGGTTCCTACTCGGGTGTACGTGAGATTCTGGAAGAGTTCTTTAGCATATGGGTTTACAAGGACAACCACTATGTCCTGAGTGATTCTGGATTAAGTGAAAAAGTGTTCCATGGGAAAAAATCGTTGGACATTGATGAGTACATGGAAGTTGTAGAGCTGTATACCTTTGGGGTTCTTGGAAAAGATACAAACAACGTTGGACTAGCCATTTCATGGGTTGAGGAAGCTGCATTGCCTGAGGAAAGACGACAGGTACAATTGAATCTTTGCATGAGTTCTGTATGAACCTGTTTCAACTAAAGATACTGCACTCAAATTTCTGTTGTTTCAGGGACTTTTGAGAAGATTGCATTCTCTCCAATCAGCAAACGTTCGAGAGTCTACTTCTGTAGAGGAAAATTCTTCTTACGATGTAGTTATTAATAGCAAGAAGTCTTTGGCTAATGAAAAGAACGTTGAGAGTGATTATATCCTGAAACTCTCTAAACAACATGAACCTTGGTCATCCCGTCCTCTAAGCCTAAAGTTCGGTAATACCCGGTTTAGCATGTCTAGGGGAAAAGTTGCCATAAGCCTTGTTGGATTAATCATATGCTATGCTTTGAAGAGGAAACGAGCTGCTTTAACACGGTAAGAATTCTTCTAAGCAACATCTCTGTACTTGAATGATCAGAATTTATGGTGATGAAAACATATATTGTGGTGTGTTTTGTATTAGGATCATTCGCAGACAAATGGAGTCCACGAGAAAAGCAATTGTAGATTTCTGGAAGCTTGCGTTTTCATACCAAGTGAATCCTCTCGCAGCTATTCAATCCATACCAACCACCGCAACTTGAGGTAGTTCCCACAGTCTAGAAGATGGATCAACGACCTGCTTTTGTATCGAAATAAAGCTGCATCATTTTGGTTCCTACTCGAGCTTCATTACACCCTATAGTTTAGGCAAAATTGTGTTGTATAATCAGATCCATACTCACTACTGTGTTAAAAATGTCATTCTGTTTTACTCTTATTTGGTTCAAATTCAAAGCCGAAAGTATTAGTCCCCAATATTTTTTTCATGCATTGGCTCAAACTTACTTAATCCCAACTCATTGTGTTAAACCAAATAAGAGTGAAAGATTGTATGTTTTGGGACATGAGACGCCTAATTATTCAAAGAACTGGTTTTAACCACAGCCCTTACAATGACTAAAACAAGGTTGGTCCACAGAGAAATGTTAAGCCACAAGTCACAGAAACAAAGAAGGATCCCATACAAGTTTTATTAAAAACAGAGTCACGTGATCTGCTTCTCCTTTAGGCCTTGCCGGTTTCACCCTCTGTCTCCCAGAAAGCCGATTTCTTTCCAGTTTTTGATACAGTCTGCAAAACAGCGTCTGGCTGCACATTGCCTTTCACTGTCACTTTTTGCTCCTTTATATCCACATCAAATGACTCCACGCCTGCACAAACCGGAAAGTCATGTTCATGCTCTTGACTTGTTCTTCAGAAACGTGTTTGAATAGAACGGAAGTATGAAGCAAAAATAAGTTAAAATACGAGAGTGAGAATCTTTTTGTGGAATCTCTATGTTATGGTACGAAAAATGGGATGAGATGACTTTTGATTTAAAGCATTTTGAGAGACAAAACATAACATCAATAATTATGATTAGTCAGAGAAAAGCTAACCTTCCATTTTGCCGAGGACTCTTTTAACAGCTCCAACACATCCCTCGCATGACATAGCCACTCTGAGAACAACGGTCTACACCAGAAAACAAAAGTGCAAATCCTTTAAAACACTGATCAAATTTGTCAAACATCATAGCAGAAAAACTCAATCAGAATACACCAAACCCTTACAGCAGCGAATAATCTAAACATTATAATTAGAATCGAAGAAACGAATAAGGGATCAAAAAAGATCAGACCATGGATTGAAAAAGTTTGAGACCCTATCTATATATCAAGCGGCGAGAATTGCGATAAAGTAAAAGCCACCCAGATCACGTAAATGGAAGAGAGTGGAATCCCGATTGAAATACCTGAGACATAGCTTCAATCTCTCACAGAAACTCCGACCACAGAGAAAGTTTGTACGATAGAGAGACAGATAGAGATTGAAGAGATAAAAAGTTGATGCGAGTTGTGTTTTGAAAGGATATTATTATTACCCTTGGTGCAGTCAACTCAATCTAATGATTGTGATCTGATTGGTCGATGATAATTTAGGTTTTTTTTTTAATTTCCATTATTGACTGAAGTCTGTCCAAATACTTTCATTTGTTTCAATTTTTATATTTTAAAATTTTCACACATATTAATACAGCATAAATTTTAATTATAAACCTATAATTTTTTGTGATTATTTATTTTCAATCATTTAAGCTAATAAAAATCTAGTAAATACAATTATTTCTTTGAAGTTTAAATTAGAACTAATCCTTATTACTTGATAAAATGCATTAAAAACACAAAATATTATTTTTTAAATAATGTATTTTCTTATAAAACATGTATTTTAATGAAACATAATGAGTATTAAATTAAGTGTTACTGTGAAAAGTGAGAGTGATAGTCTTTTATTCAATTAACTATGATATATTGTGGGTTGATCCAATTTGTTAAATTTTGGTTATTCCACCATGATCTATATATATATATATATCTTACCGACCATAAAAAGAGAGTGAGGGTGATAGACTGATAGTCTTGTTAATGCAAGGAAGAAACAATATATACTTCTATGAGGAACGAATCTAAACAAAAAAGACAGATAGTAGTATTAAATAGCTTTTAGCTACGCTCTGGAATTTTGAGGACTATAGACGATTTATTAGGAAGGTTAATAAAAATAAAGTTTAACAATTTGAATACTTTATGTTTTTTTATGTATGCTCTCAAAAATTTGTGGGTTCTTAACCAGTGATTCCTAGCTATGTCCAGGATCTGGCACGCTACATATTTTGCAATATATATGTTTTTTAGGGCACACGCAATAGATAGAAGCTGCGTCATGAATATGGCAACAAAGCATTTGTGTAAAACGATAAAAAAAAAAAGAGAAAAGAACCAAGGTTTGATGGCATTTGAAGAAGCTGTTTCCATATGTAGACGATCTTCTTGAGAAGAGTGTGTTGATAGCATCACAAAGAGGGAGGCAAAGTACTAGTAGCAATACTGGAATTAATCACAGGCAAGGGCAGTATAGCATCATCGTGAAAAGTGCGGTGGAGAAGGCAACAAGCATGGCTTATATAGGGAGAGGAACATAATTGAGCAACCCAAATTTATAATATATACATAATACATGTTGTAGCCGAATGCATATCTTGTAATCAGATTTATAACTTTATATAGCTTCTAGAATTATTCATGCAGAATAAAAACAAGTTATATATACAGGTTGTGGCAGAAGTAATTTACACATTATATATGACCTTCAAAATTCTAAAATTAGGAGAAACCACTTTATCTTGATTTCTAAATTCTGGTAGCTGCCAATAAAATCTTTAAATTCTGTTAAAATTGGCACCTTGGACAGAGTTTTTGCTGTTGTGAGTAATTAAACCCGTGTTAAATCTTAGCCTTGATGGTTGTTATCTGTGCTGTCTAAAAGTTAAAAACCGCGTTTTATAATTAGCAATCTTGTAAACATTTGAGCAAATAAGCAAAACAAATTACTTCTTTTGGGAATTTTGTAACTTTATAAATAACTTTTTCTTCTGTACTCCTAATTTCATTACCCTATAAGTTTCGGGGGCCAAAAGCTTCCAAGTGATTCAAAACAAATACTTTACAAATCATAAACTACTTATTAGAATCAAAAGAAAAATGAAGAAAATGACCAAAAAGTTATCGTCTAAGTACGTGAAGCTCCGCAAGAGCCGGCTCCGGCAAGAGGGGTCTATGAAGTCGGAGGACGGTGGAGAGATTTTCCAGGAAACTCACTCGTCGGAAAATGAAGAAAATAATGAAACAAAGGAGACACCTAAAGTTACTAAGATTATAGAGTCCATGCATCGTAAGCTGATGTTAAAAGAGAAAGGAAATAAAAAGAATAACCACGTGGACGATCAAGATCAATCCCAGAGGTCTGAACGCTCGGTTAGGAATGGTGGCCGTGATAGCATGGACGACCAGCTTGAAGGTTCGGTTAAAAACATGAACCGTAGTGATATGGAACAGCTTGAAGGTTCGGTTAGAACTAGTCATATGGATCATCTTGAAGATTTGATTAGAGGTCGTATGGACAATACTGATGGTTCCATTAAGAAAGGTGTTCGTGACCGTGTGGACCAACCCGAAGAATCAAACATAAACGGTCAGAAATCTCAGGTTGAAAACGTTACACCTAAAGCAAGCGGTCAAGTAGATCAATCAGAAGAATCAACTAATAGTCCTTCTGATTTTGCTTCTAAAAAAGATTATCTTGATTGGATTGAATATGTTGAAGGCTCTAGTCATCATTGTTTCGATCGATCTGAAAATCATGAAAAGCCTTATAGGAATAATGACATGGACCATGATCAGATAAGCGTTGGAATGTCGGAAGGATCCATAGAGGGGAATAACGATGAGATGTTATTACTCAAGAGCTCTAAGTATAGAAAAATGAAATCTGAAGATTCCAAAGGTTATAAGAAAGGAAAAGGTAGTAAGGTCAAAGATTCATTGACGAGTCAAATGGTTGACTAAACGTGTCTTTCACATTGTATAATATGATCATTGATCATTTAGTTAGTGTGAACTACTACTACTACTACGCTTTGTATAATCATATTATTATATATCTTCAATAAAGTCTCCACTTTACTATTTTGATTACTTTTACAATTTTTTTCTAAGAGAAAAAACCCCGAAGAACTAAAAACAAATCATTGAAAAAGCTAATGTTAACTAAAACCCTCGTCATCAATCTTCATATATTAAGTATTTATTTCATGGGTTTAGGAAGACGTTTTATTGAATATCGGAATGAATACAAAATTTTGGAATCGAAAGGGAGAACAAATACAAGATTACAAGAGTTTAGATCTAAGAGATTAAACCCTAAAACTTGTCGTCAGTGTCTAGAGGCTGATTTTCGGATCCTCTTCTCGTTGTTCCCTCTCTTCCCTTTATACTTCTCTTCATCTTGATCTAGGTCTTCTCGACTTAATCTAATTCAACTGGACCGAATTGATGGCGGGCCAGTTTACAAGCTATTCAATTCGTCATCTTTCTAAAATGGGTCTAGATCTTTTTTTATTAAACCGTAAAGGGGTTGCTATTCAATTCGCCATCTTTCTAAAATGGGTCTAGATCTTTTTTTTATTAAACCATAAAGGGGTTCAGTGAAACTCTCCCAAACAATATGTCTAATGCCCAAAAACTCTACGGGGTACTGATGATACAACTATGGCATCTGCTGACCAAAATTCTCGTCATCATCAGGGCCGGCTCAAGTGCATCATGGGCCCATGGGAAAATTTTTTTTTTTTCAAAATTACATACATTTGTAGATAATTTAAAAATTTTGGGCCCTCATTCTTATTTTTTTTTTTTAAATTGGGCCCCTTTTTAACCTTATTTAACTATAAAAAATCTTTGGGCCCTGGGCCTACGCCCCCCTTGCCCCTATAGCTAAGCCGGCCCTGGTCATCATTTACCCAAGTTATGTCGTTGATACTGAAACGTTTCTTTGCTTCACTCTCCATGTTTTGCCTCAAGAAATACTTTTGTGTGAGAATAAAACTCCATTATTGTCCATTTAGTAATGGTAAAGCCCATCTAATAAAATTTTCTGCTTAAATGGGCTTTATCAAATACGTTTGGACAAGAAAATGGGCCTCTTAGAAACCCTAATAAGATTCTTATATTTATACACAAAATTTTCTTCAGCTACGTCCCTTTGCTTATCTTCTGCATTTACCTGCCGCTTCTCCTCTCCAGCTCCGGCCAGGCCGTACAGGTACACTCCTCTACTTTAATGTACAACATTGGTAAAACAACACATCTCGTTCTTAAAATGAACCTACTCTTACAGTTCTGTCTGATGTATTAGATTGATAGAGTTCAACAAAAAAAAAATATTATATTGATAGTCACATTTCACTAGATTCGTTGCACACATTTGAAAGATTGATAGTAACATTTCACTAGATTCGTTGCACACATAAAGATGTAGAAAGAAAGTCCTAATGATTGGTTTTGAACTCTTCTATACGTTGATGTATCTCTTTGAGTTGCTTGTGTTCTCTACATTTTATTATCTACCTGATTAATGTGAATCAAAAGAAACTTTGTATTTGATTTATCACCTTAATGTCTGAACTCGTCTAGCTGGAACCATAGTTTAACATTTAGATTAATTTTATTATTCATATTTGTACCTTGATGTATCTGCATTTCTCCGGATTATAAACAGCTGAATCTTTCGTTGTTATTGTTCTTGTAGGTAAGTACAAAAAAAGAGTGGTGAAAAGATGGGTCGTGTCCGTACCAAAACAGTGAAGAAATCATCACGACAAGTGATAGAAAAGTACTACTCAAGGATGACACTCGACTTCCACACGAACAAGAAGATCTTGGAGGAAGTTGCAATCATCCCATCGAAAAGACTACGCAACAAGATCGCTGGATTCTCCACACACTTGATGAAACGTATCCAGAAGGGACCAGTGCGTGGAATCTCGCTCAAGCTACAGGAGGAAGAGCGTGAGAGGAGAATGGACTTTGTACCCGACGAGTCTGCTATTAAAACAGATGATGTTAAGGTGGATAAAGAGACGTTAGAGATGCTTGCTTCTCTGGGAATGTCTGATGTTTCCGGGTTTTCTCAAGTGGAGACACAAGCGGCCGTGGTGCCAGGCAATGCGTTTGGTCGTGGTGGAAGAAGGTTCTAAGGCGTTTTTTTTTTTTAATTTCAGCAAATGAGTTATGTTTTTGTTTATGGATTAAATTCAAGATTGATTTTTTTACATGTAGAGACACTTTTTGTCATCGTTATCACACCTAGAGTCACTTCCCACTTGTGACACACTTTTGGCATGTGAAAAATTCATTTTACCCTCAACTTCATTATCTCTCTCTCGACTCCAACACATGACCAGAGAAAAAATCAACTTTAATAAAACTTTTCCAGAACTCAAAATTTCAATCTCTGGATCCATAATCCTCATTCACTTTAAATCTATTTTCAATATCTTCCTTTATTACATGAACAGTGGTATTTGTGTAGAAGCCCCAGAGCCATCTTCTCTCTGCCGTGAACCGTATCCAACCCTTCTTCTCCGACCAGTAGCATCGGATTGACCTTTCACCACCGTAATTTTCCTCTTCTAACACATGAAGTCGCAGCGGTTCTTGTTGAATAGATCTGGAACTACCGTCTCTCAATATGTCACAAGCTTCTCCTCTTGGTACCACGTCTCCTCCACTGTTTGTCTCCACCTCAGACTTTCACGTCAACGCCCTTTCCTCCCTTTCTCTGCTCTCTGGTCCAACGGTAGAAGACCGTATTCCCATTTATTTTCAATATCATCCGATTTTGGTTTCATTGATTTCTAGATTGGATTTGAGGCTAGTCATGTTAGTAGTTTTAACTAAGGAATTCCTTATTTCTATTGATTTTCGTGCAACTCTAAAGTGTTGGATTTAGTAAAGTTCAGACCTTTTTATGAATTTTGTTTCTTTTATTAGCATTGAGATTGTCGTTCACCATCTTCTCCAACTGAATCTAGTTTTTTTTTTATTGGTTAGTTGATTTTGGATTATGTATGAGTAATGAGTATAAGACCTAGTCCAATAGTTGCAATAAAGGTTCAGTTTTTGTTTGTATACACACAAGAGTTTCTCATTAAGTAGTATATTCTTAGAGATGCAGATGTGAAATGCAATATTTGTATCGTGCTTTTAGCTGTACAGTCACAAGAATACTAGTGATTGTCTTAATGAGCACGTTCATCATTCCGTTGTATTTTTTAAAAATGTTTTGCTTTCATTTCAAGTTTAAAGTACCATTTTTGTGTACATACAAAGGTGTTTTGGTGTCAAGAGTCTGAGATAGGTTCTGAGATTTTTTCAAGTACTGATTAGAACTGAGAATGTAAAATAAATGAGCAGCAAAAAACGAGAAGATATGTTTACATTTGGTGTGATCATCGTGTTGAAACTCTTACCTTTTCAGGATATTGTGAATGAGTTTGGTGTTCATGGATGCTTGTTTGCTTTACATCAACGACGTTGAGAGAACTAACGAAACGTTTGTGTTCATTAGGAATTCAATCAAAACATCAAAATACTTTGTCTTCACCTTCTTGCCTAGGAATTTGGATGGAGAGTCGAATTTGAAGATGCGGTACACCAAGCATTTAGGAGACAACCAAATCAACTCCATCCACACAATGTCAATCCACGTCCCCTCCGTCCACACATGTCTAGACTGAAGCAAAGACGAGCGGTGAAACGGGATGGATTATGGAGCAACATGAGGGTGATGAAGAACATGAGGTTAAGATTGCTGCTACTTCTGCTCATTCATCAAAGGTTAGGATCGTTGGTTTGAGAGAGATTTCCATTGGTAGGAGCTAGAAAGCTTTGATCTTTCTGGTGATTTATACTGTCCACACTTCAAGTTTTGATTGATCCATTTTTTTTTAAAGATTGGAGTCTTGAAATCTCTTAAATATGCACTCAATTCGTTTGAGTCACTGCTCTAACCACACATCAAGGTTTGATTCTCTATCCATAAATTTAAGAATCCTCCACTTTTATTTGTGGACACGCTAGTATCCACATCCACAATTAACCAACCCTTTGTTCATAAAAAAAAGTAATTTAAAACCACTTCGAAACAAAGAGAACGTACATGTGTTCTTCTTCCATCCTTTACATGTTTTGTGTTGTTGTAATGTTTTCTATATGGTCAGCTACTGCAACAGCCAGCTACATCGGCACCACATCAGCCTACATCATTCCATCTAAGGGTTCGAGCTAGGCGTGGTCAAGCTACTGATCCACATAGCATAATTGAAAGGGTAAAGTATTCATCTTTATCACAATAACTCCACTTGTTAATCTGTTTCAATTATAAATTTTTGGGATTTTTTTTGTTGTTTAGAAATTGGATTATTGTTGATAATGACCTAAGCAAAGTGTGTTTTTTTATAGTTAATTTTTAGGTTTGTTGTTTAAGAATTGCTGAGAACTCACCAGCTTTGAAGAAGCTTATGTTCACTAAGAGTCATGAGCTGTGACCAGAATTTATCCGAACACAACTAAGCTGACCACAACTCAGCCGACCACAACTTAGCCATCCACAAGGGCATTTTTGACAAATAAATTCGTTGGTCCCACCAGAAAGTATCCCACAAGTGGGAAGTGTCTCTATGTGTAATACAAAGACAAAATGTGTCTTTCTATGTAATCAACGATTATTAGCTTAGTGGGGGTTATTGGTTCTAGTATTTTATAGATTCAGAAATCCTTCTTGGATTTTGAAGTTTTTGACAAATCCACACATTTTAGAATCAAATAAGTAGATTTTAGAATCAATGAAATAGATTTCAAAATCAAAATATTTGAATTCTTATAAATCTGTCAAATGGATTTGTGATAAGCTTAAATTTGTAACAAAATAAAATATATATAAAACTACAACGTATGTTTTATCATTTTCTATATCATATGTTATTATGGTAACATAAAATTCATCACATATTTGTTGTTATTACCATTTTCACTTGATTGACATGTTTTCTTTGTTGATCTTCAGTTCCAAGAATTTCTTTACCCTTGTTATTAACTTCCTCAAAATCTTTTTCGTTATCGGAACTTTTTTATTCAGAAAAATTATCGGTTCGTTAGAACTTTCGAAGAAAACTACGTAAACCAGCCCACACAAATATTCTATTAGTTTGTGTCTTATAAGGAAAAGGGGATGCACATTTAAAAATTAAAAATTGAGATTTTTATATACCAAAAATTCTTTCGATAACATTCTTCAGAAAAACATGAAGATGGTTAAACAGCTCTTTTCATTTTATGGAATAGAATCTCCAGAAAACTCTTGTAGACCAAAACTTTTATGATAAATTTTTTTTGGTAAATTTTTATATTAACGTCTGCGTGTACGTAAAGCTTTTTTTTTATAACACTTATAAGAGTTTAACCAGAAAGAGGAGATAATACAAAGAAAAGGAAAATACAAAGTAAACAAGAGATGTCAATAGACACCAAAAATGAGGAACTAAACTCACCCAAACCTTCTATAGTTGAGCCTCCAAAGCAAGTAGATGATGAAGCCATGCCGGAGCTAGACGGGCGATGTATGATTGATGTCTCAAATCACGAGTAACACTTACAGCAATAGACACTGCAGCTTCATTGCGATCAGAAAGAACGTGTTCTAAACTCCAAGAACCGATCCGTGTCAGGAGAAGGAAGATGCTGTGACGTATGTTGGTTAATACAATTATATGTTGGTAAAGCTAGGCTAGAGATAGTTGGTTAATACAATTATATGTTGTACTACTACGTACTCGTTAATAACATAGAGATGGTGAAACATGATGGTTGTCTCAGACTCTCATATCAGTATTTTCTTATAGTTATTAGGCAAACATAGACAATATGTACGTAAAAATTGGACCAGAAAAAAATATTAAGAAAACCAATAATACATATCTATCAAAATAACAAGGTTCAACTCAATATTTGATTCTTTGTATTTTTAACTCATAAATCCACTCAAATCTAATTTTAAATCAAATCCTTAAGCAAATCATTATTATTGAATAACACCTAATTTTAAAATCTTTTTTAAAATCATAAAACCAATAACAGTGAATTTGAATATAGATTTTAAAATCATAGAACCAATAACAATGAATTTGAATATAGATTTTAAAATCATAGAACCAATAACACTATATTTGATTTGTATTTTCAAATCCACTAAAATATACAAACCAATAACACCCTCTTAATGTGTTTGTCTTGAATCTACATTTTACTCGAATAAGGCTGAAACTGTAAATAGTGTGAGGAGTCAGGGGCATAAGTGTCAAAATGATTACATTATTCCGTGGAAAAAAGGTTTGGTTAGAAATCAAATGGCATTAATGTACAGATCCATTCTCTTACAGCATCTCCCTTCTCCGTCTGTAACTACTATATTACGAAACTACCCCTTGAAACCTCTCAAATTATCCAGCTTGCCCTTGTCGCATCATCGCTGCCGTCAGTCTCCTTCCTCCTCCTCCTCTGCTCGTTGTTGTTCTTCTTCATCGTCGTCCTCCATGGAATCTCCACCGGAAGGTTACAGAAGAAACGTTGGTGTCTGTCTCATGAATCCTTCCAAAAAGGTAATCATCTCTGGAACCAGCTTCTTCTTCTTCTTTGCTATTTGTCTATATACTTTGTGGTTTAAGCTGATAATTTGATTCTGGATAAATTGGTAGATCTTTGCTGCGTCGAGGTTGGATATTCCCAGTGCTTGGCAGATGCCTCAGGTTTGTTTTTTTCTTAGATTATTAAAATAGTGTTTCCGTTTTCTAGTATCTGAATTGTTTTTGGTATTGGATGGATTGATACTGATAGGGTGGAATAGACGAGGGTGAAGATCCAAGAGTTGCTGTCATGAGAGAGCTTAAGGAAGAGACTGGTGTTCACTCTGCTGAGATCATCGCTGAGGTTTTGGTTTCTTCTAAAAACCATATGTTAATCATAACCTTAATCCAAATCTCAGACAACTTGTTTTAATAACATTTGATTCTTTTTTTTCTTTTTGGTATGTGAAGGCACCTCACTGGGTGACGTATGATTTCCCTCCAGATGTTAGAGAGAAGCTTAAGGTCCGTTGGGGATCTGACTGGAAAGGTCAAGCTCAGAAGTGGTGAGTTTTTTGATGTCATATACACTCACTGATATATCTAATCACAAACTCATTTAAATTTGATTTTGAGCTTTAGAGCTGATCAAGTAACTGTGTGGGAATTCTCAGGTTTCTTCTGAAGTTTACTGGGAATGACGAAGAAATTAATCTTCTTGGTGATGGAACTGAGAAGCCTGAGTTTGGGGAATGGTCTTGGGTGTCTCCTGATCAACTTGTTGATCTTGTGAGTACTGTTTGCTTTCTTCTTTTCTAATTGTTGAGAGTTTCAGCTTCTACTACTTCACTCATCTTCTTCTGTTTTCGTTATAACTTCAGGCAGTGGATTTCAAGAAGCCAGTTTACAAGGAAGTCCTCTCAGCTTTCGCTTCTCATCTCCAGTAAAACACAAACCATAAACTTATTATATAACTCCCTGCTTTTGAAGTTTTTTTTTTGGTATCAAACTCGAGAATAAGCTCTTCTTGAAAGACATTTGCTTCTTGAATAATCCCACGAACTAGAGAAAATACAATCATTCTTCCCTATGTATCCTTATTTGATCTTTAGCAAAATGTGAGAAATCTCTGTCATTTTCTTCACTATGTCAGTCTCTTCTATGGTTTCCTTTTAACCTTAGCTCATCAAGCTTTACTCATTACAGACTCGTTCGTATCATATAGTTCTCACCTCTGAACCGAAATTAGCTCAAATATTAGTCAGTTTCTATACATTGTTATCCAAACTGAACCTAAAATCAAAATAATTGAACCAAAACTGATCCAATCTTTTTAAATACCCACACGGATCAAAAACGAAAACCGCAATATGTAATTAGAACTGAACAGGACCCCAGGCAGTCACACTATTAATCCAAGTGAGGCATTGATACTTATTAGGCTGGGCTTTTGGAAGACATAATGGGCTGAAAACCATGAAATAGATTTAAAAAGTTTTTAACCAAAGCAAATTTCAAAATTACTTTTGTTTCTTTCTCCTTGCCTTTCAATTCCTAAAAGGTGAGAAATGTTCCGATTACACTCGATCGCAAAAATTTCGAATTTCTGCAAAGACGTTAGAGTCGGAAGACGAAGATGGTTCACGACCATTGGCAACAACAAAACTAAAGTATTAACCTTCGGTGACGGAAGCCATGGCGCTCTAGGCATACCAAACACAGGAATCGGAATCGACGCTTACGAACCAACTCAAATCCCTAATCTCCCTTCCGACGTCTCCTTCATATCCGCCGGACACTACCACTCCCTCGCCGTCACCTCCGCCGGCCAAATTTGGACCTGGGGTCGCAACGAGGAGAATCAGCTCGGTCGAATCGGTAGTAGAGAGTCAAGAAGTGTGGCCAAGAGAGTGGAAGGCCTAGAGAATGTTAGAGTTAGGTCAGCTTTTGCGTCTGGAGTTGTTTCAACTGCGATTGGAGATGATGGGTCTTTGTGGGTTTGGGGGAGATCGAAAAGAGGACAGCTTGGGCTTGGGGAAGGTGTCGTTGAAGCTTTGGGTCCTTCAAAGGTTGAAACTTTAGGTCAAGAACACATCGTTAAGGTTTGGGTTAAACTAATTAACTTTTAAAAATGGAATCTTTTTGGGTTTGATTCGTTTTTTTTTTTTTTGACAGGTGTCGTTAGGTTGGGGGCATGGGCTTGCTCTTAGTGGGGATGGTAAGGTTTTTGGGTGGGGTTATGTAGCTGATGGGAGAGTAGGGAATGTAGGAGTTCCTCTTGAGGCGTCTCCGCTTGATTCATTTGCTAATGGGTATGGTGATGAGGAGGCAGCTGAGAAGAAAGTTGCTGAGGCTATGAGGAAGGAGAACGACATGCCTATAGCTTGGGAGCCTTGTTTGGTTGAAGAGTTGCGTGGTGTGAAGGTAGCAGATATTGCTTGTGGGTCTGATCATTCTTTAGTTCTTTGTGAGGATGGTACTCTTTTGAGCTCTGGGAGTAATGTGTATGGTCAGTTGGGTCGTAGGTGTAAGGAAGACTTAGGAATGTCACCTGTTGATGTAACCGGGTCTCCGGTTTCGATAGCAGCTGGTCTTGGTCATTCTCTAGCTATCTGCGATGTTCAGTCAGATTCAAGCACAAGGAGGGTTGTGTCGTCATGGGGTTGGAACCGGAGCCAGCAGCTTGGTAGGGGAAAGCCAGAAGAGGTGCCAAGAGAAGTGGAGGGTTTGGATGGGGAAAGGCCAGTTTCTGTATCAGCAGGGCGTGTGCATTCCTTGTGTGTAACAGAGAAAGGAGAGGGTTGGGTTTGGGGATGCGGAAAGAATGGTAGGCTCGGTTTAGGAAGCTCGGTTGATGAGCCTGAACCGATGTTGCTGGAGGATGTTGAGGGTTGTGTTCTTCAAGCAGTTGCTGGATTTGATCACAGCCTCATCTTAGTGGCTGATGGTCTAGATTAATATTCTGAATAAAGGTCTTTTAGTAAACTTCCACTGTTACAACTGAGAATCTTGTTTATCATTTTTGTAAGAGCAGAGAAATAAATCAAAAACCTTATGACCAATCACTGTATATTGCCAATGTGGCTGAATATAAGAGGTTTCTTCAATGCACATTGTGATTATAGTAGAGTTCTCTCTTCTCACAGTAGCCAAAAAGTTACAGAAAGAACAAAGAACTATGTGTATATGCATAGAAGTTACACAGTACAAAAAATGATCTGCCTATACCAGTCTAATAATAACAAAATTTCATCACAATATCGAGAAAAAGTAACACAATCATCATCATGATTTATAAATACTTCTTGGTCTTACGGTTTGTGCCTCAAAGCTAGTGTTTCAGAGATATGCTAATGCTCTTCTCTAGACCCATCTTCATAGGTCCTCCCATGATGCTCCCTTTTTGCATCATCGCCACAAACTCGTTGTAGTCTATTAGTCCATCCTGTAACAATGATTAAATGTTTTAATAGTATAATGCATGTGTTAGCTCATCAAGAATATAATGCAGTTTAGAAAGATGAGAAGAGGTATAAAGGAGCTTTTACCTCGTCTTGATCAACATCACGCATCATTTCTTCTATACGGGCATCTTCAACACCAAACTCCTCACAAGCATGTTGAAGCTCGTCCGGGGTGATAAATCCGCTACCATCCTTGTCAAAGTAGGAGAAGGCAGCGAATAGATGGTCCTCTTTCTCTATTTTGTTTAGATGCAATGTTGCAGCTATGAACTCTTTGTAGTCTATCGTTCCACTGTTGTCCACATCAGCCTGAATACAAAAGAGAAAAAACATACAAGATTACTGCAAAACCCCAAGCAAACCATGGAACTATAACAATAACATACTGAATGACTGAAACAGTTTAAGACTGGCTTACAGCTTGCATAAGGTCGAGAATCTCTGACTCTTTGAGATTGGCACCAACTTTTTTTAATCCTACTTTCAGTTCTTCGAAAGTTATCTGACCACTATTGTCAGCATCAATCATTTTGAACATTTCTTTCAAACCGGCTATTTCTTCTTCAGATAAGCTCTCGGCTATGACCTACACAACGAGTTGACAAAGTTATTCTAGCTTCTTGGGTCCTCTTTAATGAAACAAGAACACTTACTCTAAGAGCCATTTTCTTGAACTTGTTCATGGCGGAAAATTGCTTCATACGGCTCAAAACAGCAGAGTCCAGAGGTTTATCTGGAGCCACACCGTCAATTTGAACCCATGGATGACCTGTTCATCAGAGTCCAAACTTCTTGAGAAGACGAATGAAACTTTTATGCTCATATTCAAGATCAATCAGGCTTAAGTGACTTACATAATACTTGATGTGCGGTTAGTCTTCGCTTAGGGTCTCTTACAAGCATTTTCTGCACCAAGTCTTTAGCGCCATCAGAGATGCTTGGCCAGGGATCAGATGAGAAGTCAAGATCTCCATGAAGGACCTGTTCGAATATACCTTGCTCGGTTTCTGTTAATGTCATGGAGAAAATCACTTGTTTCAGAGCCTTAAAACAGATCACTGAATCTAAAAATGATGCAACCGTTGCTCTTACCGGCCCAGAAAGGAGGTACTCCACTTAACAAAATGTAAACAATCACACCAGCACTCCACACATCTGATTCAGGACCATAACGCTTTCTAAGAACTTCTGGAGCTACATAATATGGACTACCAACAACATCTGTAAAAACCTCATCTGCAACATTGAAAGGAAACTAATAAGTTCCAAACTAAAACATAGATGTTAAATCTAATGATCAAAGACAAAAGTAACTACAAAAGAGGAGAACCTGGCTTAAAGAACATCGAGAGTCCAAAGTCGATCGTTTTCAATAAAGAATCTTCCTCTCTACTAACAAACAGAAAATTCTCAGGTTTGAGGTCTCTATGCATAACACCAAGAGAGTGACAAGTCTCCAAAACTCCAACAATAGTTCTAGCTAACTCAGCTGCTTTCCTCTCAGTGTAATGCCCACGTTGAATAATCCTATCGAAAAGCTCGCCACCTGAACACAACTCCATCACAAGATGAACCGCCACAACATCCTCATAAGCTCCTTTGATGGATATAACATTAGGATGACCAGCCAAGTGATGCATTATCTGAATCTCTCTTCTCACATCTTCAACGTCTTCATCAGTCAGAAGCTTCCTCTTGGAAATGGACTTGCAAGCATACTCGTTCCCTGTACCTTTCTCAAGACATAAGAACGTTGTCCCGAATTGCCCTTGTCCGAGTTTCCTTCCCAGTGAGTAAAACTCTTTGAAGTTTTCAGTCTTCCTCTGTAATACTGACTCTGTTCTGAGACCTGCACTGGATACTCTCCTCATATGTTTAGGCTTGTTAGGTTCAGGTTTGGTCTCCGGATTGGTTTCACTCTTTGTTTCTGGTTTTGCTGGCTCTGGTTTGGACTCAGGCTTTGTTTCTGGTTTTGCTGGCTCTGGTTTGGACTCAGGCTTTGTTTCTGGTTTTGATAACTCCACCTGCACAACAACTTCCTGCTTGGCTTTTTCAGGTTTGGGTTTGGTTTCAGCTTCGGGAATGGACCTAGGATTAGGCATAGTAACTTGCTCAGGGGGTTTATTCTGGACTTGATCAGGTACTGGTCCTGAAGCAGCTGCTACTTCTTTGGAAACTTCTCCTTTGCCATGGGAAGAAGCTGCTTCTTTGGAAACCTCTCCTTTGCCATGGGAAGAAGCTGGTTCCTTGGAAACATCTCCATTGCCATGGGAAGAAGCTTGCTCAGCTCCGATCCGTGGCTTCCATAATGCAGCTGAAACAGTTTGCAAGAAACCATTTCCAGAGAGATTTGGTCCTACACAAACATTACCCATCAAAAATATCTCTCTCTCTGACTTATTATAATCCTAAATCAATTTTCTCCAAGATGAAAATGGATTCAAGCTTTCCACTTCACCGATCTATCAAAAGAACACATAATGATCTGATCTGATCTCATTTCCTGATAATGATGAGAGACACTTTCTAGTGAAAAGTCAAATCCTTAATAATCTAATATACTTGGTTCTCTTCTCCAACGACCAAGCAGAAAAATCCCAACTTTTTCACAAGGGTGATGTGAAAAATCAAAAATTTAAATGAACCCAGAACAGAGAGAGACGAAATTCAGACAACGGAAATGGTCTGAAAACAATTAAGATCTGGGATGAAGGAAAATAAAAGAATGATCTTTTTTTTGTTTGTTTATTTGGTGGAAGGAGGGAAAATTAGAGGGATGGGTTAATTAGCAATACATTTGAGTAAAACCTCAAGGATTTGTAATCTTTTTTGTAATAACAAAAGTCAATCGTGGAGAAGAAGATGATTGAAGAAGGAGATGATGATGATCATCCAAGGAGTTTGGCTTAAATTCACCAGCGAACTTTGCGGTCTCATTGTCTGAAAATTAATTATTTTTGCCCACTGGCTCCTTCCTACCATCTGCAGGCGATAAGAATAATCAAAACTAAGTTTAATTAAATGTCAAATTTCCTAATTAATGTAACCACCGTTAATTAATACCACCACTAGCTAGAGAGGACATAATGAGTTTTTATTTTTAACTGAAATTTTATTTGTTAGTTACAAAACAGTATGGAAGCTGTTCATAAACAAGACACAAAAAAAAATACCAAATACAACGGTTTGTCATGCAAACCAAACCAATGAAGCCAAAAAAGCCTACCGATCAAAGATTGTAGTGCTTCCCACACATCATCTTGACACAAACAACACTCTGCTCTCTCTAAGAAGGAAGTGGTTGTCTATGATCTGCGATAACTAACCGGATATCGCTTTGTAGCCTTCCTTTTCCAGTAACTTTGCCAAGGACTTGTCTCCGGTTTTAATGATTCTTCCATTCTCCTGAAACCCAGTAGCATACATGAACTACCGAATACTAAAAAAATAATATGAAAGTAAATGATCATTGTTGGCTGGTTTGGTTAACAAAACTCACCATGATGTGTATGAGAGTTGGTTTGATGTAGTCAAGTAGGCGTTGATAGTGGGTTATCATCAGAACAGAGTTTTTTGGAGTCAAAAGCCCATTCACCGCCTTTGCCACATCTTGAAGAGCATCAACATCCAACCCTGAATCTATCTCGTCTAGTATAGCCAACTCGGCTCCAAGGACCTACAAACATATAGCTAGCATTAGTGTTCCGTCACCTATTTACATGAATTGCTACGAAGAAAAAGATACTATTACTCTTCTCCACTGCTTGCAGATTCCAATTACAAGGAGACTTGAGTAGATATGGAAATGCTACATTTTTTTTATAGAAGCATGTGTCTTCTCAGATAACACTGCAGTCAAATACTGATCATAGATCCTTACTGCTCTAGGAATTTCTGCTTTCTCGTTATAAAAACAACATGTACCTACTAGGCAAGTCTACCCAAATATCTTAATTATAAGCCTTCATATTTATGAAACAAGCATAATATTCTAATCATATACGAGTGCTTGTGGAAACTGAGAAACAAAGGGGAAATGAAGCAATACCGCTAACTGTAGAATCTCGTTTCGCTTCCTTTCCCCACCGCTAAACCCTTCATTGACATTTCGGTTCAGAAAATCGGTCTTCATATTCACAACTTCAAGTTTTGACACTAAGTGGCTGTAAAACTGCATGCGCCATGTCATATACCGTAAGAGATTAAGACTGAATATATTCACAGTTCTACCAAGAGGATGACCAGTTGGCACAACAAGTAAGAAAGAATGCAAAGTAAATCCTGCAAACGCACCTGAATTGGATCAAGCTCTGGCTCGCCAAGCTTTCTTTTCCGAGCATTAAATGCCATATTCAAAAAATCCATATTACTAACACCAGGAATCTCAACAGGAGACTGAAAACTCATAAACAGACCAGCAAGAGACCTTTCCTCAGGCTCCATATCAAGTAAATTCTCCCCTTTAAACACAATACTCCCTCCCGTCACTTCATAATCAGGATGACCAACAAGAACCTAAAAAAACAAACAAATCTCCCTCTCAAAACAGAAAAGACAAAACAACAACGTTAAGATAAGACTCACACCTTAGAGAATGTACTCTTCCCTGAACCATTCTTCCCCATCACTGCATGTATCTATGAAAAAAATCAATAAGTATCCATCAAAAAACTCCCCACAAAAAAAAAAGATGACATTTTTTTTTTTACAATCAGCAGAGAGGTTAAATAGAATTGTTCACCTCTCCTTCGTAGACAACCAAGTTGACACCTTTTAGTATCTCCTGCCTCGTTTCAACAATCACAGCTCTCAAATCCTTAACCTCAAGCAAAGGGATTCTTCCTTCCTCATCTCGATCTACCACCACTGAATCCGAAGAGGTGGTGGAAGAGCCGACGGAAGACGAAGCAGTAATATCTGAACGGCGAGTGGTTCTCAGGGTTTGAGCGACGGCGGTGGAGTTAGCTCGGAGATTAGAGACGATGACACGAGAAGGTGAAGTTCCGAGCTGAACTTGGCGATGAGGAGGAGAGGAAATAGTCGGAAACAATTGAGTAACAGAGTGACGGAGGTGTAGATTAACGCCGGCCATGGAGAGAGATAGTTAGTTACGGCGGAAGACGACGGAAGTTATCCGGTGGTGAGTGATGGGGTTTTTATGTTGAGCGGTGGTTAGGTCAAAAGGGAATCTAATTTCAATCATGTGGCTCAATGCCACGTAGGACCACTAGAATTTTAAATGACTGAAACGACGTCACTTCGTGTCGTCCGATAAAACCTAACGCTTCTAATGCTTTCCTTGTAACTAAAGAAAACATTTTTATTTTTATGCGTGAACGGTGGTTAGGTCAAAGGGAATCTAATTTCAATCATGTGCTCAATGCCACGTAGGACCACTAGATTTTAAATGATTGAAACGACGTCACTTCGTGTAACCTAACGCTTTTCTATGCCTTCCTTGTGGCAAAAGAAAACATTTTTTTGAAGTAAGAGACAAAGTCAATACACTAAAGCAATCCTAAACCCAAACCCTAATCTCAAAACCTCCCATGACTCCATAAATATCTCTTCATATATACACATAGAAATAAAGGACTCGTAGATATATATCCTTCAAACAAGTTTTATTTAAAATAATTAATTGCCATTTTCTTGCTCATTTTATACACGAGCATATCAATGATGAGGAGGCCAAGGCCTGGTGGTGGCCTTCACCCACCACCGTTGGCTCCTACGGTGAGCAACTTCAAGCCAAGGGCTCAGTGGAGCACCTTAGAATCTTCTATGTTCCTCAATGTCCATCTTCCTGGTCTGTTTTCTCTTTCTTGTAACACAAGCTTTACTTGATCAGGGTTTTTTTTTTTGGAGAATTGTTTGATGATTTTGTGGAGTATACAGGGTTTTATATGGACCAGATCAATATCACGAAAGATGAGAAGGCACGGACTATCAAGATTGAAGGCCAGAGACCACTCTCTACACAGACAAAGGCTCGTTTTAATGAAGTTTACCGTGTCCCTGACTCATGTGACATGACGAAACTGAAGACCTCTTTCTCACATGGGCTCTTGACGATTGAGTTTCCGGTGGTTGTGGAAAATGAGAAAGCGGGAAAGGTGGTGGCAAATGATAAGGGGAAGACTGTACAGAGGCCTAATCATGAGGAAACTAGAGGGACGGGTGTCGTTGGTGGGCGTACCTTGAGACGAAGTAACCTTTCGGGCAAGGAGAAACAAGTGGGGACAACAAGTCAAGAGAAAGCTGCTTCTCCAAAGGAGAAGAAAGAAGAACCAAAAACGTATAAATCAGTAGTTGAGGGTAAGAGAGAGGTTCCAACGGCTAGGCGTGTGAAGACTGAGCAGAAAGTGAAAGACGGAGTGGGTAGTAAGGAACATGCGAAACAAGAGAAGGTGGTTGAGAAAAAGGAGAGTTCTCAAATGGGTCAACAAAAGACTGTACAGAAACTAAAGGAGGAAGAGGGTAAAGGTGGATCCACCGTTGGTGGTAGCTTGAAAGCCAAGGTACCTGCACAAGAAGGGAAAGTGACTGAGAGGAAGAAAGATGGTGACGTCGGTCAGAAAAAGAATGAACAGAAGGTTAAAGAGGACGGAGATACTAAAACGCCAGCCATTGGTGGTAGCTTGGAACACAAGGTACATGCTAAAGCAGAAAAAGTAGTTGAGAGAAAGGGAGATGGTGAAACAGTTCAGAAGCTGAAAGAGGAAGGAAAGACTGGCTTGGGAGAAAAGAAAGAAGAGAAACACACAAAACCAGCTGATGGTGATGAGGCAAGAAGAACTGAAAAGGAGATTTCTGCGTTGAACCAGGCAAAGCCTGAGCTGAAAACGAAAGAGAGAGTTGAAAGAACAACACGGGATGTTAATGGAGACGTAACAACCAAGAATGATGAGAAGATGGTTGGAGACAAGGTAAGTAAAGGAGAGATTCAAGAGGAAGTGGGAGAAAAGAAAGTAGAAGAAGCCGGTTTAGTCAAAGAAACAAGAGATACGAAAGATAATCCTCAAGTTGTGGAAACCATAAAGGTAGATTCAGGTGGTCCTGTGAAGAAAGAATCAACCATAGGAGGTGAAGATAGAGAGAAGATGGTTGAAAAGAGCTCTGGATCAGAAACAGTACCATTACTAGTCCAAGGACAGAAGGAGAGCACCAACAAGGAACCTCCTGCAGCAGAAGGAAGCGGTCTGGAGAAAGAAGAGAGTCACAAATATGGCATATCTTTGGTCAATGTTGGAGTAGCTTCTCTTGTAATTATGGTGTTTGGTGCTTACGTTTTCGTACCACTTGTAAAAATGTTCTATTGATACGGTTCAAAACAAAACTAATGTAGATGGCACTTATTTATGGTTTGTATTACAGAATAATTACTGGTTCTAACTTTTCAAGCAGCATCTTTTGTTTGGATAATCTTTAGAACAAATAACGGTACAAGATGCCTAGCCTATAGGCTCTCTTTCAATCCGAAACAAAACAAAAAATAGGATTAGATGATTTACATTATGTATTGTCAAACTGTTGGTAACAAAAGAAACGTATCAATCCATGCTCCATTTCTATAACTCTTGACTAGAAAGACCAGAGAATCTCACAGAGAGAGAGAATCAAAAAGAGATGAAGAAGCAAGAATCAAGAAAACATATAACAGAGCACTCGAGGGAACAAGACTTCCAGTTTGATCAGAGAACACGAGCAGAGTCACCAGCTTCACAGATGAGAACAGGTTTACCTCCATTCAGTTTCTTGGCAAACTCGGGTTGGGCCTTTTCATATTCATCCTTCACATACGAAGCAGCTGCCTCAGCTTGTTCTGCATCCACAAAGGCTAGACAACATCCCCTGAAGCCTGCACCACTGAACCGTGCTCCATATACACCAGGTGCCTTTAGTAGAATCTTGTATAGCTGAATCAGTGGCTCCGCACCTTCACCAAAAACTCTCACATTTTTAAAAAGAGAAAATTTAGTGTCTGCGAAAGCAGACTTGTCGCTCTGTTTTCACTTTAAGTATCTTGCATTGGAACACAAAGGAAGGAGAGAGAGAGAGTACCGCATTCGTAATTCTCGATAGAGCTCAAGCCTGACGCTGAAATTAGCTTTCCAAATTCTTCAAGATTGCCTGTAGCCCATGCTTCCAATCCTGATAAATTTAAGCACCAAAAACATTCATACAAGTCCGAAAATGAATCATTTATATGCACATAACGAGACTCCTATAAGAGAATTCAAGAGCATTTGCCTTTAGTAACCCGCATGTTTTCCGAGAAGTAATGCTCCGCTCTTCTAGCTAAAACCGATTTCAGCTCATGCTGCACGAGTAAGTAAGACCACATTACATAAATTTATAAACCTGCTAGAGGTGGAACCTGATTTACTACAAGTTTAAGAATAGCGTTGTCTTACCTTGTGAGCTTCATAGACCGCATGATCAACTGTTCAGTGGGACGGTAAAGAGATGGCAACAAAAAAATCTTATGAGCGTGCAGCGAATTAGAGACATAAATCCAAACTCAAAAAGTATTTTTACCATTGCACAAGGTAGGTTCCCGCTCGCTGTTCCCAGATGCACTGAAGAGAAAAAAAAATCAAGAACATGCTTTGATGCAACGGAATGAATATCACAAGCAAAAGGATAATACAGATACAATTCACAGCATTTCCACTGAAATTTGAAAATTAAGAAGGCGATTATGCAGAAAGTGTGAATTTAGTAGATTTGCACGTACGTCAAGAGAACTTTCGCAGCTTCTTGGCATTCGGCAACCCGCAGATTATATCCTGGGTTGGTGGTCAATGCCTGCCTCAGGCCTGAGAATGCCAACAATATCCTGAATGGTTTCTCCAGTTCAGGACCCTGTATGAGCTTGTGGTCCATCGTCTGCACATCAAACTGTTCTTCTGAAATGATAGTTTCTCGAAACGGTAGGCAGCAACATTTTATGTTTCTCAGGAAACTTCTCAAGTGAACTTAAACTGTCCGTATAGAACAGTCTTGGTTTTACCACATGAGCAAGCTTCTTGTGGAAATTTTACCTTGCAGTCCATGTATGTTAGACACCCATAACTCGATAGCAAAATAGCTGATTGATCCAAAATTCCATTCCGCAGACCCAGGTACCCATTCTCAATAAGCCTGCAGCGGAATCAATCACATGTAAGTCGACCAATTTGCACTTTTGCAGCACTAATTGCTGATTTTACAGATAGGCAACTGCTCATGAAACAATAATGATGAGCAGCTTCGTTATGATGAACTGAATGTACCTGTCATATTCGATATTCTCTGTTGCGGATACAGTCAATTCGTTTGCATTCTCTAAAGCTAGCAGGTATGCCACACCAACCTGTCACATTTCTGACGATCAAAAAGTAATTTACAAGATTCATTTTACAAAGCTGAGAAGTAAAGACCATTCCTCATATGCTAAAAGTTTTTAGGTAGTAAAGAACAAGAAAAACTGCCTTTCCAGAGAAAATCCTGCTGTACGGAAGTTGGAGGGTTTTAGTTACTTACAGCAGCTGATGAACTAAGCCCAGAACTATCTAGCCCATCAGAGCCACTGATGCAGCCAACAATGCCCTTCAAATATGAAAACAATTACACTTAAAAACGCATTCAAATATCTTTTCTTTAAATACAGTTATGTAAACTATGATGGAAAAGCAAAGCCAAAGAGATTAGGCATGGTAACCAAAGGTGAATGTGGAATCCAAAAGATCATACTGCCAACTCTCATTACCCTTGAATGGTCAACCTTATCAACAGCTATAAGCGGAAAACCAGACCTGTTTGAGATTCTTCTTGCTCATCTGTAACGCATAAAGCGCTCCTCTGGCATAAGTGCCCCAGATGCTTTTATCCTTTGCTGCACCATTTTTATTTGCTAGGCCTATTGGGTGCTGGATTTCATCTACTCTATATTTTTGGAAACAAAAAAAAAACTATCAAGAATTATGTATACAAGATCTGCAATTCCTTTACTACCACAAAGTGTACACAACTGAAATGCATTAAACTAAACAAAACAGAAGTATCTGTAGGAACGCTGTAGCATAAACAATGCGTGAATCAGAAACGAGGAAAAAAACATGCAAAAGTTTCCAAAACTGATATTTTACATTGCTAAGGGTCCTGATAGTTATAGACCGCATGTTGAATTTTAGAAGATACACAGAACGAGAAGGTTGAATCTGGTAGATGCCTAAGAGTTAACTGAAAGATGAGTTAATCTACATACTAGAATGAGATGAAGTGTAATACTGGCAATGTCAAAAATATGCTTCTACACTAATATGTGGCTTAGGAACCAAATTATGCATGTCTGAGCCTAGACATGTAACTTCCAAAACAATAATGACAATACGAGAGATCCAGAAAGACAAGCACACCTGAAACATACTTCTCCTTCAAATTGTGCAGAACGTAACTGGACCTGTATAAAAATTAGAAAAAGAATAAATAGCACAAAGACTTCAAGGCTCAGATCAAACACAAGGAAATCTCCCATCTCAGCAATATATCTTAGTCACCCTCATGTCTATAAACCACAGTCATTTTAAATTTCTCCAAATTCTAAAGCTGTCTATCTCAGGTGAGAGACAAAAGGAGACCAATTCACCATTTTCTACATTATTAAAATCTCCATCAACTCTCAAAATAAACCACGTCCAGACCAATGAATGCCACTCATCCCAAAAATAGAATGGTTCTTATAAGAAACGAAAAGAACTTACCAAAACACATAAGAATCATCATAATAACTAAGCAACAACTACTACACACCTGAGTATCGCCCGATGGAACAAAACCAAGAAGGATCCCTTTATTAATCGTCATAGCCGATACAGCTCCACCCTATAAACACACCAATAATAGATATGAATTTACAAGCAAACGTTAGCTTGGATCAAAAACCGGTGGCTAAATCCCTAATCATACACAAACCGGACCTGGTGATCAATGTGAGCTCCCAAAGGACATATACGATACGGCGCTACCACCACTCTAACTTCCTCCCTATCTCTCCCCGTCATCTTGGACACTGTCTCTTTAATGGCAGTTAACTGGAAAAAAAAAACGAACGATAACATTGAGAGTTTCAAGAATCACACAAACAAGATACTCGCGGCAATCCCTAGAATACACATTGAGCTCCCACACGCAGACGATCCACAACAGAATCAATGATTTCGCGAGAAAATGGAGAAGGAAAGAAAGTTTTTTACCTCGGATTCCGTAGGCCAAGACATTGTTCGTGAAGCTTTTCGCAGATAGAGATCTAGTGATGATGCTTTTGATTTGGGAATGATGAAGAATGGTGAAGGAAGAGGAAAGAGCGAGATGTGGGAGTGAGCGTCCGTCGATAGAGGAAGATTACCAAATAAGGAGGTGTTTGGTAACACGTCTCTAATTATATCCCTTTTGCTTAGTGTTTGATTAGTTAGTCTTTACTCTTCCTTCCTTGATTTAAAAGCTTTAAATTATGCTAATTTTTAGTCCATCAGTTTAATATAAATGTCACTTTAACAAGTTACACATATATTAAGAAAAAAAAAGTTGTCAAAAAAAAATAAGAAAAAAAAAATATTAGTATATTCTCATTTAATGTATAATTATTTAAATAAAAACAGTTTAAAACAATATCTATTGGTTGGTTAAAAGGGTAAAAAATAGATTATGTGAAAAAGTACATTGAAAATATAAAATGATATTTATTTTGACACAAGAAAAGGTTGGTAGTAACACTTATTTAAAAACAGAAGGACTATAAATCTGCAATCATGTAAATTACATAACATCCTTCCTTCAAAAGCTCTAAATTATGCTAATTTTTATAAATATGCAATCATGTAAATCACATAACATTGCTAATTATGTTAAATCGCAATTATGTTAATTATTTAAACCGAACCTATGTGTGGAAATTATTTAATTTGCTACAATTATGTTATGAATAAACCGAACCTGAACAGATTTAAGATGAAAAAAAAAAAAGATGAGTTTTCCTAATACACAAAAGTGGAAAAAAAGATATATCTACGAGGGGAAAGTTACAAAGAAGATTAAGCATGAACAGCAGATACTGAGTCTAGTTCACGTCCATGAACTCTGAACCGGTAGATACAAGTGTGTGAATCGCTTCCATGGTTTGATGTGAAGTCTAGCCTTATAGTGTTGACAAGTCCCGAGTTAGCTGACTCCGCAATGTCGAAAGTTTGTGCGTTGGACCTATCCAAGTCGTAACTGAACTCTGTTAGAAGAAGCCTCGTCTCACTCTCCATATCTTTATCTTCTAGCCATCCTGATACACGACAATCCTTTGGTGCGCTCGATCTATCATACGCCACAGCCTGTTCCATTTCAAGGTTAAGCAAATTAGATCCCGTCAACGCCTATTTTAAGAGCTAGTGTCCTAAACTGAAACTCGAGCTACAAAAACCAAATTTACAAAACTAGTTCTTGCCCTCTATTCTATAACACATTCGTGAAAAGTTAACCAATCCGTGCTACATGGCATCTCAATACCTAAACATTTCAAAGAGAACCCTAACATAAATAAACCGAGCTTAGGTGAAAGTAATGGTATTAGATGTTAATATTACCTTAGAGACATGTTCCAACGTAACAGCCTCTGGTACTATCGGTGCTCTCAGCCTAACTTGAACAAACCCATTACTTCCTTTCAAAGCAAAACACTGACCAGGCTCCCCAAAACTCGGTGTCAATATCTTAACCGCTTTGCCATGAACCCGTCTCCTACTTGTCCCAAACCAATAACCCCCACTTCCAACAAGATACGGATCCGAATGATCCATCACAAAAGCCCCACCAGACCCTAACGCATAATCAACTCTCCCCAGACCATCCGCAGCATGCTTCCCAATCTCTTTCTCCACAACCTCACGAGCATAAGCTCTTAACTCATCAATGCTAACATCACTAACAGAAGCTTCATGAACCTTACTCTTCTTGAATTCCTCGTAAACCCTCTCTAACTCCTCTCTAGACACAAAAGGCTTAGACCTAACTTCCTCTACAGAAGCTTCTAACATTTCTACCTTATCATCTACCTTCTTAAGCTCACTCTCCAAATCAGAAGATCTTGAATCAATCCTCTCCCTAATGGCTCTCGTCTCGCTTCCCATCTTCTTATCAAGAAACTCCACTTGCACCTGCATCATCTTCGTCGTGGTCTTCACCAAACCATCCACCGCAGCAATCCTACTCTCCAATTCCAACAAACCCATCTCCGTCTCAATCGAAAAACTCGACGAAGAAGATGATAAAGTCGTCTCCTTTACAATCACTCTCCTAACCAATTGAATCAACCCCGCGAGTAACAGAAGCGCCACACACTGCTTCGCGAAAACCCTAACCACTCTCGTCCACGGCATCTTCTCGTTCTTAGTCCCCTTCCGCGTCCGTCGCTGATTAGCGGTCGTCGTTTTGGTCCCCGTCGCGGTGGTGGATCCGGACTTTCTTGTCACCGGACCCACGTCGTAACTGTTGGATCTCTCGCTGCGAATCGGATCGTGGCTCGGATCTCCGGTGGGGGCATTGGCGTGCGATTCGCTAGGCGGGAAATCGAGGGTGGATTTCTTGTCGCCGGAGATAATTGGCGTTCGTCTAATCGCCGCCGTCGGGTTAGCGGTGAGAGACACCGTAGATGTCGACATTATCGGGGAGGATTGAATACTGAATTCGCAATCTTTTTGGAATTAAACCCTAATTTTGACGAGAGAGAGAGTTGGGAGATTTTGAAATGGAAGAGCGAGGAGTGAGAGAGGGTATCGAAATTTTTAGAACGGTTCGGACTAAATGGGCTTTAAAGCCCAATAAAGGAAGTATTGGCCCAGCCCACGTGTACGATCGGTCTTCTCCTTCTATGCTTATATAGTCCTATATTAAATGATATCTAAATTTCTGATTTATCAATATTAATTAGGGTTTTCTTCTTGGTGCACAGTTTATCCCCTTCGTTCTCTAGAAAACGAGGAAAAAGAATGTCCGGCAAAGACAGGATCAGTGCGTTGCATGACGATTTGCTATTGAAGATATTATCTGAAATACCAACAAAACATGCAGTAACCACCATGGTTTTATCAAAACGATGGCGTTTGGCGTGGACGATGGTAACTAAACTTTTTTTGCCAAATATGTGAATTCCATTAAAAATGGGTAGAGTTTGTAAAAATTACAATCGGTTATATCAGATTATGGTTTACCTTGGCAAAAAAGTTAAAAACAAGGTAAAGCATTAAAACAGGAAGCTCCAAAGTGTTACTCCCTTGAAAGCCAGTGTTGCATCAGACCACAGCTCTGTTTCAGATTTCTCTTAGACAGAATTGCATCTCTAATGAAACGGTCTAGAAGCTTGAAGATGATTCCCGGTGGAGTTGAGATGTTGTCATGATATCGCTTGTTACGCTCAGACCAGATGGAGTATATTGTTGCAGATGCCACCAAGCGCTTAAGGAGCTTAGGAGCAACACTGTCTGGCAGCATTAACCAATCAGAAAATGCCAACCATGTATGAAATCCCCCATGGGAATACCCCATCCTATGAAGAGAGAGGGTCCATAAATCCGAACTCCATTCACATCGAAGAAATAGATGGTCTCTATCTTCAGTAAAACAATTACATAGACAGCAAGATGTTGGAATGTTGATGCCCCAGCTGGAGAGACGAGCTCTCGTGGGAAGCCTGTCAAGTTGAGCTAACCACATATTAAAAGAGTGTCTAGGAATTGCACCTTTGAACCATATGTAAGAAGACCAGCTTTTCAATGGAGAACGCATTCTCAAGGCTTCCCACGTGTTTCTGGCGGAGAACTTCTCCAAGACAGTCTCGTTGACGAACCAAACATAAGAATCACTACCAGAGTGAAGTGACGGCACTGGTATTGATGTTAAGAATATTTGGAGAGACTCAGCAGATTGTGACCTTGCTCCACGCAGAAGCCAACCAACGGAGTTACAGGCGTCTGAAACAGTAGCGTATAGCGAAATGGATAGCTCCCTTGGACCATCAGGTCCGAAATATTCAATGAGCCTACCAAACGGAGTCCATATATCCCACCAGAAACTTATCATTCTACCATTACCAAGCTTTCCTATGATGAATCGGGAGGCCAGGTGACGCAAGTGAAGGAGTGCACGCCATGTCCAAGATTTAGCTTTATCAACGTCGCAACTCCAAACATTTTCCTCTTTGATCCTATTCGCTTTCATCCAGGCTGCCCAGAGGGAAGTACCATTAGCAAATAATAACCAAAGCAGCCTCAAGCATAATGTTTTGTTCCATAAGCTAAAATCTCGTAGACCTAACCCACCCTCCTTCTTGGGTAGGCAAACAATATCCCAAGCAACCTTATACTGGACTGGACCAGAAATATTACCACTCCATAGGAATTTAGCGCATAAGCTTTGGATACGTTTTAGACAGCCCTTGGGTAGCACAAAAGCAGAGATCCAAAAGTTGACTGTACCGTAAATGACTGAGCCAATCAATTGCCTTCTCCCTGCATATGATAGGGCTCTATTTGCCCAGCTAGAGAAACAGCTCGTGAGCTTATCAAGGAGAGGGCTATAATCAGCTAGATGGAGCTTCCGGTGCATAAGTGGTAGCCCGAGGTAGCGTACAGGCAGTGACCCTAAGGTGAAACCAAGACTTGCAAGATCAGCAGTTTCAGCTTGGGTCAAGCCTGCTGTATAAAGCTCAGTTTTTAATCTGTTGAGAGTAAGACCCGACCAACCAGAGAAGAAATCAAAAGTATCTGAAATGCACTGCAGCGATGACCGTTCACCATCAAAAAATACCATGATATCATCAGCGAAAGCAAGATGAGAGATGCAAGGATTTACCGCATTTGGATGATGACCAATCGAACCATCCACATACCTCGAGTTTAATAGCTGAGAGAAAACTTCAATGCACAAAACAAAGAGATAAGGAGAAAGCGGGTCACCTTGCCTAAGCCCTTTTGTTCCTTTAAAGTAACCGCACAACTCACCATTAATAGCCACAGAGAACCTTGTTGTGGTGATACATTGCTGAATAAGTTTCCTGAAGTAGGGAGGGAAATCCAAGGCCTCAAGTGTGTTCAATATGAAATCCCAGTTTACTGTATCAAAAGCTTTCTTGAGGTCAACTTTAAGCATACAACGCTTTGATATAGATTTCCAATTGTAGCCTTGGACCAGCTCCGTAGCAAGAAGGACGTTCTCTACTAATAATCTACCCGGGATGAAAGCGGATTGAACGTTCGAAATAAGCTGAGGCAACACCAATTTAAGTCTGTTCGCTAGAAGTTTTGATATGACCTTGTAAACAGAGTTGCAGCAAGAGATAGGACGAAACTCTGAGATGCGGGAAGCATTAGTCTTCTTTGGTACCAGAGAAATAATAGTTGCGTTCCACTGCTGAAGGAGACGTCCCGAGGAGAAAAATTCGTTGACTCCATCTATCATATCCTTTCCCAATACTGACCAATGTGCTTGAAAGAATTCTCCCGGGTATCCATCAGGACCCGGAGCTTTACACTTTGGGAGCAAGAAGAACGCCTGTTGAATATCCAGACTAGAGAAAGGAGCATCAAGGATATTTATTGACTCTTGGGAGCACTTGAAAGGAACAATATCAGAGATTTGTTGGGGCGTAGAAGTAGTTTGCGTTTCCGGTCCACCCAATAAATTGCTGAAGTAGGAGACGGCATGAGCCTTTATCATGTCCAGCGAATCAATTATTGTATTGTCCACATCAATGAAGAAATCAATCTGGTTCTGATCCCTTCTAGACCGAATAGACCTATGGTAAAAAGCTGTGCTAGCATCACCATAAGATGTCCACTGAATCCTTGATCGCTGTTTGAGAAAAGAGTCCTCAGCTGCAGCAAGGGTTAACCATTTCCTGTGGGCTTCTTCTTCAGCTAAGGCCGCAGACTGAGAGGGAGAGTAGAGGGTAACCTGCTGACACTGAGTTAGTACATCAAAAGCTTCGGTAACCCGTTTTTCCAGATTTGAGAAGTTCTCTTTGCTGAAAGTTCTTATGATGGACTTAAGTTCCTTAAGCTTCTTAGAGATAGATAGCTGACGCGAGCCCGCAAAGGACAAGGCATGCCAGCAGCCCTTGATAATGTCTTTAAACTCTGGGTTATCATTGAGATGAGTAAAGAACTTAAACGGTCGCTTCTGCTTCGGCCTGAGCTGATCCATAAAAAGACAAGAAGGGGTATGATCAGAGATACCAAGCATACCAAACACAGCTAGAGAGTTCGGGAAGTGATGAAGCCACACATCATTGATCAATATTCTATCTAGCTTCTTTGAAACGTGCTTATTTGTCCAAGTAAATGAATTTCCCCGATAGGGAAGGTCAGACAAGTCGCAGCGGATGAGGCATTCCTTAAATTCACGCATTCCCCTAGAAGTACCAATGTTTACTCCATTCGAGTGCTCATCTGTAGAGATAGTTTCGTTGAAATCACCAAGGATGAGCCACGGGAAGGAAGAGATAATCGGGTCATTTGCCAAAGTCTCAAGCTCCGACCAAAGCTGGCGTCTTTCGGTAGAACAGTTCGAGCCATAAACAACTGAGACGAAGAATTCAGAAGAAACCAGAGGAAGCTTGACCCGAGAAGTAATAACCTGAAGAGATTTCGAGATGACAGTGACCTGAACAGAGGGATGCCATAAGATCCAGATTTTTCCAAGATCAGAGAACTCGTAATTATTAGCAAAAGACCAACCCGGGAGCGAACGAGATACTATAGTCGTCGCTTTAGCCGGCTTTACATGCGTCTCAATGAGACCTCCGAATATAGGTTTGTGTTTTTTGAACCATTTCCTAAAACCTCGCCGCTTTACAGAATCATTGAAACCTCTTATGTTCCAACAAAAAATATCCATTAAAGGGATGAAAATTTAGAGGATTTGAGGGCCTCTAACCCTAGCCTTCGACTTTTCCTTCTCGCGAATCTGTTTTTTGTGGCGCTTGGTGATGACATCAATAAAATCATTATGAAAATCAGCAGCATTGTCCTCTTCACCAGAGAGAGAGCCCAATTCTGAGGCGGACTCACTAGAAGTAGAAGGAGAGACTTGGGCAAATCCGGGAGACCCCGAAAAATCAACATAAAGATGACCTTTACTAAGATCATGGACCTTGGTAACAGTACCCTCTGGATTAGTATGAGAAGAAGAAGCTATCTCAACACCAGTTGCTACAGGAAGATTAGCGGCTGAAATCACTTCAGTTGAAGGGGGAGGAATTCCTGACTTCTGCACTTCTCTATAGACATGCGTAGTGCGTACAGCTTTCTTGGCTTGAGAAATAATAGGGAGTAAACTCTTGATAGGAGCTTTCCCTTTATCCTTTATCGAAGCTTTGACTTTCTCTTTCTGAGGGATGTTTAGACCTCTGGGGCAGTTCTCTGTAGAATGCCTAACCGAGTTACAAGCCAAACATGTTCTCGGAGCAGCTTTGCAGCGGGAGATTGTGTGACCTAGCTTTTTGCAAAACGAGCATTGAGAGGGAAGCCAAGGGCTCGTGACTGCAATTCTTCTAGTATCACCGCTTTCAAAACGCGCATTAACAAACTCAGGAAGAGGCTTCCTCGGGTCAATAACGGTGTACACTTTCGCGACTTCAATATTAGTAAGATTCTCCGTGGAGGGATGCAAGCAAACCGGGTGACCTACTATACCTGCAATCTCTTGGAGAGCGTCACGGTTGAAAAACTGGAGAGGAACACCAGTGAATTCCAACCAGACAGGCACCATTTCAAGTTCTGGTTTCACCTGCTGCAGACCAGGAGCCCACTTCGCTACGAACATGGTTTGACCGTCAAATTGCCATAGGCTTTGACTGAGGATTCGACGCCTAGCGTTCGGACAAGGAACCCGAAACAGAAAAGCATTCCCTTCCATTTTGGATACTGAAATGTCCCTCCTCTGTCTACTCCATATACCATTTGCAATGGCATGTACAGCACCACGGGCCGGAGGATCTTCATAGAACTGACCTAGAATAAAACATTCCCAAGCCTTCTTATTTTTTTCCACCACAGCATTTGGGATAGTGACACACGCTTCTCCAGAATCCAAGAGGAAGGGTGTTTCTTTAGGTTGGAGTTTGATTTGTGTAGGTTTGACAAACCCTTTCCAGATTTCAGCCGGAGATTTGACCTGCTCGGGAGAGGAGGACAGAGCATTGACCGGACTTACTGATGATTTAGCCTGCTCAGGAGAGGAGGACGGAGCAATTACCGGGCTTACCGAAGGAGCAAGGCCGGTGAGACCCTCAACAGCTACAGGGACGTTGTAGGTTACTGTAGCTAGGGTTTGAGGAATTGGGGATTCCACGTCAGAGACCAAATTCACTTGAGAATCAAGCACTCCTGGCCGTGACGGGGATACTGAGACGTCGCAAACTGTGTTCCCAGGAGAGACGCTTGAACTTTCAAGCACAGTGGCTGGGGCGAGCGCAGGCACTGGAATCTCAATCGAGGAAGACAAAGTTTTCAACGTAGCAGGGGGAGGAGATTTGTGGGATTGTGGTTTCTTTTTAGGGGGTTTTTTCTTTGCCATGGTGGCGGGGAGGGGCCGTCGCCGCAGAGAGCGACGGTGGAGAAGAAAAGAAGTCGATCTCAGTTTGGGAGAGTTTTTTCAAAGGCGCGTGAGGCGCGTTCAATCATACCAATACTATTGCCATCAGTAATGTTTTCGATGGTAACTAAACTTGAGTACAAGGATACAAGAGAAGAAGAAGAGAAAAAATTTAGTTGCTTAATCGACAAGTTTTTGCAACTCCACAAAGCACATGTACTAGAAAGCTTGCGTATCCAAATTGATCATAATCAGTTTTCCAATTATACAAACGAGAGAAAGTGCATCTCATACGCTCTCAACCACTGCGTTCGAGAGCTGTCTCTTCGTTTACCATCAAATCGAAAACAGAAATTACAACTACCATCAAACGTTTACACCTCCAAAACGCTAGTGAAATTGACTCTAGCAGGAAACAGTCTCGTCGTGGATGTTCCTTCCTTACCTTGCTTCCCTTCGCTTCAGACGCTGGTCCTTACCCATGTCATGTATGAAACATCTCACGTTAGATTTCTATCGAATTTCCCTACGCTCAGACATTTGGAAGTGGTCCGAGACATGCATGACAATGCGACATGGTTCATCGTGGAAGTTCCTTCTTTAAATAGTTTTACATATACGCAGCACACGAGAGCTTGTGATACGTCCTTGGTTCTAGACTCCCCTGGCTTACGACAACTTAGGTTAAATGATCCGTTTATAGACCATGGCTCCATCCAAAACATGCCTCACCTTGACATTGGTGTTGTTACTAGCTGGGGTTGGCACCATAATAACAAGCTTCTGGGATCTTTTTCCTCGGTCAGGATTCTCCATTTGAGTTTGCCCGGTGTAACCATTTTGAATTATCCTTCTTCTTTTTCTTACTATATGTGATGATATCTTTGTTGGTGTTATACTTATGTTGTTCAATGTCATTCAACTGCATGCAGGATGCATATTATAGCTTCATTAATTTCCCTCGGCTCGTAAAGTTGACGCTGCGTCCATGTGGCTCAAATTTTTCACAGTGTTCGTTGGAACTAGTTATGTTTTTCCTTCATAGGTCTCCTATTCTAAAAGAGCTTACCATCATCTATGTAAGTAACATTTCTTCTTAATTTTTTTTTTTTTTTTTTTTGTTAATTCTTACTAGTTGGTTTCCAGGATGCGCGTAAACGCTCTATATATCTCCCATTTTCGTGGAACCAACAAAGTTCTGTACCGGAATGCTTGTTGTCCCATCTCGAGATCTTTGTGTGGGATAAGTTTGGAAGAGGAAGTCATGAGAGAGATTTTGTGGCGTACATCTTTGCAAACTCAAAGTGTTTAAAGACGGCGAGAGTCTTTCCTAGATGTTTTTACAGTGTTGAGGAGAAACAGAAGATGGTGGAAGACTTACAATCTATGTATAGGGTTTCAGCATCATCTCAGCTGATAACCCATTAAAGGGCAACAACTTAAAGAAATAATATTCTTTCAGAATCTCTCCGACATGTTACTACAATCTCGAGGAGAAAGAAAAGATAGAAGAGGACTTACAATCTATGTATAGGGTTTTCAGCATCATCTCAGCTGGAAACCCATTTCGTAGATCAGAAATCTACAAATTCTGTAAGGGCAACACCTCTAATAAATATATTCTTCTGGACCTTTTGCTTATGAACACTTTGCTTATGTGACTAAATTTTAATTCTCTAACATGATAAACTACTAGCTTCATATATGTTTGGTCATGGTCTTAGTCCATATTTTTTATTTTACGTATGAATATTATGTGACTATTCTCCAGCTGATCGACTTTGTCGTTAACGCTGCCCCTGCCCCGACGCATTTGAGCATCGTCTTGAATTCGCTGTGACTTGAAGATCTATCTTGTTTAGTTTATTTATGTGTTGTAATTTATGCTTATGGCCAAAAAGGATGGATAATTCCCTCTTTCTATAGTATGAGAGAAGTTTGAAGTTAATGAAATTAAGTTTGTGTTCAAAAAAAAAAAAAAACTTGGGGAACCTTTGTTGGATCCGGCTTTAGCAATTATAACCCCAATTATTATTATTTTTCTTTTTTTTGAGGATAAAGATGTATTTCTATTTTATTTTGGATAATGATGAGTTTATACAAGTAGCAAAAAGTAAATAATTTTTTTTAATATTATATGAATGAGATTTGTATAGATTAGGTTGTGTTCTTCGTGCAGTTCATCCTTCCTTCTCTAGCAAACGAAAAGAATGTCCGGTGAAGACAGGATCAGTGCGTTGCATGACGATTTGCTGTTGAAAATATTGTCCAAAATCCCAACAAAATATGCGGTGACCACCATGGTTTTGTCCAAACGATGGAGTTTGGTCTGGACGATGGTGCCTAAACTCGAGTACAAGGATACGAGGAACGAAGGAGAGAAGAGCGTTTGGCCCTTAATTGACAAGTCTTTGCAACTCCACAAAGCACATGTACTAGAAAGCTTACATATCCAAGTTGAACGTCAGTTTCCCGACGATGCAGATGTAGTAAAGTGCGTCTCTTACGCTGTTGACCACAACGTTCGAGAGCTAGCTCTTATTTTACCATCTCAACCAAAGAGCCTTCTGCTACAATCAAACGTTTTCATCTCCAAAACGCTAGTGAAACTGACTCTATCATGCAGGACTCTCGTAGTGGATGTTCCTTCCCTACCTTGTCTTCCTTCGCTTCAGACTCTGGTCCTTCGAAATGTGGTGTATAAAGATGAAAACTCTCATGTTAGGCTTCTAGCGAATTGCCCTGCGCTCAGATATTTGGAAGTGGAACGAAACTTGAGTGACAATGTGACAAGGTTCATTGTGAAAGTTCCTTCTTTAAGGAGTCTTATATACTTGCAATGTAAAAGAGCTTCTAGGTTCTTGGTTTTAGACTCCCCTGGATTACGAAACATTATGTTAAGTGATCCCCATGAAGACTTTGACTCGATCCAGAATATGCCTCACCTTTACTGCGCTGCTGTTCATTGCTTTGTTTTTCACCCGAATGAAGACAAGTTTCTGAGATCTTTTTCCTCTGTCAGGATTCTCTGTTTGAGTCTAACCCACGTAAGCATTAGAATATCCTTTTTCAGTTCTTTTTTTATTAAAAATAAAAAAAAAATTGATAGTTTTGAGAGCACATTACTTATGTATATAGATCTTTAAACTTTGAGGTTTAATGCAAATGTTTCATCCGGCTGTGTCTAGAACTGATTCGGCTTCTTCCTATATGTTTGTTATGTCCGGCTGTGTCTAGAACTGATTCGGCTTCTTCCTATATGTTTGTTATGTTTTTACTTACTTTATCTTGTGTTCAATTTCGTTCAACTGCAGGTTGAATGTTGTAGCGCCATTAAATTCTCTAGGCTCATGAAGTTTACGCTGCATCTCTGTTGCTTTGCTGACTTTTGTCGGTTGGAACCACTTTTCCTTTTCCTTCATAACTCTCCTATACTAAAAGTTCTTGAGATCAAATATGTAAGTAACTTCCTCTATCTACCTCAAAAAAATAAATAAATAAATATCAATTTAGATCGACTATGTAAGTAAGTACCTCTCTCTTCGTTGCTTTTCAGGATGTGCCTAATTGGTCTAATGGTGTCCCACTTTCGTGGAACAGACCAAGTTCTGTACCGGAATGCTTGTTGTCCCATCTCGAGATCTTTGTTTGGAGAGAGTTTGGAGGAAGAAGACAAGAGAGAGCGTGTGTGGCATACATCCTTGCAAACTCAAAGTGTCTAAAGACGGCAAGATTTTCTCCTTGTAACAAACTCTCCGAGAAAGATAAAGACAAGATGATGGAGCTGTTAAAATCTATGTTTAGGGTTTCAACATCATCTCAGCTTATGCGCTTACCAAACTAGCTAGATTTGTTGTTATAAATTAATGATTAACTAAAGAAAAAAGAGAGACCAGGTTGGTTATGTTATTCTTTTTATATTAGATAGCATTCTACAAATCATGCAAGAACAAACATTTAACAAATAATGTGATGAACTAGAAAAAAAAAGAGAGACCAGGTTGGTTATGTTATTCTTTTTATATTAGATAGAATTCTACAAATCATGCAAGAACAAACATTTAACAAATAATAATGTTTTTAACTTGACCTTTTGGTATGAACAATTTAATTTGAATGACTTTAGTTCATGCTGAATTGTTAGATTCATATTTTTTTATCATGGTCTTTCGCCATTTTTTTTGTTGCATATTATATATATGACTAACAAATGTTGGAAGCAAATATTGTTTGAGATTAAGAAATGATTTCCATGAATTTTTACCTAAGGGGATTCTTATCAGAGATTAATTAAAAAGTTGAAGCGAAAAGGTGATGATGCTAACAACATATGATCTTTACTTTAATTATATGTAGGTAGAAAAACCCTGGGTTCTATGCAAACTCTTTCTTCAGCTATCATCTTTTTCAGAGACGTTTTCATGTAAAGATCGGTGAAAACAACCACCAAGAACCGCTTAGTTTTGTTAAACAAAAAAAAGATGAACCATTTAGTTGTTCTAATTACATGATCATGTTAACCGAATAACTAACGAAAATCTACTAAAATTTATAAGACGAGAGAACGTTTTTTTAAGAGTAAGACAGACGAGAGAAAGTTGTTAGTTTTAATTAGTATCCATCGCTTTACAATTGATATTTCGACTCTGGTCGAAATTATATGAGATCGTACGGGTATAGATCAGATCGTCATGTTCCATTCAACTCGGTTAGAGATAGAGTTGTACTTGTACTTTTTTAAAAGTCAAAGCTATGACTTTCTCAAGATATTCGTGGTCGGAAAGTTAGATCCAGTTCTAACAATCAACAAAAACAATCAGAAGCTTTTTGATATTTTTTCAGAGTACGATTAGAGTAGAGATGGACAATTTTTAAAAGTACCGAAAAGAAAACGATTTATCAAACGATTATTGATGAGCACATGTTCGTACCATCAACAAGATCTGCTTTGACGTCACCACGGTTTTGCTTTGTCTACATTTGGGAAAGTGCAATGAGACCTCATCACTTTTTCCAAAAATATAGACAAAGAAATACCGAGAAAACGTGTTATTTCTCCTGCCATCGAAGAAGCCTAGAAACAAACTGTGCAGATGAGTGAGTGCAGATGTGGGTGCGAATGTCAACATTAATACATATATATAAGTGGCTTCTCTAGGGTACAATTTAGAAACCCTAGATGAATCTAAAGTGGACTCGCCGCCATATAAACACTACTAGAAATACAACAGACATGGGCTAACCCTAATTATGAAAAGCCTAATATTCACTCATCAAATGGATGACCCAATAACAAAAGAAATGTTGTTTAAAGACGAAAGCCCAACTAGTAAGAAATACACAAGGGTCAAAAAAAAAAAAATTCTGTTTACCACGTAGTTTAAGCTTATCTTTTCTGACACCACATGCGAGTATACAAATGAGTTTATATAGACATACTCGACCTGAAAACTCACCGTGGTATCTCCTTATGTGAGCTTGATTTGAAACTTAACTAATCTGAAGCTTGAGGACGAGGGATCGCATTAGGAAGAGTTGGATTCAATCATAGTCCCAATTACTACAAGCCAAAAAAAGTCAGTAACATTTTGATGTTAGTTTCATAAATTAATTTGATTGACTAATTATATACATCATGGAATGTTTATTCTTTGCTTGCAAGTGAACGCAGTTTAATGGATCCTTGGAATTTCTCAATAAACATTATGATTACTTATTTGACAATGACATGCTAACAGTACCTTTACTTTAGTTAAACATCAATTAATTTAATTATATGCAAACAAATTAAAACATTTATATGGCTAAACACATTCTGATTCCGATTGGTATAGACTGTTGCTATAGATTATGGCTTAAAGTTTTAAACTGTAAAGATTTTTGGGTTTTAAACCTTTGGTTTTTGTATAAAGTGTGAAATTGTGACTTTAGAAAAAATATGAACAAAATAGAATAATCTATTTAAAATTTGGTTTTAGAGACTTTATACCAAATTTTAAGTGGTCTAAAACCTAAAATCTAATTGTTTAAAATTTTGACTTTAATGAGGTTACAAAACGTAAAGCCTATTAAGTCAGAATACCAATCTAATGTTACATTTTCAAAGTTCAAACTAACATGGACTTAGAGCACCCTCCATTAAGAATGTTCTTAGAAAAATAACACTGAGTTCAAACTTCATTTAATTATGTAATCTCCTTTTGAGTATAGACACGGGAATTGGATACTCTGTTACGCTAAGTCATCTGTCTAGTTGACAGATTAGTAAAGATTTAAATCTATTCATAAAACTTTCTAATTTTAATTTAAAGAAATTCAATTATCCGAATATAGATAATTTCAATATTAATCATCATCGTTGACAACACGCGCCACAAAAAGCGTCGGTCGAGACACTGAATGTCCACAACACATGTAATAAAAAGCAACAGTTATAGTTAATGTAAGATTTGGTAAGTACTTCTCTCATCATAAATGTTCCAAGATAAAAAGCTAAAACAACAAAGAAAAAAAAGAAAGAAAACAAGAGATCCACCTCGAACTCCTCTCCTCACCATCTCTTTCTCAATCATCAGATACATAAAATGAGAGAAGACGAATCCGACTGGTTCTCAAGATGGGAACAAGACCTCCCCTCTCCCGACGAACTCATCCCTCTATCTCAATCCCTCATCTCTCCCGATCTCGCTCTCGCCTTCGACATCCGACCTCAACCTCAACCCAACTCCTCCGCTGAATTCGCGGCGGATTCATCAGATCTAGCCGAGCCAGCACGGACCTTAAAACGTCCTCGCCTCGTGTGGACGCCGCAGCTACACAAACGCTTCGTCGACGCGGTGGCCCATCTCGGGATCAAGAACGCGGTTCCCAAAACGATCATGACGCTCATGAGCGTCGACGGGCTAACACGAGAGAACGTCGCGAGTCATCTCCAGAAGTATAGGCTTTACTTGAAGAGGATGCAGGGAGGAGGAGGTGGTGGTTCGGATCCGGCGACGGATCGTTTGTTTGCTAGCTCACCCGTGCCTGCTCATTTTCTTCACCCCAACCGCTCTGACCATTTCATGCCGTCTTTTGTCCCTGTCGCAACGCTTCAACAGCAGCAACAAATGGCTGCGGTTGCGGCTTCTCATCTTCAACCGCCTCAGTTTCACCACCGTCAAATCGCGGCTGCTCATTTTGGATCGCCGACGGGGAATGGGAAGTTTGATGCGTCGTTCTTGGCGAGGCAAACGCAGAGAATGTCTACACCAACGTTGCATAGTCCGGTTGGTAACTACGTTGAGGATTTGGAATCTGCAAACGCTGCTAATGGAGGAAGAGCGGTGTTGACTTTATTCCCAACTCGAGATGATTAAAATTTGGAGTCGAATAAACTGGTAATAAGAATACTTGATCAATGTAAGGCAGTTACTTATGTGACCACTGACCATCCAATTTGAATAATTTAAATGTAATGTTCAAAATGTATTTGCAGTCTTCAAGAACATTGAGACAAGTTAAATTCAGTGTTTATCAGTTTAACATTGATTTGTTGATAGTTAATACAATCCGGCGTGTGTTCATGTTCTGTGTGTTGAAGCTGTTCCCTTGTAGATTCTACTTTAGAATCATTGTGAAGATGAGCTCTTGTACATTTACTACTGTCACACACTCCAGTTCGGAAAAAAAAAAGGAACCGATCTTAATTAGAAAGTTTATTTCACAATTTTCTTGCCTTTTGTTTCATATATAGATTTGTTCTTGTAGCATTGAATTCTCATGAAAAGTACATTGCAGTTACTAAAACTTTTCATAGCTTTTTGTTTACTTTGCGTCATCTTTAAGTTTTAGATTACAGATATCGAGAATCTGGTGATATAAATCACAATGTTTATTATTACTTTGTGTTCAAAAGAAAAGAAAAAACTTGATACTGGAGAAAATGTATGATTGACCAATAATAATGATTCGGGGAGGCAATAGTACATAGTACAAATGGCATGAAGCAACCAATAAGCAAAAGAGACAGTGGGGGGTATAATCAGTATCTGATGCTCTCACTTCATCCTTAATCATACCCACTTATTTACTTAACTTAGGCCTGGGACATTTAACCGGAACCGAAAAACCGGACCGGAACCGACCCGATTTTTGCCCGGTTCGGATTGATTTCAGTACAGCTAAAAGTAACCAATGGATAATAATATAAAAATCCATGGGTAACGGGTCGGATCCGGGTTTTACCCGAGCCAACTCGGATATCCGATATACCCATCTCTTAAAGTCCCCGACATAACCGTTACACGCGTGTGTACAGTGTATCAACTCGAGATAATCCCCAATTCCCAAAATAAGAACCCTAGCTTTTCGATTCATCTTCTCCATTATAGCAATCGAGAATTGTGAAGGTTTGTATACAAATAGAGCAACCGGTGTTATCAGAAATCATAAAGCTGGATACATTAGTCGATTGTGTTCTCTCTCAACCGTCTGCATCTTCGAGAATTCATTCGGAGGTGAGCATTGAGCAACGATTTCGAATTTTCATTACTTTGATCACTTATTTATGTTATCGATTAAGCTATATTTATACTTTGATTATTCATATATGTTTATGTATTATGTTTATATACATGAAGAATTTTCAATCGTATTTGATAACTTTTGATATGATGATGTTGAATGTTGATGTTTGATAATGTTAATAGTCTTAGACTCTTAGTCGAGTATGATTGCAATTTTGATTCTTTATTGCTACAATTTACTTATTCAAAATTTATATTAGTTGTTAACTTGTTCTTGTATGTACTATGTAGATGGATTCTTCTCCAACTCATGAACAAGACGAAGTCAACCCTAAGCTAATAGATGAAGAATTATCTTCAGATGAAGATGTGCAAACACCGGGTTCTGGAAAAAGGAACGAGAGAGAAGAAGATGGTGGTTCTAGGTCAACGAAAAAGACGAGGTCTGATGTCTGGAACCATTACAGCAGGCTGCCAACCAACTACAACAGATGCAAATGCCGTTATTGTAAGAAAGAGTTTAGCTGTCCAACCAAGTCTGGGACTTCTAATCTGAGGAAGCATACGAAAAGTTGTGGAGCATACATGACATGGAAGTCCAGAGACCAGTCACAGATAAATCCTGATGAAGAAGGTAACTTGAGTCTGTCTAAGGTGTCTGAGAGTGTGTTCAAAGAAGCTACCAATGAGATGATAGTCTTAGGCGAGTTACCGTTAGCCTTTGTGGAGAGTTTAGCGTGGAAGCACTTCTGCAAAAAATCCCAGTTAGAACCGCCGGTATGTAGGAAGACTTGCACAAAGGAGATTGCAGCAATGTATATGGCGAGGAAAGCAGAGATGAAGAAAACTCTTGGACAGAACAAGCAAAGACTCTCTCTCACAACCGATATTTGGACTGCTCCCTACACTGCGGTTAGTTACATGGTGATTACTGCTCACTTTATTGATTCAAATTGGAAGCTTAAGAAGATGATAATTGGGTTCAAGAATGTTGACGATCATAAAGGCTCTACCATTGCAAGAGTGCTTGTAGAGTGTTTAGCAGAGTGGGATATAAAAAGAGTCTTCTGCATCACACTTGACAATGCCACAGCTAACACGTCTGCCATGAAGAAGTTCAAGGAAGAATTCATGAACATTAATGGTGAAGATGCACTGGTTCTAAAGGGTGAGTTCTTGCATGTTAGGTGTGCAACACATATATTGAATCTAATTGTGAAGGAAGGGTTAAATGAGGTGGATGAGAGCTTAGCTGCCATTCGAAATGGGGTTCAGTATGTGAGGTCTTCAAACAGTAGGCTCAAGTCTTTTGAATTTCGGGTTGATAGTGGAAAGATGACTAGAGGAAGCCTTCCATTAGACGTCAAGACAAGATGGAACTCAACCTATCTCATGCTAGACCAAGCGATCAAATTCAAGGCAGCATTTGAGAAGATGGAGGCTGAAGACAAACCGTACAATGACTACTTCATGGAGCTTGAAAATGGCAAAAAGAGGACTGGACCACCGACTGCAAAAGATTGGGAAGAAGCTGAGAGGTTGGTACACTTTCTTGTCATCTTTTACAATTCGACTTTGATGCTCTCGGCTACAAAGGGCATTACGTCCCACAAGATCTACAATGAGATTGTCACCATCACTAGGAATGTCAGCAAGATAAGCTCTACGACTGGTCCTGATGAAACATTGCGGTTCAAAGCTTTGACGATGATGGGGAAGATAAGGAAGTACTGGAATCCATTTGTGCAAGAATCCGAGCCTGAGAGCAATAAGTCTAAGAGCTGTAAGATGAATAAGCTTTTGATTGTTGCCACTGTCTTTGACCCAAGAAAGAAGATGAACTTTGCTAACCTCTGCTTTGAGAAGCTCTATGGAAAAGAAAGCATCGAGTATACTATGCTTTCTGACTCAGTTATGGACATCATGACGCGTTTATATGAAGAGTACACTCTTCGATACAGCACAAGTGGTGGAGGATCAAGTGGTTCACAGTCGCAAGGTGGATCATCTTCTCAAACCCAAACTCAAGACAGTGGTGCAGTTTTCCAGAGTCAAGTTATTGGCAGTGGTATCGGATATGAAAGAATGGACAACCTCTACGAGGAGCTTGTACAAGAAACAGGTACACAAGATTCTAGTAATGAGTTAGAAGTTTATTTGAGAGAGAAAGTAGAGGTTACAAAGAGTGGTACTGGACTTGGAGCTGAGTATGATGTTTTATCGTGGTGGAGAAGAAATAGTATGAAGTTCCCGATCTTGTCTCAGATAGCTGCTGATATTCTTGCGGTTCAAGCATCATCTGTAGCATCAGAGAGTGCATTTAGCACAAGTGGGAGAGTCTTAGACCCATACAGGAGTTGCTTAACACACTTCATGGTCGAGGTGTTGGTGTGCACAGAACAATGGTTGAAATCTGAGATTCACATCAATGAGAAAGGCATTCATACAATAGAGCAGTTACTTTCAGATGTGGAGCAACAAGATGATCTTATGAGAGGTATGTTTCACTTCTTTTAAACTCTTTACAATATAATTTTGAATCTTTAAGTTTAGAACACTTATAGATTTCTGTTTTTGTTATCCTAGAGTTTGAAGCTGGATGCAATTTGGAATAAGGAGTGTGGCTATGGAGTATGGACTGTGACTGTGTCATTTGGTGTTAGCACCTAAGAAGACATCAATTTCTGTTGTGATTTGTGTTTCATTTCGTTTTCTTTTCTTGTTTAAGACATCAGCTTCTTTATGTTTCTGTTGTGAACTTGTGATTTGCTATATTTAAGTTGTTGTTTCAGAAATTTATCAGTTCTTGTTCTTGTTTTTGTTTCATTTCAATTGTTGATTTTGATTTCGAAATCGGTTTTAATTCGGTTATTTATTTGTATTGGTTACGGTTTTAACCGAACCGTTTTGAACCGAATTGTTTCGGGTATAAATTTGGATATTTTTTAAACCGAAACATTGGGTATTCAATTATTTCGGATTGAATATGGTTACTTGTATCAAAAGACCGAACCGACCCGGAACCGGTCGGACCCGATCCAAAACCGAACCGTAAGTGTTGCAAGTAACCATTGGATACACTTTTCAAATACCCGAAAACCCGGACCCGAACGGTTCTTATCCGGAACCGACCCGAATACCCGAAATCCCAGGCCTAACTTAACTACTACAAATGAAGTTTAATATATTATATGGAATCATTCAAGTGACCAAACCCAATAAAAGAGTTTTATACTTTTTTGTTGTTATAATGAAAGTTAAATGATTTGAGAGAGGAATGATTTAAAGCAAGGGTGGTGGGGATCATTGCTGGCATGTCCTGATCTTGCCTCACCAAGTCAGTCCCCATCCTTTGCATTATTTTCTTCTTAAAACAGTTTATAAATTTTTTGAGATATTGTTTTTCTTCAGAGATAAACTTGTTGTACTACTCTTTAATCCGTCAATATCAAAAATCTTTTTCGGTTATTCACTTAAGAGTTTTAAGTGTGTATCTCAGTTTTGTTATCCCGACTCTTGAAAGTAGTTTTGACCAAAAATCTCATATGCAAATCAAACCAAAGTACATATTTCATTTCTTGATTGTTTTTCTTTTATCTGATCCAATATTAAATTGAATAAATAAAAAAAATGTTGTTTTAAAATCCAAGTTTATCCATAAGTGAAAAGTCTAATCCACTATTGAATTAAAATCAAAATCATGATTTAAAACGGATCTTGTGATTTGAGAGACCATCGAGTGACTGATTTACTCGTTTGGGAATTTTGGGAAATTGGTTTGTTTCTTTGTCAAAGTTCGAAAAGGATCCTCTTTGCTTTCACCACCTCATATTATGCGATACTCCATGTAACAAAATAACGACTAAATGTGAACATTAAACACAGAAGAATCTTACAACAACAAAATATCTTATTTAAGAGCCAAATTCCAATTTCTTCTCAGCTTTTTGGTTCACCACATGAGGAAACTCCATTAAAGATCGGTTTAAGCATCGTCTAAGATTCAATCAAAGTTCGAGAACAATATAATCAAGATAGAAATAAAAAAGAGAAGGTAGATGTCTCGTTATATAAGAAAGAAGCAGCCATTGTTTGGAACAGAACAGAGAGCTCCTAAAGGCTAAATATCTATATAATCTGTTTTTTTTTTTTTACTTTTCCATACAAACATTGAAGTACTCAAAAACACTAGTCGTCAGGGATTGCTTGCAGAAGGATGCCTGCAGCAAAAAGACAACAAGTAAAGGATATGAGGGATACATCAAACAAACCAAACAACATTAACAGTTTAGTATAAGCAACCTGAAAAGATCTGTGTTTGGGCCGTTCAACGAATGTGCATAGCTCATAGCTGGTGAGTTTGGCCAAGGTGTATAAGCAGCAGGGTTATTAATAAAGGGACTCATGGCAGGATTAAACGGATGTCCATAGTTTAGATTAGCTTGAGGACCTCTTGGCATCCGCGGGAAACCTCCATCGTGAAAGGGAATGTGGATTGGCATTGGATTGAAGCTTTGACCAGAAGGCATAACCCTAACGTACCTGCAAACATTACACAAAAAAACAAATACCTTACATTTTTTGCAGAAAGTGCTTAGTGTTGTTTAATAAGAGATCAAAGAAAGTATACCTGTAGGAGGCGGGATCTACGACATACCTGTCATAGCTCCTGTCATAATCAGGATCATACCGATCTTTCTCTCTATCTCTGATAATGGCTACTGTCCGAGTACCAGCATCAACAGAATTATTACTGACAGCCACCTCAGCCTCATTGCGGTTTATACTTGTGTTTCTCACTTCAGGAGGAGGTGGAGGAGGAGCTCTTAACGATGAAGAATCTTCTGAGTCAGAGCTTCCAGGGCTGTTAAAGATCCGAGCTCTAGCTTTATCATACTCTTCTTTCCTCTCCTCAACACTTCTCTGAAGATTCTGCTGCACTCCAGACCCGCTACCTCCGGAGCCAGATCCTCTCTTGGGTCTCGCCTTGATAGCAATCTTGAAACCCTCGGGTCTACCGTTCTCCGGTTGCTTAACAGGGATTTCGGATAAGCAGACACAAGGAAACCTACTCTCCGCTGTTTTCGTCACCAGGATTCTATTATCAGATCCATCTACAGCACCACCACCACTGTCCAAAGCCATAGTAACCATACCATAATGCTGAGCAACTCTATGTGCGGCGAGACGCAGGTAAGACGTTGGGAAAGGAGAGAACTCGAACTGAAGCTGCTCAGGGTTTTGGAAGAACTTTTGTATATCAAGCTCCATCCGCAAAACTACAAAAGCCCACACAAAAACAAAAGAAGCAAACTTTTTGATTACCCCTCAACCACACGTAAAGAGAATCTTTCCAGATACAGAAATTAAACATTTGTGGAAATGAAAAAGCGTTGATGTTGATATACAAGGTGCTTGTATATACGTTAATTTAGCTTAGAGATGAACAAATCAAACGAAAGGTAATGAAAATTAGAGCTGTAATGGATTCTGATTGTAGCTAAAGAGCGAGTGATCTAATATTCAAGCATTAAAGCCAAACCCTAATCACTATCGATCAAAGCAACCCAACAAAGGATCGAGAATCAAAGAAACTCAAAATTCCACCATTTCAATCAAACCCATCATCATGAACTAAACAAACCGAACAAAGGATCAATTTTTAGAGACTTTCCCCCAAATTCAATCAAACCCTAATCACCATGAACTAAGCTAACCGAACAAAGGATCGATTTTTAGAGACTTTCCCCCAAATTCAATCAAACCCTAATCACCGTGAACTAAATTAACCTAAAAGGATCGATTTTTAGAGAAAGATCACAATTCCCCTAAATTCAACCAAACCCTAGAAACCAAAATCAGATCAATCAAACGCAGAGACAGTGAAATCGAATCATGGGTTTGGGAGAAAATAGACTAACTGGTGAGACGATGACGAGGATTCTGGAGAGCTTCGACCAAAAAAGGATCCACCATAGCTTCCTTCTCTGTCATAGCAGCGGTGGCGGCGGCCATGGATTAGCTTCTTTTCCTCTCTCCTCTGTTTTTTTTTTTGTTTTGATTTCTCTATGACCGGAGATTAGAAGAGGAAACACATCAGGGAAACGAAAAGGAGATTATATCTGATGAGCATTCTGAGAGAGACGGAGACGATGAAGAAGAGAGAGAGGCGAGGGGATGATGGTGAAGGGGAGATGTGAAAAGACCTTATCGACCTTTTATCTCTCGTTATCAAGTGGGGAGAGAATAAAAAGAAAAGTTGCTGCTGCCTTTGAGTTTTTTATTTATTTATTTATAGGTCTGTTTTTTTTTTGTGGATTAAATTCTTGGGACTTTTGGGAAATTGAATAGATGACCATTCTCGATAAGTGGGGGTTTGTAAAGTTAATTAGGTATTTAGGTGGAATCATAGTAAAGTTTTTTTTTTGTTGAATCATAGTAAAGTTTAATCTTTCTTCTAGACGTTGGGTTTGGTGCCACACTTACATTTTCATGGTTAGTGTCATTATGAAACAACTATTTGATGCATCGGTCAAGAGGGAAAATACATGATGTAAGATCCATTTTACATTTACCAGAATTAGAACCAAAGGCAGATTGAAAGATCCTAGGCCTTTGCAGTAAGGAAATGTAGAGAAGGAAAAAGATATGGACCAATTGTCCAGGCCTCTCTTGCTTTCTCTTAGTAACGGGCCTGATCATCTTGATCAAACTATTAGACCATTTACTTTTGAATTTTACCTAATCCACCACCTAGTAATTTAAAATCCATGGCATGTCCAAAATTAACTAAGCTTCTGGTTCTAGTTCACGTTGCATAAATCCATGGCATATCCAAAATTAACTAAGCTTCTGGTTCTAGTTCACGTTGCATAAATCATAAATGCACCCCAAAACCACTTGATTGTTTCATAGTGCTTACATGTATCATGAGATTGACATCATATGTGGTTGGAATCATTTATTTTGTAAACTGGGAGAGATTTGGACCAAGGTCCTAATCTTTCGAGACCAGCAGACGCTGTACCAACGATACAGCATAAACTAAGGACATAATGAAGCCAACTTCAAGCACTAAATCATTAACCCAACACACCGTTGGCAAAATCAGAATTATCATTTTACACGTAAATATAGTTATATATCTATTAGTTAGGCAAATAATATGCAAAACATTATATTCTCACAAGAATATTTTAAGAAAAATATGATTTTAAGGAATTGAATATAGAGAGCTATTAAGTGATGGAATTGAAATTTGCAAAGGTCTTTGTTGAATTTTTACTTTCCTTAAAGAAATGATATTGTCTGGTCAAAATTAAACACAGTTTCCATTTAAGTAAAAACACCAAATCCGGCTTAGGCGTGAACAAAATTACACTACATCCTACATGGCTTATTCTGATTGGATACAAGAAAAAAAATCAACCAATGGTTACAATTTTACAATGTGGAACACAAAGCCTAACCCCACGCTGCCACTGTCGTAAAACCCTCTTTTTGCTTCATAACGTAAAACAACCTCAAACACATCTATACCCTCTCTCGCTCTCTCTTTCAAGCAATGACAATCTCACCGTTACTATTCATTGGTTTGATTTGCCTAGCAGGCGGTGGATCTCTTTTACCGGCGGTGGAAGCGATATGGTTAACGGTTCCAAGTTCAGGCGAGAAATGTGTCTACGAAGAGATCCATGCCAACGTGGTCGTAGTCGTCGATTACCTTTGTATCGATCAAAATAATATCGGACTTGGTCCCACAGTTGATGTCCGGGTATGTATACCTATCTATACCAATCATTATTCACAACCATATTTCAAATTATTCATTTTCATTGTAAGCTATATGTGACAGCGATTCACTGTTTTAGGTTTTTTTCTTCTTAATCTACTTATTGAAGATTGTTTTTTGTTTATTTGGACTAGATCAGGTGATTAGTGACATTAAGAAATTATGAAGGCGTTTGTTTAGAAATGATATTTATCATTTTGAGTGATTGTTAGTGCATTTTCATCGCATGAAACCCATTTAGAGTTCTTATTTTCTTTTTTGTGTAATTAAAAAAATAAAAAAAAAACAAATCAATCGCAAGCCGCCAAATGTTAGTGGAATTCGCGAACAGTGTAAATCAATGTTTATTCGAGGACTTTAAACTACTGTTTTTTACTTTTTTTTGTGAGGCTTAAACCCTCCTCCCCTTCAACCCCTACTATAAAGATGTTCTTAAACTCTAAAATCTGAAGTCTAAATATCTCAACCGGACTCGGTTCCTAAATTGAAATATCCAAAATATCCTATTGGATACCTGAATATTCATGCCTAGTTAGAGCTATAGTAATGACTCAGCTATATATAAATGCGTGTGTGGTGCATTGGTTATAGGTAAATTCAGCTTACGGGAAGGAACTATACAAGAAAACAAACGAGACGTACGGTCAGTTTGCGTTTACAACGAGCGAGACAGGAACATACTTGGCTTGTTTCGGTATGCACCACGACCAGGCACATTACACAGTCGACAATCGCACTGCTATCGTCAATGTTGACTGGAAGATGGGTATCCAAACCAAAGATTGGGATGCTGTTGCTAAAAAAGAAAAGATTGAGGCAAGTCCATAACTGATTAGTTCCTTAATAATTCACATATGTTACAGTATTTTGAATGTAAATGTTGTTACGCAGGGTGTAGAACTTGAGCTTCGAAAATCTTCTGAACGTATTACTGAAATTAAGGCAAACATTCTCTATCTAAGATTCAGGTGATTTATATATCATTTCAACTTTGTATCTAAATTGCATCTAAAACTCTCCATGTTTCAAGTTTTTATGAATTTATATGTACATATAAGACTCTTTTAACTAACAATATAAGTAAAAAAGTGGTGCAGGGAATCAGCTATGAGGGAGGTAAACGAGAAGACTAACAAGAGGGTTGCGCGGCTCACCTATATGTCATTAAGTGCAATCATACTCGTTTCACTTATTCAAATTTGGTATCTCAGACGCTTCTTCCTCAAGAAGAAGCTTATCTAATTTATTTTGTTCTAATATTTTATTTTAGAAAAGATTTGCAATATTGTGACTTTTTGATGGTTATGCCAAATCAATAAAGAAATACATGTTCAACTTTTTGTCATTTTTATCACATAAGAAGAAGGATTTTACATATTGTATGTAAATGTATACTCCTAGAATTCTAAAGATTATATAGCTACCCCATCATAGTCATATTGGTATATAAGTTTAGTGTAATCAGTGTACTTAATTAACCGGTCATTGTAAATCCTCTGTAAATAAAAACAGAGTAACGAACTCTGTAACTGAAAATAACAGAAACAATCCCTTTTTACATCGACATACTCGAATTTTTAAATCAACAATCCACCAAAAAAAAAAACAGTTCACCTAAAAGTATTCCATACTTCATAGTTTGAGGCACAAGCATCTCAATGAAAAGGTGGTCCACTATAATCTGAAGCCGAACCAGAGGATGTAAACGGCCATAGATACAACAACGGATTCTTCCGACCAATATTCCCATCTTCTCGCAGCTCCTTGCGACACACTGGACAAGAATTATGCTGGACTAGCCACGGGACTATACATTCCCAATGGTACATATGTTTACACGGCATCTTTCTTGCAAACGATCCGATCTCAAACCGGTCTTGGCAAACCGGACAACACAAATCCAAACCGAGATGTTTCTTCCTGATCTTGATCTTTGGCATTGAGTTGATCACGGTTAGTGAAGCTGGAGGTGGACCACGTCGGTCTTGTGCTGAGAGCCGGTTAAACAACTCTTGAAAACTCAGTTGGTTTTCAAGAACCGGTCTTCTTCTATTGTTGACGCGACGGTTACGAGATTCTTCGATTGCTAAACCGAATAAATCAAAAGGGTTTAGTTCAACATTCTCACATAGCCTTTCGAGAAAAGTGTTACCACAGTGAATGCAAGCTCCTCCTCCTCTTCTTAGGTCTTGTCCTTGAAGACGGATTCCTCGTCTGCAAGTATTACACCAGTGTGTGTTTTTTCGACTAGTCATCAAACCTTGCAAACGAAATGATTTTATTTCAGACACATAAAGAAACAAAAAAAGCAAATCTAAGAAACAAACATAAGATATGGAAGCTGATCCTCAGACAAAGATTTAAACTATGGGTAGCATAAACAATAACTCGTTATAATAAACAAAACAATTGAAATCTCTCTTACCAGAATAGAATGAAGCAACAAACAATCTCGTGAATCTCCAAGTACTAAAGAAGATTAAATAAAAGAAGAAATCCTGGAAGAGGTGGAAAAGTCTTCCACGCAAATAGAGTCAAAGGATATGAAAAGTCATACAACGAAAAGTAACAAGAAATTACTGGAACAATAATGTACTTGATGAAAAAAAAATTTGCATAGATTTGTCGACGCTGAACGAAAAGGATGTTCGGCATTAAAACTCGTATATTTATAAGAATATGTTCGGAAAAACCGTGAAACTGTTTATTGTTTTGGACCTTTTGGTCTACATATTTTTGTTTGTATGTTTATAAGTAACACAGCTTTGACTAACAGTCTAACACGAATAATTCAGTTGTGGAATTTGTGCTGTCACATAACAGGTTTCAATCATTTTCAAGTGAAATCAATGTTATCTGCGCGTTAATTTTTAAGGTGACAACAAACATATAACGTGTCGTATCTAATACTATCAAAATTCCATTATATACGTAATACGTAATTTTTTCTTTTGGGTTTTGTTACATTTCTAAACAGATATAACCATTAGTATTTGATGATCGATGGCCAAAGCTGGCCAGAGTTGTATTGAAGCAGCAAATAATTTTTACCTTTTCAAAATGTTCAACAAAATTAATTTTGACTACTAAAAATACTAAATAATATAAAAATTCCAAATATTCAAAAAGATGTCTCATATATAGTTCCAGGACATGTGTTACTCTATTATTTCTACTTGTCATCTTAATAAAAAAAGAAACACAGTGAAATTATGTTTCTAAAAAACTAAATACTCCCTCTTCTGTTTCATAATAAGTGTCATTTTATACTTATACACACGGATTAAAGAAACAATTAATTTTATATATTTCCTATATAAAAATACAATTACCAATACACCTAACCACATTTTAACCAATAGAAAAATCAATAATATAATAAAGTTAATAAATTTTGCATTAAAAACCGAAAACGACACTTATTTTGTAAGGGATCTTTTCCTCTAGAACGACACTTAATATGAAACGGAGGGAGTAATTATTTGTTTAGCTGAGATGTATTACTATCTTTGATCTTGGTAAAAAACTACTCCCTTCATTTCATTTTAGTTGTTATTCTAGTTTTTTTCATACAGATTAAAAAATATTTAATTTTACATATTTTCAAGATAAAAAACAATTATCTATATATCTAACCTTATTTTAACTAATAGAAAAATAGAATATCATGTAGAGTTAATAAATTTTACCTCGAAATACTAACATGACACTTATTTTAAAACAATTTTTTTTTCTCTAAAATGACAACTAATTTGAAGAGAGTATTAAATACTAAAAATAATTAATGAATTAGTTTGAAAGTATGAAAATAAGGAAATAAAATGACATCAAATTCTGTTTTATATCTTTATAATAAATGTTTTGAAATTATTTGAAAGAAAAATCAATTATTAAAGTAGTTAAGATGAAGAAAAAAAAATGTAATGAATCTGCTGAAAATAAGTTTTTAGAACATGTGTTACTCTCTTATTCTTACATGCCGTTCTAATTAAAGAAAAGGACACATTGAAACTTATATTTCCATAAAACTAAATGATTATTTATTTAGCTGAGATATACTACTATCTTGGTAAAGAAAAAAGCTAAAAAGTAAAAACTAAAGGTAAATAATGGAGGGAAGAAAGAAATAACAATGGAGGGAAAAGATAAAACGCTACCAAAATACTAAACCGAAGCTGTAATCAATCCATCCCATATTTGATTCTTTTGATCGGAAACGCGTGTTTCAAAAAATTCCCGAGAAAACCGGATTTTTCGAAAATCGACGACGGACGAGATGATGAAACAACCATCGGACTCGTTGGATAATTGGAGAGACTATTTCCGGCGAGGAGATTCTTCTGATATATTTGAGATCATCGATCACGCCATCATCCTCGCCGCCGCTGATTTCCCGAACGAGTTCAAATCCAGGAGAGACGGAATCGCGCAGCTTCTCTTCTCTCGTAATGTCAGCCGCCGCCGCTGCATCGGATGTGGTAACGAGGTTAACGGCGATAGGGATGATTCTGGTGGCGGTTGTGGAGAAGATGAGAGGAAATTGGATGATAATGAGATTGTTGATGAGGTCACGAGGATCAAAGATATTTTGTTGAATAAGGACGATGAGGTTTTGATCTCTTTGTTTGAATTAACAAAAAAACAAAAAAAAAAAACAAAAAAAGTAATTAGAGTTTGTTTTGGAGGAATGATTATGATATTTTGAGTTTTTTTGCAGTCAAATGGTGTGTTACTTCGTTGCTTGAGGAAGCTTGAGTCAATGTCTCTGAGTGTGGACCTTCTCAAGGTTTGTTGTTTTTTTGGTAGTGTGTGTATGATTTGGTTGTTGAACGTGGTGAGTTTTTGATTGAAGGATTTGTGTTTTTGCAGGATACTGAAATTGGAAAGGCGGTTAATGGTTTGAGGAGACATGGTTCTGATAAGATTAGGGAACTTGCAAAGGCTCTTTTTGCGTATGTGTTTGTAGACTCTCATTTGTGATGTGCATTAAACTTTGGTTTAAGAGAATCATTTGATTGCTAACTACCTGGAAACTTAGAGTATTATGTAACTATTTTGATTTTGATTTTTTATGTGGGATGCTCAGGGAGTGGAAGGAGATGGTGGATCAATGGATGAACAATACAAATGAAATTGTTGGTAATAGGTTTCTCTTCATGTTCCTTTTGTTACTGTGAGGAGCTTTGTTTTTTTGTCAAAGGTTCACAATACTTGGCTCATGCAGGTGATGAAAGGACGCCAGAGTCTGCTATAGTTGATGAAGCAGAAGCCTTTCCTTCTCCTCCGCATGATTTAGATTATTTTGCTCCTGAACCTAATGGTTTTGAACTCTCTCAGGTCTGTAAACATATCTTTCCCTCCCGTAATATTTTCTTTTGGGCATATATGAAGTTTTTTCCTGACAAGTTTTTTTTTCTCGTCTTTGTTTCTTATATCTTTGGTCGCTTGAAGATCTTAGATGGCTTGGATTGCGATGGAAGTGAGTTAGTATACTCTTTGGTACTCTCTCTACTTTGAAACTCTTCCTAATTCCCCTTGTATGTTTTCAGATCCTCGTCACAGTGTGGAGCCCAAGCATGAAAGAAAATCACAAAGCAGCATGATTAGGAGACCCGGGGGTACAAATGAAGCCAATGTGGTTGGGAGGTACAACAAGAATCAGCAGATGAGGAGAGAAGAAGTTGATGTTAGACAACTTAAGCAAACTAGAGAACCGATTGTTATTGCTGAGCAGAAGCGGAAACTTGCTGGAGCTCAACAAGATGTGAGTGTGTGGGTTAATAAAGCCTTGATGTTTGATTCTTATTTTAGGTTCTAATAGCAACTGTGGTTTTCTTGTTGTTATAAGAAACTCCAAGCGCTGGATCCAGACGCAAGGTTTGAGTTTGCAAAGAGGAAACTACAAGAGAGCTACCAACAACATGATAAGGGTTAGTCTTTCTCTTCAAAAGAGATTTTCAGTATATCCACTCTTTTCGTTACATTCTTGATTCGCATTTGTTTTTGTTTTCAACAGCCAAAAAACAGAGGACGATACAAGTACTAGAAACGATCCCAAAGCAAGGTAAAACTAAGAAACCGCTACTCAAGAGACCCGTGCGGAGGTAGTTCCATTTTCCTTCGGGTGATCTTATTCTATATAGTTACTATGATGACCATTCAGAGCTTGTTGTAGAAAACAAAAGTGCACTTTGATAGATCCAACATAAACTTCTTAGGACGCATATAACTAGGGGACATATCTTCTGTCTCTATTTTTTGTCCTAATTTTATTGGTACTTCCGGTCCAGTGAATATTTGGTTTGGTCCGGTTTTGTGACTAGTGTGAACCTCATAATGAAAAGGCAAAGGGTTACATATTTTATATTTGTTTGAGCCTACGTTACATTTTATGACACACTGCCCTGGAACTTCAAGTCCACTTGCTGCTCTTGTTGTGACCCTCCAAAAACATCACCTAGAAACTTTGCAACAACAGATATGAACTCATCTGGTTTTTCCTCTTGTGGAAGATGACCACATTTCGTTATCACTTCGAACACTGATCCAGGGATCGCTTTTGACAGCCTCTCTGCGTTCCATGCTGGTACAATCCGGTCCGTATCTCCGGTAACAATCAGAACTACTCACCAACATGGAGAAGGTGCCATGTTAATGAGAAAAACATTTGGTCTACTGAAAATTGCAGGCTTGTTGAATAAGGAAAAGAGATGTTACCAGGGCATTTGATTTCTTGGAACCTTTTCGATGATGGAGGTTTCTTCTGTGACCCATTATTATCCGTTAATGTAGCCACCGTGAATTCCACAAGAGCTTTGTCCCATCCCTTGGCTTTTAGAGGCTGTTTTTTTTTTTCACAGTTTCCAACATTTAACAACATGGCAATGCAGAAAGAGATAAAACAAATCCGAGAAGCAGAGGAAGATCACCTTTGTATAGCCCTGAACGACGTGATCCGTCACTTGTTTTGAGTCATACCACGCGTTTCTAACAGCTGTTACTCCGAACTTATTGATTGCCATTCTCACCTAATCACAAAAACACATCAAGTAAAGATCCTTTTGAGGTTCTCTAACCATGAGTAGTGAAGCCAAAGCAGTACCAGCATGACTCCAAGAGGGGATCTAAGGAAAGCTGCTAAAGCTCTCTTGTAGAGAGAACTCAGCATACTCGCCATTCCCGTTAAAGCTCTTGAAATTGCTCCTATAACAACTTTGCTTAACTCTACTAGAGTCCCTAGAAACTTGCTAGCAGGACCTTTTTCGCCAGGTTTATCTCCAGAACCAGATGTGCTCACAGGACGAGGAGCGAATATAGCAGGAGCGATGAGAATGAGTGCAGCAACACGTTCAGGAGCTTCAAAGTAGGAATCTACAGCTACAAGACAACCTGCAGAATGCCTACAACATATGAAAAAGTTAAACAATCTCAGCCTTTGATGACACTTGAAGATATGAAAAGTGTAACTTACCCTACAAGAATCGCCTTCTCGGCAGCAAGAAAGTCGATGAAATACAACGTGGTTAGCACTGAATACACCATGGAGTAGGGATTCAATGGTTTTGCATCATTGGTAACACCACTAAATGGGTGAAGGATCCGTGAAGTCAATCCAAATGCGGGTCTATCGAAGGCGAGAACTTTGGAACGGACAAGCCTAGCTAAAGGCTTCATAACTCTGTTCCAGGAGAACACAGAAGCGCCAAAGCCGTGTAATAGAATCATTGGAAACTCGACTTTTGGGGTTACTTGAGCTTCGTCGACGCTTGTGACTGAAGCATCATCAGAGAGTGTTGTGTGTGGATCAAACACTTTGTGGTGTATGTTAACACCTTGAAACTCACAGAAACAGCTGTCTGGATCAGCTAAGTTCATTGGATCCTGCTCTGTTTCAGCTATTGTCTCCTCTTTGGTCTGAGCTCCACCATCAAGAAATTGATCTGAAACTTTTTGAGTAGAGTTTAATTAGGAAGATTTATCATCTAAAAAAGATCATTAGGGGACAAAAGACACAGTATTGGAGACGATGAAACGTTTATTTATGTGGACAAAAGACACAGTATTGAGAAGAAGCTCATGAGTAAAGAAGCAGTAAAGAGTAAGGAACATTATTTATGTGATGAGGTTTAGACCTGGGGAGCCAGAGAGAGAAGGAGAAGAAGAAGCAGCATTGGAGACGATGAAACGTTTAGCCGGACGACGAAAGGATTGACCGGAGATTAGGCAAGACATCGGAAAGTTGGTTCTAGGAGAATCTAAACTAAGCTTAGCATTGGAAGATAAGGAAGATAAAGTTATGATACTCTGCTTTGGTTGGTGTAAGAAGAAGATGCATTTGGTGTTTAATAAATTCATTGTTGGCTCGTAATTATCAGACAGATGATAAAGTAAAGTACAAAAGTTTGAGTTATGATGTCTCTTCTAGATTGTGTTCCGTCCTTTTTAAAACTAAAAAAAAGAATTGTGGAGATCGCTGTTCTCATGGACAAAGAACTATCACTGGACGAAGAAGGACCGTAACGTAAAAAGCACACTCTCACCTCAGTTTTGTTGCCACGTGGCTATAATACGGGACAACTATTTTTCATCCCCAAAAGCTTTGTTTGTAGTGATGTTGTCAAAGACAAGAAAGACAGTATTCATTTATTATCATCCACAAGAAACTGAGAGGGGGGTACACGGCATACATGTCGGTCCATTTTTGGTTTACCATACCGGTTACCAGTTTCACAGAGAGTATAAACATCAACGGTTCTTTTACACTTTTTCAAAGGTTCACCATAACACACGAAAAGCATTTATGCAAGAAGCTCTCCCAGTTCTTATCCCCTCCACTGATCCTTCTTGTTCCTCATAACTCTGATAGTATCAATCGGTGATGTGCAACCAAGTTTCTCCTGTACAAGAACACATTCAAGAGAAAAAAAAGATCGATATCAGCTAATAGAACAGTGATAACTTGATTAAAAAAAAATTGAATACAAAAGAAGCAAGTAATTTTAGCCTTGTTCAAGAATAGGATAAGTTACCTGTATCTCAGGATTATTAACGCGCATAAACGGGTTTGTTTCGAGCTCTTCCTCTAGTGTTGAAGGGATTGTGGGAAGATTTGCTTGACGCTGTTGACGAGCCCATGATAGCTTCTGCTGTATCTTCTCGTTGTTTGGTTCCACAGTTAAAGCAAACTCCAAGTTCTTCACTGTATACTGAGGAATCATAAGAAATATACATAAGTGGTTATTCAGTTTATAGAGACATCAAATTTTTCTGTTACCTCGTGGCCGCAGTAAACCTGTGTTGGTTTAGGTAATGAAGCCAGAGTCACACACAATGATTGATGCATCTGTTCAGCTGTCCCTTCGAAAAACTTACCACAGCCAGCAACGAACTGTACATCATCCAAGTAAATACAGTGTTTATATATGGAGTTATGATCTGTTCTTGATATCCATGGAAAAAAATAGCAACCAGCTTGTATGAAACAACTTACAAGTGTATCTCCAGTGAACACAGCTGGACTTTCCCCATCTTTGCCAGTGACATAGTAACTAATGTGACCCTTGGTGTGACTGAAACATGCAGCAACATATCAATAAGATCAACATTAAAAATAAATGCAATCTAAGTTAGTAAAAAGTAAAACGATACCAAGGGGTGTGAAGAGCTAATATGTTAATATCATGACCCAAAGACAACGTGTCACCATTATCCACCGCATCAGTGCATCCCTTGACCTTATCAAGAGAACCTCCATAGACTTTGATTCCAGGTACCAACTGCTTCATCTTCTCGTTGCCCCCAGCATGATCCCTTTCAATGAAAAAACACCAACCCAACAAAATCAGAGAATGACAGGTAAAAAATGAAACTTTCCCTACAAACCCAATTAATCACAAAGCTGAGAGCTTTAAACAGAACATGAACTTATAGCTAACTGGAACCAAGAGAATCTAAAAGAGGAATGTTTTGTTGATAAAGTTACTGTCTTTATGTAAAACAGAGTGAAGTGAGAGTTACCACTTAAGTGACCCAATCTTTCCCTACAAACCCAATTCATCACAGACTAAGAGACCAATATTAATCAGAAAGCTGAGAGCTTTAAACAGAACATGAACTCCTAGAGCTAACTGGAACCAAGAGAGTCTCAAAGAAGAATGTGTTGTTGATAAAGTTACTGTCTTTATGTAAAACAGAGTGAAGTGAGAGTTACCACTTACCAGTTAAGTGACCCAATCTTTCCCTACAAACCCAATTCATCACAGACTAAGAGACCAAGATGAATCACAAAGCAGAGAGCTTTAAACAGAACATGAACTCCTAGAGCTAATTGGAACAAACAGAATCTAAAATATGAAATGTTTTGTTGATAAAGTTACTGACTTTATGTGAAAACAGAGTGAAGTGAGAGAGTTACCACTTACCAGTGATGATGCGTGGTGAGAACGAACTTGATATTGGCACTGTGCTGCTCAGCCGATTGAATCACCTTCTCCGGTTCAACTGGATCCACAACCGCCGCGTCTCCGGTGCTCTCATCGATTATCCTGTCAAAATCGAGAGAAACTGATGAAGAGCCGAATCAATAACAAGAAAATGAAAATTGGATAAGAAATCACTCACAGATAAGAGTAGTTATCTTCTAGACAAGGAACGTAGAAGATCTTCATCGTCTTTTTTGATCGATCTCAAAAAGTTACTCCTTTGAAGTAGTAAGTGCTGGTCATGTCATTAGAGAAGTAGCGGTTGGTTAACCGATTCGGTTTGTAATAACCGAATCAAATCAAAACAAACCAAAAATTTGAATTGAACCGAACCAAAATCGTAATTATTAACCGGTTTGTTTATTTTTAGGTTTAGTTCTCAGGTGAACTGTTGTGGCCTGTGGGATTTGTCGGAAGAAGTGAAGAAAAGAAGAAGATGGGGAAGTACAGTGAAACTCTATAGATTAATAATATTGGATTACACCAAAATTTTAATTTTTTTATTAATTTAAAAAGATATTAATTTATCGATATAGTAATTGAACTAAAATTAAATTTAAAATTATAAAATTATATTATTTTATAGAAATATTTAGTGTTCTATTGAAGTGCGTGTTGGTCATAACATCAAAGAAGTAGCGGTTAACCGATTCGGTTTGTACTACCGAATCGAATAATCAAATCAATACAAACCAAAATCGAATTGAACCGAACCAAAACAAAGCAAAATCTAATTGAAACCAATTCAAAATTGAATTGAACCGAACCAAAACAAAGCAAAATCTAAATGAACCGAGTCAAAATCGAATTGAACCGAACCAAAACAAAGCAAAATCTACATGAACCGAACCAAAATCGTAATTGTTAACCGGTTCGTTGAGATTTGTTTATTTTTAGGTTTAGTTCTCAGGTGAACTGTTGTGGGATTCGTCGGAAGAAGTGAAAAAAAAAGATGGGGAAGCAGCCGGTGAAGTTGAAGGCGGTGGTGTACGCTCTTTCGCCGTTTCAGCAGAAGATAATGACGGGACTCTGGAAAGATCTCCCTGAGAAGATTCACCATAAGGTCTCCGAGAATTGGATCAGCGCCACTCTCCTCCTCACTCCTGTCCTCGGTACCTACTGGTATAACTCTCTCTCTCTCTTTGATCTGGCTGTTGTTTGAGATTTAGTGTTCTTTGGTTTGTGACTATGTAGGCTTTGATGTATTTGTTTTCTATGATTGGTCTTTGGTTTGTGACTATGTTACTTTGTCTGAAAATATCACTTAACGTTTGTCTCTTCACTATCATCACTTATTAAACTTCTTTGTATTATACACAAATGTAACTAGGTATGCTCAGCACTTCCAGGAACAGGAGAAACTCGAGCACAGGTTCTGAAAACATGAAGCCCTCTCCGTTATTACAACTATTTGACTTTGGTCGGAAGCCATTTCCTGTAATAGAAAATTGTTGTCTGAAACTCGCTAATAAATGTTTTTGGTTCATGACAATCACTATTGATCTGCATCTTTCTTGATATTAATATAGACAACAACGTTTGCTTCACACAAGACTTATTTTCACAATCATGTTCATATATGCACACTGTGATATTGACAAAAGACAGATTAACATTTAATGTGAGCCCTCTCAACAGTTGTATCCACATTCCACCACGTCCGGTCCAATAAACCTAGAAGTAAACGGATCAATCCGGATCCACAACAAGGAGAAGATTGATGAAAGAAGAACCGACCAAACCACAATAACAGTTGGAGTCCTGTTCTGTCTCCCCATCAAACCCTTGAGGAACGGGTACAAGTGAACAATCACCCAAAACGCAAACAAGAGCTTACCAAAAAGAGGTCCCCAAGTCTGATACCCATTATTAAGCGCGTAAGAGATCCCCGCAACCACTCCTACAAGGTTTATGATGAGCAGAGTCGTTGGTGGGATCAGAAGCGTTGTCCATTTGATCAAGTAAAGCTCTGCTGAGTCACCATCTTCGTCTGAGGCCTTTGATGTGACTGTGAAGTTGGTGTCTATACCACCCAGCACTTTGAGTAGTCCTTGGACTAGTGCAAACAAGTGAGCTGAAACACCTCCAATGACCCAAAACTGCTCGTTTCTCCACCACTCGTCTATACGCACTCCACTCCATCTCATTTCAAGTATCCCCGTGGCGAAAATCGAAAGGAAGAGTGAAAGAAACCATAAGCTTGCCAAGTTACTTATCTACAAACATTTGAACAGCATTTGCTTAGGACATTGGTACTCTTGATTGAGATTAAGAGAGAGAGAGAGAGAGAGAGAGAGAGAGAGAGAGAGAGAGAGAGAGAGAGAGTAAACCTCAGGAATGATGAATTGGTTGGTGAAGAGACAAACAGCAGGCAATGTGCAATACATGAGGAGAGGAAGAGATGTGATTGGGTAGATTGTGGTGTTGACATATGCAAACCTCTCAAGAAACTTCAGTCTCCCTCCATAACCGTACCAGATTGGACAATGACGGCTAAAGAGAATCTCTATTGAACCTAGAGCCCATCTAAGCACTTGGTTTAATCTATCAGAGAGATTAATTGGAGCAGATCCTTTGAATGCAGGTAGTTTAGGCATACAGTATATCGACCTCCAGCCACGTGCATGCATTTTGAAACCGGTGAGAATATCTTCTGTTACAGAACCATAGATCCAACCAATCTGAAGAATCACAGACAAAACATAACAGGTTCAGAAAATCAAAGAAGCAACAAAGAAGGTTTACAAGATGTGGGTAAATACCTCTCTTCCCCACTCTGTTACGTCCTCGTATCCACAGCTAATGACATGGATAGCTTCTTTGAGAAGGTTTTCTGGAGTAGCGTAGAGAGGAACACCTCCATTTTCCATAAGCGTTGAAGCAACAAAAATGTCTGATTGTCCAAACCGCTGCTCCAGTCTCATTTGTGACATCAGCAGGGTCTTGTTATCATCTAAACCAGGTCCTGGTTTTGCAAAAAATGTTATTGATGTTACAGAGAACAGAAAAATAAGGAGAAACAAGTTTACCTTCAATACCCTCTTCTATATCACCAAGGTTGGATATAGGAACAGTTGAGTCAGAGTGGTTGCTAGATTTTTTTTTCTCAGAGCCCTTTTCAGATTTGGAATCCTTTTTTCTAGATACTCCACAGAGTTTAAATAACACAGTTTCTCTCCTGTGTTTTGGTTTAAGTGGAGGTTCATAACCATATAATGCAGTTCTGTTGAAAACACAACCAGTTCCCACATATACAGGTCCTTGGATCCCATCTAAGCCTCTCAAATTTATCTGAAGAGAATATCACATAATGCTAATGTTGATGACATTTTTGCAAAGATGACAAAAATTTGTGGAAAGTGAAACTTACATCAAAGAAGACGGTGTTCCTGTTAGCATATCTATCATTCTTGTCAATGCCATCAAATCTCTGAGGGAACTGGACATAACAGACTTGCTGCCCAAGTTCTGGATCCATTAGAAAACACATAGCTTCTCTCAAGGCCTTGCTGTTATTTATGTAATGATCACAATCAAGATTCAATAGGAAAGGTCCATTAGTTAGGACTGCTGAAACTCTAACCTGTCCAAAGTTAAAAGAGTACTACTGTTCATTAGAGGCAAAACAAATAGAAAAGAAGAAAAAGAAACATTCATTGATCATAATAAACCTACAAGAGCATTCATAGCACCAGCCTTTTTGTGATGCTGGAAACCTGGTCTCTTTTCTCTAGAAACATAGACCAAACGTGGAAGCTCGTTGCCTTCTTCATCAACTCCACCATTTTGTCCTAAGAAAACCTGCAATCAATAAATGATTGATTGATTGATACTACCAGATCATCAAGATCTCACTTCTAGTATCCAAAGGACCATGCAGAGATACTACAAGACCATGATGCATCCTAACTCACTTGAATCATTCCTGGATGGTCTCTTGTGTTGTTTCCAGGCCATGGTGTACCATCTTGCATAACCCAACCTTCTTCAGGGACTTTCTGAGCCTTGGAAACAATTGCATTTATTCTGATCTTGAATCTCTCATACTCCCTCTACCAAATATACAACACAATAATCAATAACAGCATTGCCAAAAGGTAACTAACTACAAAAAAAAAAAAGCTTTACCTTCATAGCTCTGCGGTCTTTGACAAATGAAGGATGAACTTTATCCTTCAGGTAATCAACTTTCAAAGCAAAGTACCATTCTGGCGCTCGTGGCTCAATACTATACTTCTTGCAGAAAGGTACCCATTTTCTAGCAAACTCTGATGTCTCTGCTAGTGACTCAAACGATAACATAGCAGCACCATCATCAGAAACATAACAAGACACCTTATCCACTGGGTAATCAACCGCCATGATAGAGAGTACTGTATTGGCTGTCACAAGAGGTGGCTCCTTTAAAGGGTCAACAGTACTCACAAAAATGTCAACAGCTGCTAACTGTGATGGCTCACCTGCACGATCGTATCTGTAATGAAGTTAAAGATTAGTTTTAACCTGAAAACATAAACAAACTAAAAAAAAAAAAGATTGGTTTATAGAGTAAGATATAACATACCTTAGAGAGAGTCTATCAAGGTATGTTTCTCGGTTAACAGGGAACCACTTTGGGAACTGATCAAGAATCCAAGATATAGCAAACCATATCTCACATATCACTGATACTAGCCATAGACCAAATGCATGTGGCACAGGATTTGTCACACGGTAATGTAAGAAGAGACATAGGATTATGAGCCTCAGTGTTATAACCATCCTGTAAGGGTTTATCTGTGATGATCTAACTGATATTTTCCTTGAAAGAGGCTGCCGTGCTGCTTCATCATTCCTGCAACCAATTTTAGAAAACATTATTCAACACATCAACTTAACTAGGAAAGATACCATGGTATACTCACAGTGAAGCCTCATCAACGGAGACATTAGTGGTGGCATCAAAACCAAATAAACCCTTTTCAGAAGCAGGACTGAATCTGTTCTCCTGCTTCATTTTCCAGCCTTCAACCCTCTTCTTCCAGGCTCCATTGCGCAATCCGGTCGAACCAAGATCTCTAACAGGATCCATAATGCTTGCTGCAAGGGCAATACAACAGAGTCTTTTTTCTGTTAAACCAAATTGAGAAGGTATCTTTTATAAGTAAGTATTCATGTGAGAGGGTTATAACGTGTGGGAAGCCGCTTTCCAGTAGAAGATACAGGTTGGCCTTCAAGTGAAGCATCAGCAGAAGACTCTCCAGAAACCTATTAATAAGTAAAAAAGACAAACTTAAACTCAAGCTTGGATGTGATGTTACAATGTTTTACCTCTTGTTGTCTTCTAATGTGATGAGGAATAGGATTTGGAGGGACTTCTTTGTCAGAATCAGAGTGCTCAATCTCTTTCCCTTTCTCACGTGTAAGATGCCATCCAAACATCCCCTCTGATATCTTCTCCTTCTGTGAGTTTTGTTTGTAACTAAACTCACTACCACTGTCATCAGTAAAGCAACCCTCTTCTTTATCTCCAGGAATGGCTGGACTACCTAGACTCAATAACAATGATCAAACCCATAAAAAAAAATGCACACAAAGTAAATTTATGTGGCTACCTTTGTGTCTCTTGTATCTGGTCTTGCACTGAGGACAAGACTGGTTGCCATATTTTCTTTCATACTCATAGCAAGGTCTACAAACTGAGAATGAGCAGAGATTACACGCCACAAAGATATCTCCATTCTCATTTCTTCCAATGTTCTCAGTACATATCTGACATGTCTCTTCATTAGCTGCGTTACTCATCAGCTTCACGTTTTCTCCTACGTAATGTATGAGATGAGTAAGACACACACACACACTTACTATTAGTCTCTCTTTCTCTGTGTGCATTCACTCTTCTTGTACAAGTAGAGATTTATAGAGGAGAATTAGCTTCGCTTGAAAGTTGCAACCACACTGTCTTCTTCCCTACTAACACTCTTTTCTTCTTTTACTCCACTTACCATTTCAACACAGTTTTGCTCAAATATCAACCATTGGTTGACACGTAAAACCGGAATTAAATTGTCAAATTGTTTTCACGAGTTTAAAACTCATTTGATTGTGTAAAGACTCTGACCTATTAAAATCCAGATTAATACTAAACATTTAATTAAGTTGAGTTTTCGTGACGCAAGATAAAAATTTAACAGAACGACTGGTAAGTAAGTAGAGTGATATATATCACTTGATAACATATTTGGGGATATTGAATGTGTAATTTGGATTGATTTTGATTTTTAATGAGTTTTAAATGATTGTAGGAGAATTTGATATTTTGGCTGTTTTTTGTTTAACAAATCTAAAATCTCATCTCAATTTATGAGATTTAGATTTTTATTTATTTTTATAACTAATAAACTTTTCTCAAACACTCTAAAAATATTTAAAGCACTCTAAAATTTTCAAATTTAATTTTATTCAATACTCCTTCCGTTCCTTAAATATATATGTATTCTAGAAAAAAATTTGTTTCCAAAAGATCTATTTTTTACTTTTTAATGTATGTTTTATTAATTAATTATAAACTTCAAAAAAATTGATTGCACTAATTAATTTTTCTTAGTTTAAAATTATGAAAAGAAGATAAATACAAAAGACTATGAAAGTTTATTATGTTTTATTAAAAGATGTGAAAAAATAATAATATGGATCTTTTATGATCAGAGGGAATAATAGTGAATTTCAGATTATTTTATGAAATGACAAGTTCAATATAATCAATAAAACTAGATTTTAAACCGTGTTTGAATATCTATGTTTGAATAATAGTGAATTTATCAATTGAACAAAAATCACCTGTGTAAATGTTGAAACTCCTAGTTGAATACACTTGTTCTTTTATTAAATATTTTATTAAACCGGTTAACACCACACAATCCATTGATTCTTAAATATTTTCAGATACAGTCAACAGAAACGGCAGCTTTGATGAGTAAACCAAAGAGAACAAAAGGGTTAGAGAAGAAAGGTGAATGGTCACTGTCCACTTCATAAGCTTCTCTCGGTGGCCACCGTTTCATCATCGCTTCTTGCTGCTCCGGTTTCATCACTCGGTCATGCAAAGTCTTGATGTACACGCGTGGCACGTGCTCCTCCTCCTCCTCTCCTTCTCCTCCTTTCTCTTTTGCTGTCGTTAGCGCCAGAACCGGACCTGGTCTCATTAGTAACGTAGCCAACGCACATTCCTTGACGACATTTATAAACAAAAAAAAACAGTGAGCATAAGGACAATAGATTTGAATGATTTAAGAGCATGATTAATCCGGGATTCTTAAAGTGAGGTTCGTAGCGGAAACTAAGAAACTGTTTCTTAATTTTTAACTAAAAACGCTAAGAACCGGTTCTTAAATAAGGACTTAAGAACCGGTTCTTAGCGTTTTTAGTTAAAAGTTGAGAAACAGTTTCTTAGTTTCCGGTAAAAACCCCGCTTTAAAAACTCCGGATTATTCATGGTCTAAACATAGAGTAACCTGTTGAGGACTCGTGTGGTAAAGTATCTTTCGACGGAACTCTGGTTTGATAAGGGCACTGGTTGGAGGATTCTCGCGTCCTAAACCGAAACTTAGCTCATAGACATCACCATGTTCTGATAGATCAGGTGCTCCCTGTGACAAAAAACAACAAAACGTCACTCACAAGTTACCTTCACTTAACAAACACTTTTTTTATTCTTTTTATTACATCTTTCAAATCTTCATCGGTCTGAAACCCTAATTTGAGCATTGTAGCTGCAATATAAACAGCTAGAGAGATCTTCTTAGGGAATTTATAAATCGAGTTCGTTACGCTAAGCCCTCCTGCACTGTGACCCACAAGTATCACCTGATGATAAAACATAGAACAGAGGAAACAGAGTGAGTTTGCTTCGGATACAAGAAAACTGTGTGTGTTTGTGTGACCTGTTCTTGTTCTGGTAAAGAGGAGAGGAAGTCGATGAGTGGTTGGTTGTATTGCTCGAAGGAAGTTAGAGAATCTGCGGAGGTGGGATCGATGCCTGAGGATTTGAGGTCGATGCAAGTGACGGTGAAGCCAGAGACTTCCATGAGACACTTGATTTTGTACCAGCACCATGATCCTAAGCTCATGCCATGTATTAGCACGAAGTGTGGTGGTTTTGTTCTTGGTTTCAAAACTAGGGTTTCTTCTTGATTCTCCCCCGCCATCGATCACGCCGGAGTTTTGCCGGAGATGTGATTGATGGGTTTTCTTCAACTATGTGGTCTGGGTGTTTTCTTGGGGATCTTTGTCACATATGTCAAGCGCATATATAGTGGAAAAATATATATTTGCTTCTTCCCATTCCCTTTTAGTGTGATTTTTTTTCTTCTTATTATATCATTTCAATATGAGTCAGTAATTATTTTATTCTTATCTATTAACTTTTCATAGAAATTGTATCCGGTTATTATGGTTATGTAATCATATGTTGAATGGAACAGAATAAAACTTCTCAGAGAGAAACTTGATGACACATAGAAATAGAATGCAACTTAAGCATAATTTTTTTCTAGGGAATTTTTCCTTCTGCAGCTTATTTTATAGCTCAGCCAATTCTGTTTGTGACTTATTACGCAATTTTTGCCAGAATTAATGGTACAACTGATAAGTTTATTTGGTAAAATATCTAATGGAATAAAGCAATTAAAAAGTGATTTACTGAAAAAAATATTCCAAAGGAACGATTTAAGATTTCATCGAAAAGAATAATTTATACTATCAAGATTTTTTTGTTTTGTTTTTGAACACACATATCAAGCCACTTGCCACAACCCCAAACATACTTTACTATCAAGTTAAGTCTGGTATTTTGTACATTTCAACATTTCTGTTTTTTTTTCTTTATATATATCTTTAAGCAAATGAATAATTACCTATGTTGCGATCAATCATCACAAATTTTCGCTTGTTGAGATTACTAAAGGTAGAAGAAAATGTGTGTTTAGTTTGTATCTTTATATGTATAGTTATATGTTTGTCGATTTGATTGTGGATCCGACTTTGGTATATGATCACTTGGTTTATTGCATTTTGGTATAGTTGAGATAGTCAATGAGTAATTATTGCCTCTGCTGACTATATTCTTGCAATTGCTATTTGTGTTTATTCGCACTGGTTAAACGTTTATCCACAAAACAATTTTAAATCTTGAGCAGAGGGTTTCCACCTTAATGTTATCCTTATTATAAAATGTTACATAGAGTCAGGTATGTCACGTGTGACTGTTTGAGACATACTTATATTATAATGACCCGTGCTAGGATTCATTTGTATTTTATTTAAAACTAATTATGTATGATAATACTAGTTTTCTTCTTGGTCAAATTTATAACGTAAAACAATAACGTTCGTGTTTGACCATTGAAAACAATAACGTTCATTGACCAGTTCAGTGGCTCGTTACTAAAAAGACAGAATAATTTCTTACAGGAAGACTGTCGTCTTAACAAATGTAATGTCATAAACCATTTAAGTTTGCCTAGAAAATCAATATCAGAATAAATGGGTGTCATTCAAAGGCCTTCTAGATTTTTACCTTTCCACGTCCAAAAAAACTCGAAACTATTTGACTTGTTGAACGCAATGATCAGTAAAGTTAGTAAACGTATATGTCATGATATCTACATAACTATCAAATTATAAATGAAAAGAATTGCGACTTTTGAACAAAATAAAAGACAAATCAATTAAGTGCAAATAATTAACCACTGATTGAGAAGGAGGAAAAGGAGAAACGTCACAAGCAAAGATGAAGAGAGATATCACCTCCTTTACAGAGAGTAAGCGTCTTTCTTTCTGTTTTCTTTTTTTTCAATATCACCTTAACTTTCGGTTTATTTTGGAACGTTACATATTTTTACTTTCAATAAAGACAAGCCAACGTGAGAATGAAAACGACATGACTTATTAACTCAAGTTGTAATATTCTAAGTATGCAATATATATTCCGTATTATGAGGTTTTCCTACTCATATGGCTCTTTCAACTCTTTCTCCTCTAACCAGTTTTAAGGATTTTTTAACCAATAAACGTGTAGTCTTCAAAGACCGGATAACCCGCCTAAGCAAACGTTACTAAATCCAAATATTTAGTATATACTAATTTGTTGATTAGAAATGCAAAATCTCCGCTTACGTATACATTCATATTTTCAACATAATAGTGAATTTTCTTGAATAGTTTTTACGTGCATTCAGCTGCATCAGATACTCAGAGGAGCGGGGGCAAATCCAATAAGTGTGAGAGGTGACATATGAAATGGCCTGAGCTTAGACATGTGCAAAAAGAAAGAAAGCCTTTGCCAATTGTCAGAGTCTTTGTGGATGAGAGAATCAGATTCATTGTCAGTATGAGCTTTCTTTTTCTTTGTGGTAGACATTAGAATGAGTGTATAGCGCAAATCAACTTATATTAATTTCGATAAATAAGACGACTACCACTAATTTCTCACCGCTTAACCATCATTAGGCTGTATATTTAGGGCAAACTCAAAAGTAGAGAGAGAAAAGAGCGAAGGCAACTGGGTACATGTTTTCTATTTTATTTCAAGAAGTTAACTAAAGTTACATGTCAACTAAACATAAGTATATAATACATGCAGACAAATAGATCAGGAGGTAGTGGAAAAAGCCATGTCCCTTTGTCTCAAAAGTTCTTATAGTGTGTATAGTGACGCGCATATCTTTTCTTCCACAACTGTTCAATCATTGTGGACTACTATATAGTTCAACAGTTGTTTTTTTTATAATAACCAAGAAACAATCTTTACATTCCATTCTTTCATTTCCTTTATATACTATTAAACTATAGTATCAAATCAATGTTTAAAATTATAACTAGATCTCAATCCGCGCAACCGCGCGGGTATTTGTTTTCATTTATTTTTATATAAACATTTTTTTTACTTCTAAATTGGTATATATTATATAAGGTGTGTATATCGAAAATGATGATTAATTATTTTATAGTATAGATTAATTATTGTTAGAAAATGATGATTTTGTTATTTTTAAAAATAAACTATATAATTTTTAAAGTTAACATCAAAAATATATAAATAATTAATTTATGCTATTACAATATTAAATTATATAAGTTTGATTTAAACATGTATTTTATTATAATATCTATAAATCCAATGGATCATCTAATTTTTATTAGCCCAATTATATACAGTTAATTTAAACATTTTCTTATAATACTATATATTTATAGTATCATATGTTAATTCTGTGATAGATAAAGATATAAGATAAATTTAATTTTGAATTTGATCACAATCTTTTGGCTGGTTCGAAATTTACAATCGGTACTGCTCAAGATATGTATAAGGGCAATTCTCTCAAATAGTCTTCTTTTAAGTTTTTATCACAAAAATAGACATCAAAAATTAAAATGATCAAAATAGCATTTTCTATTTTGAAATTTTAAGTTTTTTTTTTATTTTTTAAAATTTGAAACCATATCCTCAAAACCCCACCCCTCAAATCTAAACAAAAAAATCTAGAATTAGTTAATCCAATGGGTAAAAATTATATTTAATAAAACTTTTAAATGCTATTTTGGTCATTTTGATTGTTAATGTCTATATTTGTGACAAAAAAAATATAGGTCTATTTTAATCATTTTCTCTATGTATAATGTTGGGACAACTGGCTAACCGGCATTATAAACTTGGTCAGAACGATTTATGAACTATTAATATTGAAAATGTTAAATGATAGCATTTTGAAGTCTTATTACAAACTTTACACAAAAAGATAGCATAAAATGGTTTATGCAAAAATCACGTATATATTGAAGGTCTATAATTATTTGAATCAACATGAGAGCGAGATTATCCCAAAAAATATTAGACCAAACCGTTCCTATAGTTTTATAATGCTAGGTTCGGGTGCTGTATATTTAGTGGTTAAGTTCATTTTATTTGTTGCACATTACAATTTGGTCAAAATTGATTTACGGTATATGCTGGTTATCAGTTCCAGGTTTTTAGGCGTATTTATTACATTATAGTTTAGACAGAAGGTTAATTTTAGTAATGTATTTTAATGATAAGATTAGATAGTTAATGTAACATGATTTTCTAGTGATAGTCTATTTTTAAGAAAATCACACATGAATCAAAGTCATGACTTCTCTTTTAATATATAAGATATTCAATACTAAGAAAGTAGATGAAATAGTGTACATAAACAAAAAGTTTAATTAGGACTCCCCCCATAGCATATTCGACCATCATAGGCTAATCGTATCTCTTTTTGAAGTGGGTTTATTTGTGTAATAATGGCCTAATCTTCTTCTCTCTTATTGGAACCAAAAATCACGTTAATCGTGGTGTCAAACCAGATTCTGGAAAGGCTCAAAACCGTTGGACTGAAACACACAATTTTTAAAAATAAATTTAAAATGGTAAAAGTGTTACTTAAAAGATTCGAACTTCTTATCTATAGCCTACAACTTTAATGGGCCTTTTTTGAACTTGTTTTCATTTAACCTTTCATGGGCCTTTTTGAACTTGTTTTCATTTAACCTTTCATGGGCCTTTTCGAAAATTTGAACGGGAACAGAACCGCCAAATTTATCATGTTCACACTGTCTAGTTTCATCGAAACTCGTAACCCTAATTTTTTCAAATCCTCTTTCATACTGTTTCCTTTCAGTATAAACATCTTCCCCTCTTGTTCTTACTTTCAGAGAATCTGTTTATTCCGTAGAGACATCATCAGTTTTTGTCTGATTAGTATGGATGCCTACAAAGAAACTGGATCAATGAATCTTGATTCATCCTCGTGGCCACATTCTTCTAAGTCATTACCAGAACTATTAACAGGTACATAGAACCACAGATCTCTTCTCTTTGTTTCTTTGCCTCTTATTATTGCCTTATGTGTTTCTGTTGTATACATGAACATTTGCATCTACAGAGATATGTCAAAAATCCCAAAGAATGCTCAAATTAGTCAAAGATGGTGAACCTGAATCAACAGAGACATTTCTTTACTTATATCAGTCTCTTGGTGAGACTTACAACGATTTGAACCAAGAGCTTCTCAACTCCTTCCTCAACTTTGATATTAAACCATCATCTTCAGACCACAACAGTGTCTCAATTGCGGATTTGACCTCCTTTAGATCTAATAGCTCTCCTTCTCTGGAGTTTGATTTGGAGTCAGGAGCCTCTTACTCATCTCTTAAGCTCTCACCAGTGAGAAAAACGAGTATTAGTGAAAATAAGAACGAGTCTGTATATTTGCTTGCTGATATCTTTAGAGCCGAGCTTGATACTGCACTGAGAGATCTAGAAGAGAGAAACAGAGTAGTGGGTGAGTTAGAGAGGAAACTCTCAGATTCAAGTGATAAAATCAAGACTCTAGAGCGTGAGCTCGATGAGTGCCATGAGCTTCTAGAGGTATCAGAAGTCGAAGTTTCGAAGCTGGATGAAATGTTGAGTGAATACAAGACCGAAAAACCCGAAAATGGTGCTGACTTGTTGTTGGATAGTTTGAGAGCAGAGCTGAGGTCAAGAGATGTTCAGATCGAGGAAATGGAGGAGTATTTGAACCAGGTGAGTGTCAAAGACACTGAGATTGTGTGTGATGAGTCAGGAGAGGAATTGAAAAGTAGAGTTGAAGAGCTGGAGAATCAAGTGGAGAAGCAGAGAGATGTGATATCAGAAAGAGAGGAAGAGAAAAGAGAAGCTATAAGAGAGCTCTGCTTCTCTCTTGATCATTACAAGAGCAGATACATTGAACTTGTAAGATCACTTTCAGGCAATAATAACTAACAAGGTTTCTACTAAAGCAAGCATGTGCTTAAATTAAATGATAGTAATTTAAGATCTAATTTCATAATATAAAAGTCGCATATAGCTTTAGACTAGTTCAAGTTAAGGAAGTTAACAAGCAAATTATATAAATAGATTCCAATATGATTATTCCGAATAACACTGAATAAACGTGTATTTTAAGCCTATGTTATCTACTTTCGCTTTCCATTATAATAACACATGCTTATTTTTAGTCCAACAAAATAAAGGCTCAATTAAATTGTAGAAGTGACAAGTTAACTAGCAGATTATACTGTATTGGGTGAATTGACTCAATACTCATTATATTATATAAATAATTATTGTGTTTAGACTGTAAACAAAGCAACTGTCAATAGTGGAGACAGTTAATTTAGTTGAACAGTGAAACCATCTTTATATATTCATCCTTAAATCGTCATTTAGTTACATACTACACAAAGGTAAATTAGAAGAAACCCAAAATAGTGAAAAACTATGAAGGAAGACAAGTAAAAGCATTTTTCAAAATCACCGAAGTTAAAGCTCAGGAATCTTTATCCTTGGATAAGCTCCACGAGAGTTTGCTTATAACATTTTCGTCAACTAACTTGTACTGATGAGACAATTGCCTGTGAATCAACCCGCAACACTTATCTACTTTCCTTTGATATTTGCTGTACAAAGCTGGTACTGTTACAGATAAGATGGTCCCTGTCCACCACCATAAAACCATTGAGTTTGAAACAGCAAATCTTGTGGTAAACCATTTAATAAAACAAGATCAACAAGCAAATCATATGGGGGCAAGTTACTAACCGATATAAACAAGAGTGCAGAAGGAAATATAGCTACCAATGGCAGAGAGAAGCCACAGAAAAATCACCACCTGCTACACAAGACTGTTAACACATCTAATAAAGCCCAATGTGAGTTTCATGAAAAAGGGTTTTGGCTTCATAACCTTGAAGAAGAGCCGAAAATCTTTGCCAACTGTAACATCATGAGCCATTACAAGCAAGTGGTTGAGTTTTACACGGAAGGAAGCTGCAGCACTATTAACCATTTCCTCGGATAGAACAAGCTCTGGTAACGAATCCGCCTGTCTGCTTATACATAGGCAGAGAGACCAGTCACATAAACGGTAACCTAATTACAGACTATACAGTGGTGAGAACTAGTGCGCACCTATTCCTATAAGCAGAGATCTGAGCATGGACAAATGATATTATGATCCCAATCAGTAAGACATCTGAAGAAACAGATAAGAAAGGCAATCCAGAAAGCTCGAAAGTAAGCCAAGCTGCTGTTGATAAAACGATCACACCTAAGGAATGGTTTCTTCTCCTCCATAAGAGCAAGTCAGCAGCTGCATCAACGAACAAAGCCATACATTAAAAAAACGGTTCGAGCGTCACTTATCTAAAAACTTCACAAAACAAGCCGAGAAATCGAATCCAACTAGTTATCATTCAAACCTAACTTTCACCAGCCAAAAATTCAATCTTCTACTATAATAAATGCCAGTGAAATCAGAAACCCTAACCCTAATTCTCATTGGGAAACAACCCAAATTGAAAATTACAGAGAAAGGACTCGCCTTTGCCACCGCCCATGAACTGATGAACCGTAACTTGCCGACCCAACAATCGATAATCCGACGTGGATCCTCCTCCTTCATTTCTTCCCTCGGAATCACCTTCGATGTCACTCGAACTGTCCATCGGAGAGTCCAGAACCCTAAATTTAATCAAATTCCCCGACTTTATAAATGCCAATCACGAGTAATTGACAAGTGTCGCCTTTAATCTGCGATCTCGGAGTTTTCTGGGGGTTCAACAGTGGTTTTCTGGGGTAGAGATTAGGAGAGTAGATTTGATCGGAGGATGGCGAAGGAGGAACCAAATTCAAACTTCTCCGATTTCTAGTCAACTTTTCTTCATTTCTTTACACTTTCCTCTCGATTCGTCATCATCATCATCAACATCATCTTCATCTTCATCATCTATTCATATTATATTCTTTCCTCGAATAACTTTTAAGCTGTCAGAATATTAAAAGAGCAATTAAGGTAAGGCCTTAGGCTCACTAGCCCAATTTCTCGGCCCATAACTTTACAGCTTACACATAACCACAGCTATAAGTCTACCTGTCATGACTGTTAGTTTATCATTATGTGACCGGCCTGCAACTTCGGTTTTCGTTTAACCAAAAAATTTCAAACCTATTCCGATATTAATCCAATTAAATTTTAATATATTGGTTTTCAAAATTATTTAAAAAATAACCAAAATTTTTGGTTTTTGATTAATTTCGGTCTAATTTTTGTTTAAATTTGGTTATTTTAATTAAATTTGAATATTTTTCGTTTTTCGGTTCGGTTCAGTTTGGTTTTGGTTATTTTTTAGATATTTCTGATTTTTTTTCGGGTTTCTAATTTTCTTTTTTTTTAAAAAAAAAAATAAAACAAAAACCAAATCGAATCGAATTATTTTTTAAAATCCTATCGAACTCAAACCGAAAATTTCAGTGCGGCTCGGTTCGGCCCATTCGGTTCGAACAAAAGTCGCAGGGCTAATGTTAGGGTTCCCTATGTTAAGCAACCATGAAAGAGAATAATCATTTAATCATCTAAGACCATGATTAACTCTAGTGTCATAATTCCAATCTTTTAACTAGGATCTTAGCTTGAGCCTAGAAACATGTATTATCTTTTCATGAATGTTAATTAAAAAAAGTTAAGAACCTTTATTTAAATAAGGGATAGAGGAGTTATCTCTTATTTAAAAAATGTAAAAAAAATGAGTTAAGAAACTCGGTTAAAAGACTCGGATCAATAATGCAGTCCGGGCTCACTAGCCTAATTTCACCGCCCATAAACCACAATTACAGTTCTACGTGTCATGACTGTTACTTAATCACTATATGACAAGCAGTGACTCTATTTAATCTAATACTAATCACATTTTTCCATGTTTAAGCAACCACTAACCACGAACGAATAGCATCTCAATCATCTATCAACAATGGCGATTCGTTCTGTAGCGAGTAGAAGAACCCTAACCGGCCTCAAGGAGACGTCTTCAAAGCTTCTGGGGTTCAGAGGAATCCAGACTTTCACGCTTCCTGATCTTCCATATGATTACAGCGCCTTGGAGCCGGCGATTAGCGGCGAGATTATGCAGATTCATCACCAGAAGCATCACCAGACTTACGTCACTAATTACAATAATGCCCTCGAGCAGCTTGATCAGGCTGTCAACAAGGGAGATGCTTCCACTGTCGTTAAGCTGCATAGTGCCATCAAGTTCAACGGCGGAGGTGTTTTTGACTTTTTTTTTTCTTGTTTTTTTTCGTTCGATCTTGGTTTTGTTGTGTTTGGTCGGTTGGTTTGTGATTGGTCGGATTGGAGATTAGGGTAATATAAAAGTTGCGTCCTTTTGAGTTTTGGTTAGTTGAGTTGACTAAAAGTTTTGATTTTTATCGTTGTTTCCATAAGAAACAATGGGGAAAAGGAATGTGTTTTTCGATCTCTGTTTTGTTGTGTTCGGTCGGGTTGTTTGTGATTGGTCGGAACGCAGATTAGGGTAGTAATAATAGTATAAAAGTTGCATCTTTTGAGTTTTGGTTAGTTGAGTTGACTAAAAGTTTTGATTTTTAGCGTTGTTTCCATAAGAAACAATGGGGAAAAGGAATGTGTTTTTCGATCTCTGTTTTGTTGTGTTCGGTCGGGTTGTTTGTGATTGGTCGGAACGCAGATTAGGGTAGTAATAATAGTATAAAAGTTGCATCTTTTGAGTTTTGATTAGTTGAGTTGACTAAAGTTTTGATTTTTATCGTTATTCGTAATGTTTCCTTATGAAACAATGGGGAAAATAATGTTTTTTTTTTGTGTGCTAGAAAGGAAACTCAATAAGGTTTTATTATTTTTGTTGCAGGTCATGTGAACCACTCGATTTTCTGGAAGAATCTTGCTCCTGTCAACGTGAGCTTGTGTTATAAAAGTTTCTTTGTGTTTATTACAGTTGACTGTTTTGTTTTGTGCTTAATGTTGTGTGTGTGTTTTATAACATATGACAGCAAGGTGGTGGAGAGCCACCGAAGGGAGCACTTGGTGGAGCTATTGATACTCACTTTGGCTCTCTTGAAGGTTTGGTGAAGAAGATGAGTGCTGAAGGTGCTGCTCTGCAAGGCTCAGGATGGGTGGTTAGTGTTTCTTGTTTTACCCTTTAATGTCACTGGTTCACATTGGTTGGCTTTGGTGCTTCACTTAACACCATGGCATTGACTCTTTCTCTTGATTGATTCAGTGGCTCGGTTTAGACAAAGAACTTAAGAAGCTTGTGGTTGACACAACCGCCAATCAGGTACCAATTTGTTCAGAAGGTTTTAGATTTGCACACAATCTTGATATTTGTAAATAGATGGGGTTTTAGTGATTTAAAGGAAAAGACTCTGTTTGGTCTCAGGATCCACTAGTGACAAAAGGAGGAAGCTTGGTTCCTCTGGTGGGTATTGATGTTTGGGAGCATGCCTACTACTTGCAGGTAACAACACTTTGTTATCCCTTTGAAATGGTGAGATAGCTTATAAGATTAGTCACTCTTTTATCTCTCTCGTGCAGTACAAGAATGTGAGGCCTGATTATCTGAAGAACGTGTGGAAAGTTATCAACTGGAAATACGCAAGCGAAATTTATGACAAGGAATGCAAGTAAGTGAGTTCGTTACAGGACAACAAACATAAAGAGAGGACCCAGTTCCCAACTCGGTTTTGTTTTTTTAATATGTTTGTCTGAAACAAACTTACAATGTCTCTCTTTGGTCTTTGAGTTGGCTCAATAATACACGTTGTTTAGAATAAATTTCCATGCGATGTTTATCTTCTACTCCATATTCTTTTGTTCTTTAAACGTTTGTGCTAATCTCTCAGAATTGAAACTCAAAGGATCATTTGATCTTTGATCATGAGGTCTATAAGACTTCAATGATCTCTCTAATTAACTACAACTCTATAATGATTTGTTAGGTGGGATTATAGTTAGGTGTTGTAGTTTATATTTTTCGTTTGCGTTTACCACAAAAGACGCGTTAAGTCAATTTACATATTCGGCACTAACTTCATTCTTTACGCCTTGGGGTCCCCTTGTGATTTTATATTACACTACAAGATTTGAGCTCTTGCTTGGAACCAACATGCACAGCTACCCCGAAGCTACATATTTTTTCAATTTAAAAATGTCATGTTTGGTTCAACTTATATGCGCGTTTATCAACGACCTTCTTGGTCTAATAATCACAGAAAATATAAATCTGATTAATATTTATCAAAAAAAGTATTGATAGATCCATACAATAAAAGATTATAATCTAACAATCTTGTTCATTTCAATTCAAAAGACCAGATAGAATCTAAAACTCTCTACGGTAATTTCTGAATATAACATTTACAAGATTAACTATCAAAAGTATTGTCAAAAGAATAGGAAACTAAAGAATAATTCGGACAGGAAAAATCAACAAGATCAGACAAAAGGACATCTTCTAAGTCTTGACGTCATTACTTTTCTTGCTGGGCCCTGACGCCGGACGACCACCTTTCGGAAGAGCATTCAACACCAATGATCCAAATTTTCCGGCGAAAACTTCAGGCATAAAAGAATACTCCGTCTTTATCTCCACCACCTCGTCTCCGCAACCCACCACCGCCTTGGTATCAGGCGCTATCTCGCCGGATAAGACGACTTTATCGATGACCGGAAGAAACTCTCCTGGTAAGATCCTTGCCGTGGATAGAGAGACGGAGATGAGAAGGAGAATCAATAGCAAAGATCTGCAGCTTTTCACCATTTTTTGAATATTTTTTTTTTGAAGGTTTCTTTTTGTGGGTGAAAGAGTTTCTTGTTGTTGTAATGAGTCTACTTGGTTTGAGATATGAAGTGGGTGAAGGATCAAAGAGAGTGTTAAGCGCATATATATAGAGAGTGTGTGTGAGTAGAGAAAAGTCAATGGGAGTTGGAATAACTTACGCGGCAAGTGTCGGGGACTCACTAATAGAGTTGAAAGCAGTCCTTTGAAATTTACGGTCCAACTAAAATACCCTATTATTATTATCTGAGTTTTAACCTTTTAAAATCATAAATAAACGTATGATAGCTTAAATTAAGCATACATTAAACGATGATGTCAAAAAAGAAAAAAAAAGCATACATTAAACGATTCTGCAATCAGTTTTAAAATTCACGACAAAAATGTCTAGGAATACATGCAAACTCATGAGTATTTAAAATTTACGTTACTAAAATGTTCTTATAGTGTATGATTCTATATTTTATATGGAGAGTTTGAATAACATTCACGAGTTTCACCATCGATTACAAGAATACTAAAAACCTTTTGTGGGACCATATGGATCATCAATTATACAATCATTTCCATATGAGTAAAAACAATAGTAGTAACGAGAAAAGCTGACTAAAATATCTCTATTCAAAAGTATAAGTCCATTTAAAATCAATGCACACAATTATTAAATGAAAACAAAAATATTAAAAGATGATGATAATCATGCACTTTATTTCATGAATGGAGTATCCAACTACTACCATTAAAGGCAGACGCACCGGCACTTTTGACCGCGTCCTTGCTTCTTCGTGTTCCCCAAGTCTCTCCCACACACTCTCACCGTCACACGCATCAAGTTCACACACATGCACTGACACTTCATAACGTGTGTGTGAACATGTAACTTTTGTCTCCTTCATTAGCTCAGCCAAATTTGAACTTTGTGTTGTAGATAACACGAATGTCAGTAATTGGATATTGCGGTGGAATTTTGTTGACTTTGTGGGCTTTTTGATAAATTTGTTGACTTTATGGTTGCTCTTGCTCAAGGATATAATTAAAAATGACTTTTTAATCGTACAAAGCAGACTTTTACATTGATAGATTCTGAAATCAAGTTTTTATGTGGTTGTTGGGCCAAAAAGCAAACATAGGCCAAGAAAATAGAAACCACAGTTTAATTTCGAAGTCAGAATTGGAACACTTGTTCATTTACATGAGCTTATGTCTGTTGAGTACGACCAAATGTTGGGTTGTACCATCACTATCCTAATGCTACAACTACTATTAAGTGTGGGAAACTTGAGATCATTTTATGCAAGTCTTGAGCAAATAACTCATGCTTTGTAGACCATGAGAAGTAAAAAAAACCACATGGGTTCTTGACAACAATATGTATTAAGTATTAACTCTTAATAGAGGTTTTGTATTGTATCATAAGTAGCTTTAGAATATAAAAAAAAAGTCCAGATTATTTTAATTCAAAACCATACATAATAAACTCTACAGATCTTCAGGTTCCACGCACGGCCCGAACACGGTTTTGAATCAATTTCCTTTCCCAGTCTGCAATATCCTCAAATGCATTCTCAGGGAGATTCTCAAAGGGCTCTTTCCACGGATCGTTCTTCGCCAGATCATATGTAGCCCCACGTATAGCTCCTTTGTTAGGCCCACATGGACGCTTTGACACCAATGAATCATAAGCCTTGTTCAGCTGTTTTCAAAACACAGAAACAGATCATTAACAAAACTTTCTTAGACGTGAAGCTGAGTAAGTCTTTTTTTTAAACTTACGTTCATGTCACAGAACCAATACATATAAGCAATAGAAACCGCAGGAGCTCTTCCCAATCCAGCTGTGCAATGAACATAAACTCTCCCCTTACCTTCGGACACAGCCCATTCCAAAGAAGACACAGCTTTCGGAAGCTGACTTCTTAACGAAAGTGGATCAAAGTCTTTAGCCTAATCATCATAAACAAGAAAAACCAAACTGATAAAAACATCTACCATTCACATATACTTCCACAGGTTGAAAACATTGGAAAAAATGTAACTTACGGGTCTTCTCATGTGACGGATTCCAAGCTCTTTACATCTTTTGACAATGGAGTTTATATCGATTCCCCAATACTCAATGTCCTTGTCTTGTTGCAAGTTAAGTATGTACGCAACATTCTCTTCTTGTTTCAAGTGGTCTATGTCCTCAGGCTTCTGTGGCTGTGACCCAACGATCAGTTCATCTCTTATCAATGTATAGTTCATGCCTAAACAAAACAGAACAAAGACCAACAAAAAAAAATCTTAGAAAAACATTCTCACATCTAAATTTAGAACCTTTGACTCTAATGAAACACTTTCCAAAACAACATAATGACCAATGTAGTATAGACTTGTCCTAATACTCCCTCTGTTACATTATAAGTGTCAAGCTACACCTGTGCACACGGATTAAGGAAACAATTAATTTTACATATTTCCTATATAAAAACACAATTACATATACCACTAAACATATTTTAACCAATAAAGAAACAAATTACACCTAAAATTAATAAATTTTGCATTGAAAACCGAAAACTATAATTATTTTGTAACGCAAAAAATTCAAAGACACTTAATATGAAATATGAAACGGAGGGAGTATAATCTAATTAAACCACTATTAAAGAGTCAAAGGAACACTCTTTATTACTGATAAACAAGAAACTAAATAGTTAGTGTCTGAAAGTCATATTTTTTTATTAATTTAAATAGATATGTACCGAGATCATGATGATACTCATATGGGCTCCTCATCAACCTCTTCATAGCTGTATTGTAATCTTCCATCTTGTTTTTGGAGCTTAGAGAAACCCCATTTGTTCCCGGATTGTCTTCAGCTCCATTCCCTGAGATTTTGCAGGAAACTCTGGGGAATCTTCTTGGATCAATCGATGGTTTAGTACTCGAATTGAGCCGAGAAGATTTAGCATTATCTTGGAAGTAACCCGTGAGGGTGAAAATACAGCTCTTGCTTCCAAGGACACTCATTATTTTTTTCTCTCACTCTCTATCACTTGTTCTTCGTCTTCTCTGTGATGCGACATTGGTATCTGCAGCAGAATATCACGTTTTACAATAATGGTCGTCACACAATCCTTTCGCACGGACGAAAACGATGTGTTTGTATTACTATTGGGCCTTTTTATTTGATGGGCTTTCAATATTAGATCATAGCCCATTAGATAAACCCTGATTGATGCTTTAGATAAAGCTCTGATCGACATGTAAATTTATATTCCTCTTGATTCTTAGGTTGAAAAAAATCTTAGAAGCGTATGTGTTGCTTGGTTAGAAGAGCTAACATCTAAGTGAAATGTGTATCCTTTTTTTTTTGTGCAATTGTCAAAATGTATCATATTTGTGTGTTTTTGCAAAGGTACAGGATATGGTGCCAGTCTTAGGAAACAGATCAAGAAAATGGAAGTGAGTCAACACAGCAAGTGCTTCTGTGAGTACTTAGATCAAGAATCATAACTGTAATCACACACGCAAGCCATTTTCGTTCTGTCAAATACTGAATTATTAGGCTTTTGCTATCATCTTTTCTGGTTTATATTATCTGGAAAGTGTTATTTTGTTCTCTATTCAGTTGACTCTTTTTTGGATTCATACCTTTGGGCTCTTGCTTCTTTTTTTGTCTTCGTTTCTGTATTGAACCTGCCATTGACCAAAAGTTACTACTTCCTTCAAAGTGAAGTTCTTGTTAGAGTTGAGTTGTGACTATATACTTACACTAGTATTATTCATACAGGAATGTTTGATCTGGTTACTATTGGAATAAACCATTCCAAACACAAAGCTCAATCTTCTTCCTGTCCTATCCTCATATAATTTTCTTTCTGAACTTGAATAGTCTTGTCAACACTGAAAAAAAGTTTTCCTTTATTCCCCCCCCCCCCCATTTTTACAATTTTTCATGTTTAAATCTACAACAAAAATAAATAAACAATTCACTCAGCCACTCACTTACACAAATCAATAGTAACAAAAAAAAAGTGAAATAAAAAAACTAAACAGACGTATGAGTCTCGCTAATTTTGGCAACTCCACTCTCACCACCCTCCTCTTCAACTTTCCTTTTCAAAAACCCTAACCTCACCAACCCTCCCTCTCCCCAATCCCACAGATGCAACACAACATACGTCCCAATCCCACCAATCAACCCGTACGCTATCGAATACGTCAACGGCATCATAATCATCGTCACGAACGCCGGAATCGCCTCCCTCATATCTCCCCAATCAATCTCCGTCACCGACTTCATCATCATCACCCCCACCAGTATCAACGGCGGTCCCACCGCCCACGCCGGTATCGACGCCAGCAACGGCGTGAAAAACATCGCCAAAAAGAAATAAACCGCCACCGTGATCGCCGTCAGCCCCGTCCTCCCTCCCTCCCTTATCCCCGTCGACGACTCTATAAAAACCGTCACGGGAGACGTCCCCAAAAGCGATCCTATCACGATCGCAGACGCGTCGGACATGAACGCGAAGTACTGCCCCGCGAAATCTCCTTTCTCGTCGACGAAACCGGCGAATCTCGCCATGGAGTAGAGCGTCCCCGTGGTGTCCAAAATATCCACGTAGAGGAAAGTCACCAACGCCTCCCAGAAACGCCCTTCGCTTATCCCCGAGAAACTCAAAGCTCCCGCCGTGTGTTTGATGACGTGGACGTCAACGACTTTTTTGAAATAATCATGCGCGTTATCTCCCGCACGTGTGTTCGGAAACGCCGTCACCTCGGTGTTACGGAACCAAGAAACCGCCGTTACGAACACGATCCCGTAGATCATCGCTCCTTTCACGTTCTTCACTAGACAGTACGCGATGATCACGAACCCCACGATGCCTAGCCAAAACGTCGGACTCTCCATGCGTCCGTGGAGACACATGACGTCACCCGAAACCGCTCCTCCAGGGATCAAACTAACGGTTCCGTTAAGGGACGTTATAACGGGAGCTAACGAAGCTCGTGAAGAGGTTGGACAGGCGGCGAGTGTGACTAGCGTGGAAGGACTGTAACCGACTAAACCGAGTCCTTGGTTATTCTGTAAACCGATGAAAGCGAGGAAGAGGCCTATACCGGCTGATGAGCTGATTCTAACCGGTTTAGGGACGAGTTTCGCTAGCTTCGCTCTGAAGCCTATAGCTGAGATGAAGAGGAATATTAACCCCTCGATGAAAACCGCTGCGAGAGCGGTTCGGTACGAGATTGAACCGGATCCGTGAAAACCGACGACGGTATAAGCGAAGTAAGCGTTGGTTCCCATCCCAGGAGCTAACGCTAGAGGGAGATTCGCCATGAGGCCCATGATCACGCAACCGATCAGAGACGACGCCACGGTGGCGACGATTAGATCCTTACGGATTGATTCCACGCAGGCCGCGTAACCGGGATTAACCGGTTTGAATTTACAGGTTAAGTCCGGTTGGATTAATCGGAGATTCGGTCCGGTACACTGGGAGGGTGGGAGAGTTGGGTTTGAGCAGAGGGGGATACAGTCGGAGACGGAGCAGGTGCCGCCGGAGTCGGAGAGGATGGAGGCGTTCACGGCGAGGATGTAAGCCATGGTGAGGAAAGTCGCTGTACCGGCGCGGAGCTCGGTCGTGAAAGTTGAGTTTCGTTCGGTGAGTTTGAACCGTTTGCCGACCCGGCTTGAACCGACGTAAGTGTTGAGTCGGTTTAGTAGCTTGGGTCTGGTGGTAGTAGAAGGTAGTTCTTGCTCCATTTAGGAAGAGAGATCACAGGAGAAATACGAAATTACAAAACCTTTGTGTTCTGTTTTCTTGTTTTGTAATTTAGTGAAGAGAAACAGGGTGGTTATATATATATATATAAGTATAATTATCATCACTGTGTATATGAGAGAGAGAGGGAGAGTTTATGGATATGATTAGAGGAAGAGGAAAGATTCTAGTTAAGAGGAAGAGGATCTTTAAGAGGAAGTATCTCTCATGTAACCATGTGTCCACGATTCTTCCTTATGTCCTTTTATTTTATTTTATTTTTGTAATATTTGGGGTTTTTTTATTTTTCATTTTATTTTAGACTTATTTTAAGACAAGTGTGTGTTTGACGTTTTGTAAGTAAGCATATATCATATTCTTCTTTTTTGTTGTAAATGATATTTTGAATACGTATTGAGTTTGAATCTGTGGTGTGAATTCAAGAAGTAAAATGCGAATGCGTATTAAAATAGTAGAAACTTAATTTGGGTCAAATAGTCAGTATACGGTTACGTATGAAGTTAGAAGTAATAATATACAATTCTTTAGACTATATGCATATTATCATTTGTTTAAAATGTGTGCAAGTTGAGTCATCTGCCTTGATCTCGTGTACTGTAGGTAGATTAGTGAGTTCCATCACTTATCTTTGTTCACTAAATAATAATTTAACGAGTGCGGTAGCTTTGGCAATACAAAATAAAGAAAATTAAAAGAGTTAAAAGTGTTTTCTAATATTAACGTTTAGTTTTAATTAAAAATATTATTGGTCGATTGGAAACGTCTAATGGGTGATAATTCTTGTTGAGATGAGTGTTTGTTTGTAACTCTGAATGTTCAGCTCCAGATGAATACAAATTAAGCGAGTAAATTTCATGCTTGTTTCAGTTACAAAAAAAATAATATATATATATTCATGCTTGTATAACTCGACCGTTTTTTATTTGTTAATTAAAATGATTACGTTGTGTGTATGCATATGTGCAACTACTGCCAAAAAGAGGAAACGTTGCAAACTTGGTTACAATTTCAAGTGTGAACAACTTCTTAACTAACACCTCGTCGTATATATTGACCAGCTGACTCTTTTGCCTCTCAATATTTCTTTTATAATTGATATCTTGCAGAAACAAGCGTTATTCAGTATTTCTTATAGGAATGTAAATTTTTTTCTTGGAAACATATGTTGATATTGCATCACAATGCACAATGATAAAATACGATTATTGATTTAAAGTTTATATCATAACAACTGATCAATTGTTTTTGAAGTGGACCATTGGTTCAGTCAATTTTTAACTCAATTTGTTGATGGGAAGTCAAATATATCGGCAATAATCGAGTAGAGGTTGGAGTATTATTTAATCGTACGCTATCTAAAATAAAATGTCATAAAACTATGATAAATCTTTAGTGAATAAACTAAAAGATTGTCACCTTAACTTTTGTAGTTGTTATTGTTTTTTTTTTGTTAGCAAGTCGTTGTTAACAACATACATCTTATTAGATTTTACTTTTTAATAATTATACATTCACATCATCAGTACAAACCAGTGAAACACTAGATTACATAGTCTTAAAATTTAAATCACTATGACATCATTATTTTCAAATAACTGCATGGTAGTGTTCCCAAAAAAAAACTAAATAACTGCATGGTATGATCTGTGATATACTAACATTCATGGATTAAAATATAAAAAAAAAACTCAAAGCAGTACTTTGACCCCAAAAGAAATAAAAAAAATTCAAAGCAGTACATTTATTTCCTTTCAAAATTCAAAGCAGTACACAAATATAAGTAACTAAATTACTCTTTATTAATACATTATTACAATTTAGTACGTGTAGTTACTTATCCACTTTACTAGGTTGAGTTAATCCTTGAAAATTTGAAAATTTGATCATGATGTAGATGGTACGAAGACATATCTTGGATGAGAGGAATTAATATGAAGATTTGGAGGTCGTGTATCGTGTCGGGGCCATTCATTCATTTGCCTTTGTTATGAGTGCCATGCTATTTATTGTTTGGGTCTGACTATCATCTTACGTAGCTATACTTGTACATGTAATAGATGTTCAAAACCATGTGTTATTCCGCTTTGTTAACCTCCTCACAAGTCGGATATCTTACCGTAACACAGATCATAAGATCACACAAACTCTCTATAAACCCTAGACTTATTATAGAATGTATTTGTATATTTCTTAATTAGAGTAATACAGTTTAATACGAAATAACAAAAATACTACTCGTATTTGGTTTATGAAATTAATACCAATTATTGGAATATGGATTGGTGGTGGCCGACTTCACGTGAGGAGATGCCCTCATTCGGCAGTCATTTTGCTTTTGGAGTTATAAGTTTGCAATTAATAAATGCATTTCAACTACTTGACAACCATTTCATTTTATTTTTGGTAAAAGTTCAAACATGTTTATGTTTCTCGTATCATAATTCAACGGCTCCACCTTGTCTGATTTTATCTCGTCCACACAACTTAAAGGTTGGTTTCGATTTTACTACTATTTATTAAAACCAAGAGTGAAAATCGACTATACTAGCTGGAATAATAATAAAATCTCCAGTATTTTTATCATTTAAAATTCGGTGACGAGTTGTGACTTTTTAGTAGAAAGCACTCAAATTAAAGTTTTAAGTATCTAAAGATATGTCAGTGAAATTATTTAGAAGATGGAATATTGTAATCCAGAACCAAGAGACCATCAAGGTCTCGCATATAGCGAGCAGAAGGTGTGATCGTTCTTTGTGAAATACTAGAATCTTTACAGACATTGATCGATACTAAGACAAGACACTAGAGATAAGAGATGTTTTTCATAAAAAAGAAGAGAGAAGAGATATGTGTAAGTGATACAGTCAATATTAATAATATTATAAGAATTGATTCCTCATAGTTCAATTTATAGCCATGCATATATCATTAAGCACATATCAATCCCAGCGTTTTGGGTGCATGACAGTATGTATGACAACATGCAATATCCCGTATTCTTTTAATTACCTTTTCTGTTTTAAGTTTTTCAGTTGCACGCTATTTTTTGTCGATTATTTTTGCTGCACCGATGATAGATAATTGTATGACTTTCGTCTTTCGTATCAAAGATTCAAATAAATATTGTATAAAATTATTTTTTTATAGTGAAATGTTAACAAATTAAGTCTAGAAAACAAAACATTTATAAACCGACCACCCGGACTTAATATAGTTTTTTGGGTCGGTAAAAAGGAACACAGTTGGACATGTTTCCACTTTGTATCCAACTTACAAATATATTTTCTTTCGGTTCTTTTTCTATCGGATAAGTGACAAATAGATCTTAAAATAGTGGGTCCTTTCTCCAAAAAGAAAAAAACATATAGCATTGTACTTTTTATATTTTTTCTATAAGCCGGGGTATACGGCGAGCTGAGGCACAACCATAGACCCGATTATTCACAATGGAAATTAGATATAAATATTGTCTATTCACACAAACATATAAATCTGAATTTGGGGTGTTTAGCATCTTTCCAAACCCACCATACCACTCGGCAATCCTTGTGTGGTTAACATTGTATATATCTAAGGAGGAATTGTACAAAGCATTATTTTTGAAGCACATGAACAATTCGCACACAATAGTAAGAGAGAAAAAAACAAAAGAAATATTAAACGTAAGAAAATAAGAAATGAATTGAATGAAAGTTTCATGGAAAAGTAATAGTTCGACCACTCTTTTTGCGCTGTCAGATTTTTGTTCGCTTCCACATGAATTCGACAACCAACAAGGCACTATCATATGAATCTTCTTCGCTTACAAATTTTCGATCAATTATCTATACTAGTGTTGGCGATACTAGTGTTGTATCTTACCTTTAGTTTTTGATTTGTATAGTTAACTAGAAAATGATATCTACTTAGATTTTTATTCAACTAAATATTCCATAGAAAGATAGTGTCTCAAAACGTAACTTTGTGTTGGAACTTTTTGGGTAGACGATCTATTTACCCATGAGAACTATCATATAGCATAAGATCCTCACCGAACTATGACCTCATGCTAGATCTCCACGAATTGAAAATTGCAAACCTATTTCTCCCTGAATTGAAAATTGCAAACTTATTTCTCCCCAAATCAATACTTCAAAACTTAATTACCCACAGACGATGGTTTTATTTGGTTTATTCTTAACCAAACATCTTAAAATCAAGTAAACCAAAGCAAAATCCAATTAAATAAAACAAAATCTCCATCTGTTGTAAAATAAATCCATTAAACTGTTTACATAAGAATGTTTACAGTGATTCAGGTGGGGATTTGATTGGATTTTGATTTGGTTTACTTGATTTTAAGATGTTTGGTTAATAATAAACCAACTAAAACCAATTAAAACCATCGTCTGTGGGTAATTAAGTTTTGAAGTATTGATTTGGGGAGAAATAAGTTTGCAATTTTCAATTTGTGAAAATTTAGCATGAGAGCATAGTTCGGTGGGGATCTGATGTTATATAATAGTTCTCGTGGGTAAATAGATCGTCTACCCGAACTTTTTGTATCGAAGTTCAGTATCTACAAGACATGTATAGTGTATAGTATATGTGTTTATTGAGTAATCTAGGTATTTAAGCGATTATTGGTAAATGGTTTTTTGCAACCATTACTTGATTAGTATATTGATAAGCATATGAAATGATTTAAAAACATGTATGATTAGATGCAGCGGATTTGGGAGAGGTTAAGAAAGTTAGATCAGTGGAGAGATTTTTAACTTTTTAATGATGGAGTTGGCCAAACCAATGTGATTAGTGGCGAAGTGTTGGCCTCTACTTTTTCCACTCTTGTGCTCTCTTATTTCTAAACCCCACTAAAAATGTATTAAAATTGTGTTCTCACTGGATAATCATTAATTTTTTTAGTGCATATTTTAAATAAGCAATGATACAGACAGCGAATTTTTTTCCAAAACCATTGGCCACACCATATTACATAATTCGAAATTTTATTCATTTATAGTATACGGCTAAACAAAGATTAAGGTGTTTTAAAAATTCTAATGAATCGATGTAAGAAAATACTAATATCTTTTCAAGATTTCGATAATAATCAGGTGTAGACTTTTGTCCAATTTTCTCTAAAGTGTGTAGGCAACACTAGCAACATCTTGTCCTCTTGTGTGTTAGTTGAATTACTTGACCGAAGATCTCTTTCTTTGAAAAGTATATGTGAAGCTAGTGTGTTTTCGAATGCAACATATAAAGAAAAAGAGGACTGCATAACAATAATTTGTTCAAAGATTATTCATCTTCACTTCTTTCATCCAGATAAACGTAAATTAACGGTTTATTT